GCGGGAGGGTGGGATCATAGTAGGAGGCCCCCCCCCTTTTTCCGAGGTACCCGTTAGTCAGCCCGCCAACCTACCGACCCGGCCAGACCCATAGGCTGCCAGTCGACTCACCGGGCCGGTCCGCCAAGCACACCAGCCATAGCAACCCACTGACCCACCACACTCCAGTCCACTGGCCCACCGAATCCCATTAACACGCCAATCCCATTGGCCGTGCAGCGCACCAGTACATCAGCCCACCAGAGAAGCAGCTAGAAGGTCCTACTAGCCCACTCACCCACCAGGACATTAACGCACCGGCCCCAATGGTCAAACGGCACAATGGCACAAAAATATGCCAGTCCACAAGCCCACCAAATCTAGGAAGCTCGTGCACCCGTTCACTGACTAATTAGCTCAACAGCTCATTAGGACACCAGTGAGCCAGCCTCCCAATGACCCATCAACTAGGACCTCAGTCCTAAAGCCCACCAGCCTACTGACAACACCAGCACACAAAACACATCAGTCCACTCGCACACTCGTCCACGAATCCACTCGCTCGATTCACCGGCCGCCCGACCTACCCGACGGCCTACACGCGCCCAGCAGACAAGCAGCCCACCGCCACACCTGCCTGCGTACACGCGCACCCACGTACACAAACACGCACACGCGCGCACACATGCCATCATCTACTCCAATTGACACGGCGCCCACTCGGCACCCGTCAAACGCGCCACTGTGGCCAATTTCGCCGGAATCCTGGTTTTTTCTGATTCTATTTTTTGTGTGCATGTGTAAGTACTGTATAAGAGACAAAGATCCCCCTTATAGCCTTTAACAAACTGTTGTGACAAGTGCTGTTAGCGAGCATCCTATGAAGGCCAGCACGGCACACCAGGGGGTAGGTGTCCAGCACCACGCCCGGCCGGCTTTGTCTCCCCAGTGCCGATGTTTACACAGCGCACCAGATACTCATTTGAGGCTGAGTCGACCTAGGGAAGGCCCAGGACCGGTTCAGATAATCGTCACCGGTGTTGGCCGTCAGCGGGAATCGAACTCGAGCCGTCGGGTTTGTAGAGCAGCGCGCTAACCGCCACGCCACCGCCCCCCACATGTGATATAAACAAAGACAAAGATACCCTCGCATAACCCTAACAGACTGTTGGGGCAAGTGCTGTTTGCGAGCACCCGTGATATACACACACACACAACGTACACGTGCGCACACGTGCTCGACACGAGGAGTGCGAATTGCTCGCTGCCAACGGCTCGACAGCCGACTCCACAAACTGCCGACTCCAAAGATCTCACGGAGCAGCCGGTGCTAGTTAGTCGTTGCCAATCGGTGATTACGCGTGAAAGCATCCGCGCGCGCAATCGGAAACCAAAACTGGGACCGGACGACTGATGGAGCACCAACTGAATTTCACAAGCTACCGTACGCGCGCACGAAAAGAATCGTTCATTCCGATATCGTGTTTCTTGTTGTTGTTGTTGGTGCTGCCTCAAAATCCGTTTACATTTTTTTGTTTGTTCGTTTGTTTCGCGAAAAACCTGTCCGAACAAAAAACCTGGCGCGTGGAGTTTGCCCGCGGAGCGGAAGCACGGCCGGGGCACCGCACCAGCGAACTTTCACGACGAAAGCAAACTCGGCTGAACGCATTCGCTCGCAGGGAACCTGCTACGTCGGCCAGAGGTCAACGTTTTAAGTGTTGCGTTCGGCTCTGGCTAAGTTTTCTTCCCACGATAACGCCGCGTTCACTCACTGCACATATTTAGGGAGGGGGGGAGGGGTGAGGGGGCGAGGGGAGGGGGGCGGAGAAGGGGAGGGAGGGGGGCACAAGCTCGATCAAACGTGTCACGCGTGTCACACGCGTGTCACATCAAGGCGCGCGCCGGGATTAATAGCGCATTAATCCCTGCCCAAGCGCGCAAACCCCGGGCTTCGCCCAGGTGCGCTTCAGCCTGCGCGAATAAATAAATAACGAACTAACTAAATAAATAAGGCGCATATTTCCACGCCGGCTCGCCGCGAAACCTGCGAGGGTGGCTGCCGCGTTCCGTTCCGTTTCTTCTAATCCGGGGGAATTTGGCGGCGGCGTCGTCCTCCAGCGCCCTGAGGGCTCCTTGGCCTTGCGGTGAGGGGTGGGGGAATGGGGGGGGGTGATGGGGGGGTGAGGGGGGTAATGGGGGGGGCGCACACTCCTCGCGGTCGCGAGATTAGCGCGGCTAAGACTCCCCTCGAATCCCATAATGGACTCAGCCGCAGGGAGGGTGGAGCGAGAGGACCAGGGATTGCCCTCTAGGGGTCACCGAGACCAAACCGTCGAGAAGGCCCCGAGGCGGGAGGGGGGGCGCGTTGGCAGCGCCAGCTTCTTCTTGGTAGGACGGTGGCGCTGCGCCCGGGGGACGAGTTACCGGTTTGCGGAGCAGCTACGAAAGGATACGAATCGATGCCTCGATGTACGTATGTGTGTTGAACGTCTTTCGCACCGTACGTAGCCAACGGTTCTGAACGGGGGTGCGATGTCTGGGTTCTGGGTTCTGGGTTCTTCGGCCGTTCTGCGGTGTTGGTTGTCGGCTGGTGGATGACCTTTGGTGTCGCCGTTGAGTGATCTTGATGGGCAGCAGTGTGACGATGGGATCCTTAGCCAACCCCCCCCCCCAACCTAGGCCCCCCATACCCCCCAACGCTTCACCTCCCTGCGGACATCGGGGTAGGGTCTAGAGAGTAAGCAGAAAGCATTGTTATAAATGCGTTATTTTCAATGGTTTACAAATGAAGTGGAAAGTGTTTGTCCATTAGTTACATCCATCCCGATTGTATCGCGAGCGGAGACGATTGTTAGCTCTGTTGCTACTGGCGACCGAAACCAGCCAAGCTGACCGAAGCGTCGTCCAAAACGTTGAGGCTTAACGCTGGAGAAGTTGTTTTTACTTTTTTTTTGCAAAAATTCAAAACGCCTTTTGCCCTGAAGCTACCCATCCAATTCCCTCCCGCTAAGCGAACGCTCCTGAAGACAAAACGCACGTTGGAAAGCATCACACTATCCATTCGCACGCAGGAAAATTTCCAACACTTTACTGTTGTACGCTAATCTATGCACTTTTTGTTAAATCCTATACCTTTCCTTACATCCATCATCGTCATCAGCAGCAGCCGTGATTTATCCACTGCTTGATAGGGACTTTGCCATCTCTCTCGGTCTCGCGATACAACAATCCATCCAGCTTCCTTCCACCGCACCTCCAATTAGCACGGTTGGAAACGTACGGTGCGAAATAATTTAAATAATTTCAACATACGTCCTGCTTCTGCGCATGAGATGCTTTCGTCGGCGCTCCCATCTGTGCAGAGCGCGTTTCCCCTCCTTTGGCTGCGATCCCTTCCAGAGCGGCGTGGTCTTGCCCAAGCCCGCTCGCTTTAGTTGAGACTCACTATACCATCGGCTGCAGGACAATATCGTTCAGAGTGGAGACACACAGCCTCCGACGCTGGCGGAGGCTGTGTGTGCCCATTGTTGCTCTTTGTGGACCGTGACGTCGGCACACACACACACAAAGACAAAGATCCCCTGAATAGCCTTCAACAGACTGTTGGGGCAAGTGCTGTTAGCGAGCACCTATGGAGGGCGGCATGGCACTCGAGGGGGTGGGTAGCCAGCTCCACGCCCGGCCAGCTTTGTCTCCCTCATGGCAATGTTTACACATCGCGCCAGATACTTATTTGAGGCTGAGACGACCTAGGAGAAGTCCAGGTACCGGTTCAAATAATCGTCACCGGTGTTGGCCGTGAGCGGGAATCGCACTCGGCGCGCCGGGTTCGTGACGTCGGCACACAAATGCACAAGCGTGGCCTCATCCGCAAAGCTCCGCCAACGAGCGGCAAAAAATCGCTACCGCTCGGCCACGTCACCGCCCCCGTCCCCTCCCTCCCTCCAACTCCCCCCCCCCGACCCACAGTCCCTCGCCGCTTCTATAACTTCCCCCACCCGCGGTTTGCCTCGCGTCACCCGTGGGAAGAATCTCCATCGACGGCGGTGGCGGCCGTTGCAGCGCGGAGGGACGGGCGCAGCGCTGGATGGCCGAGCGGCTCGTTAATCTCACTCGGCCCCTCGTCGTCGTCGCCGTCACGGCGAGCGGCCGACCGCCTGCGCTGACCCCTTGCGCGAACCCTGACCCCCCCCCCCCATCCGCCCGATCCCCCGCAAACCGTGACCCGCAGCCGATGAAACCGGACGGGTGAGACGCTCGCGCGGAACAACGCCCGCTCGCCGTGTGCCCAACGAGAGGGCGCGGGGAGGGGGGGGGGGGAGCGGACGCAAACGGCGTCCGTTTGGTCGTCGCTACCGTAGATGCTCTGCTGCCAATTGGTAAACGATTAACATCGGTCACCACGGGATTCTGGCCGTTGGCCAGAAAGGTTAGCGAGCTGTTAGGTAGGAGAGCGGTTGAGTGGGGAGAGCAGTCCCTAGGGGGTACACGGCAAATCGGGGGGACCGACCGCCCCCGGCCCCGCGTTTCGGGAGGCCCCACGCGTTGACGTCACGGTTCATTCGTTCGTTTCCCAGTCCGCTTGTTCTGGCGAGGGTCGCTGCGGCAGCGTGTTCACTAGCGCGGTCCAGACCTCCCTTTCCCCGGCGACAAACTCTAGCTCTTTCTGGAGAATTCCCAGATGTTCCCAGGCCAGCCGAGCGACATATTCCCGCCTGCGTGTCCTGAGCCAGCCCCGGGGTCTTCGCCCAGATGTAATACTTCCGATTTAGTTTGAATGCATCAGTGGGCGGGGAGGGGGGACTACACAGTGTCACTCGCCCCGGGCCCGCACCCCCACCCCGCTGTGGACAGACCCTGTGGGTAGGCGAGTGGTCAGGGAGGTGACGGACACGATTGAGCAGTCGGCCAGCGAAACATTCCACGCAGGACGGTGCACCAGGCAGCCTAGGCGAGCGTAAAGTCTGGCCGGCGTGACGGTCGCGATTTTGCCACGGCCGCCGGTCGCCGCGCGCGGTCACCTGGTCCTGGTTGCTGCGGTGAGCGAAACACAGGTTGCCGACGAGCCGCACGAGGTCACGCTTGACGCCGTGCGCGGGGTGCGCCGCTGGAGAGAGGCCGCCGTAGCCCTGGGCCAGGCTGAAGGCGTTGCGCCCCTCGCGGCCCACGCGGTGGCACTCCCCGAGCAGGTCTGCTCGCGGACACACGACAACACGCGACGCGACGATGTCAGGTATTGTTCCACCCCAACTGGAAATCTGTAAAAAAAATAGCGGATTTCTCCAGGATAAACAAAGATCCCGATTCTGAAAGCTTCACGGAGTCTCAAGACTCGTTTGTAAGGAGGAACCCGCTGCGTTGAGACATCTGCACGATTCCTTTAATTCCGCACTTCAGAGTGAACCTTCCCCGTGAGACAGTAGGGCCACAGAAGCGGATGGAGAGTTGCTTCTGGGATTCCTCAGAAAGGTTAATTTTGTTGTGGTCGTGAGCTTGGTCCTCCCTCCCATAACGCACACAGGCTCGCTTTAGACCACCGGCTCAAAACTGTGGCCGTGTCATTTAGCAGCAGCAGGACGAGACGACTGCACACCGGCTTCGCCCTCGTTATGAATCATCAGCACAGTGTAGCCATCGTCGCCTCCTGCTGCCTTGTACCTCGCAGGGGCCTTACGCTGTGGGGTGACAGTTCGCCTCGTGGTGAGACACCGACAGCACAAACCACGATAAAATGGGGTAAAAAAACAGAAAAATATTTTTCTAAAACAGCGTCTCCGAGAAGGGACTGCACTACAAACGGCGCTCTCGGCATTGGGCCGAACCGCACGGGCACAAGCGCTTCGCGTTGTTTTGTCCCGCATGGGACACGCGCGTGCTCGCAGACGCAAACACTTATCGAGTGTCACGGCCTCGTCTTTCCTCAGCTATCGAACGCTGCGGGGCGCCCGGTTTTAACCACGCAGGGGGACGAGCGACGAGACTGAGAGAGGGGGGGGGGGGGGGAATTGTTCCCCTGCCACCACCACCCCCCTCCCCGCCCCCCCAGTGCTCGCCGAGGCCGGCGCAGTCGCTTACAACCCAACGGAATTCCCGTCCGCGGCTCCCCTCTGTGACCTGCCGCCCCCTCGAACGGAGGGTCATCAATCACCGCGGAGGGGGCCGCTGTCAGGGCGGCACAGTTTGGCCGACGTCGGGGTGCGCGACACCGGGCAGGGGGAGGTGGCTTGGTGCCAGCGCGGCCGGCGCAGGCATCGGTGTCCTCCCCGCCGATGGCGGACGCTCACTTGAAACGAGACGTTCGCAAGCGCTGCGAGGAGGAGCACGTAGGTGTGACGCGCACGCACGCACGCGGTGTGCGTCAGCAGGTTCGGTGGTGCGGTGGTTCGAGCGCCCCGGCTCACACAAGTTATGAGAACCTGCTCAAGAATCAATTTGGCCTTTTATAACGTGTGCACAAGTACAGCCCTTTAAGTCAGTCCACTGCTGGACGAGGGCCTCCCCACGCCGTGCGGGTCGTGGGGCATGTTTGACCATACTTCTCCGTGCTCATCAGTGCGGGTTGGTGAATAAAGTACAATGGGTTTTGTTGCACTACGCTCAGCCTACAACACCTGTTGTAGGCTGAACTTAGCTTTGAATATCTAACAATATTTGGTGCATTCCGGGTGAGTTGGTCATAGGAATGTGGAATTTCCACTGCTGGTTCAGAGCTGCGAGCTCGAGATGGGCAGCGCCACCCCTTCTTAATTTGTGCGGGAAGCCACCGCCACTTAACTTTCATAACTTTACCCATGTTACTAAGTTCTCGTTCTAAATTAAAGTTGTTTTTACCAGACTCCTTAAAAAAAATTTCCTGGACGCATTTTAAAGAAAGTTTTGTGAATGCCAGTGTTGTGGATGGACCAAGAGGGAAGGCCGTGGCTTCGGGAAGGCCTTCGTGCAGCAGTGGATCGAGCATGGCTGATGATGATTTTAAAACAAGGGGCTCTGATGAGTCTACTGTGATGATGGGGACATAAGTTCTAAACACTACAAGCACAAGTTAGCACGAACGCACGCACGCACACACACACACACAAACGGGTGGCACTGTAGCCGAACGCACAACTCAAAACGCAATTGAGATTAATACAGCATCTAAACACGTCGCTTCTTCAACGGAGCCCTGCTTTGATGCGGTGAAGAAACGTGAGAGCCCTGAAGACTCGAGTAGCTATCGCAGGATAGGGGCACCCACACCAATCAGATAAGTCGGTGCACGGAGGAGACAAAATAATCTTTTCTTCCCAAACTTACACCGACCAGCATGGTGAAGTATGGTGAGACGACCCCCATGAGCTGCAGGCCTAAACCATGCCCCCCCCCCCCCTAGCCCGACCCGCCAGAATCCCACGAAGATCTGGACGATGGCCAATGAACCGGTGATGAAAAAGTGGACGACCACTGTGGAGTGTGGTGCTGCGGTAGCGAGATGTTAACTCCCTTGCCTGGTATGAAGGAGGTCTTGGGTTCGATCCCGACCTTGACGCCACCTGTGTGTTGGCGTGTCTCTCTCTCCCCGTGGTCACGTGGATTTTTCTCCGTTTTTCCCTCCACATTTTGAATCGGCGTGCGTTTGGAGTATTTTGGCCGCTATGAATTTCCACGTAATGGTGAACCACTTTGCCCAGCTATCATTTGTGATCACCAGGTCGCGTCTGAAAAAAGAGCTACATAGCTCGTGGGGTACAAACTCCAAATATACAGGCGTCAACATCGGGACCGAACCCACGGCCTCCTGTGTACCAGGTGAGGTAGTTAACATCTCGCCACGACGAGGGGGGGGGGGGGTGTGCCACCGTCAGAAACCCACGGGGAGAAGGAACCGTCGAGTCCCGCCCGGAGATGCGGCGCCCCGACCCGGCGCTCGGCAAACTCACCGACGGCGGCGGCGAGCAAGGTGGGGTGGTCGCGCAGGCACGAGTCTCCGCGCGGTTCGGAGGTCGCCTCGCACAGCACGGACAGCGTCCTCGCCACGAGCAGGGCCTCCTGCCGGAGAGAAGACGACGGCGATGACGACAGCGTCGCGCGCGGAAACGGTCGCACGCGCTCGGACTCACCACCCCGCCCACGCGCGCCGCCCACACAAACGACTTTAGCTGCCATGATTGTTGATCCGGATGCCCATCAGGTACGGCGACCCTGTGACGGGCATCATCGTCATCTGTTCCGTCGACAAGGGTGGCGAGGTTTTCCTTCTAAGCAGACCCTTCCCCTTGTGCAGCAATAACTTCCGGTCATCGTTGTTATCGGGTTACTCCCATCTGTCTGTACGTACGCTGAACTTCTTTCGCACAGTACGTAGCCAACCGCGCTAATCGGAGGCGTGGACGAAGGACAACAAACTAAACACAAAAAGCAGTTCCAAAGAAATGAGTTTTCAATCTAGACGATTTAAGAGTGCACAGCACCAGTGGCTTCCTAATATTGGAAAGAGCAAGGGCGTTCCAGACGGCCGCAGCGGCGCATCTGAAAGCGCGCAATGCGGGGCGCGGCCAGGCAACAACCGCTACTCTGGCCATGTGAGCGACGGCTAAAGTTGCACCGCCTGTCACACTCGACGTGCTAACCCAACGCCTCTTATCTATCCGGCGTGCCTTCTTATCACGATGTTTGGCTGCTGGATGCGTGGGGGTGGGGGGGGTTTGTGCCGTTTGGCCTGCGCTCAATAACGATGGTGAAGAAGAAGACCCGACGAGACGGCCTCCCCACTCGCCTCGTCGCCAGCGGCGGCCTCGGCGCAGAGCGACGCCAGTCTCAGCACGGCCGGCCCCGTCGTGCGCAGCTCGTCGGCCAGCCGCATGAGGAACGGCGCCGGCGCGGGGGTCGTCGCCTCCGCCGAAGCCGACGGGGACTCCTCGGCCAGACTCGCGAGGAGCAGCTCCAGCAGCGTCAGCCTGGGAACACGCGCGCGGCGACGCGGGGTCACGGCTCTGGTGGCCTCCGGCGGGTTTATTCCGGGCGAGGAACTCAAGAGAGAGAGACCGCGGTGACGTCCGTTCAACTTGACGGTGCCGTCACCTCAGCTTGAGGTCCAGGTGTTCGTACAGCTGTGCCAGAAGGGTCGAGGACTTGAGAAAGCGTTCCGTCACCATCAGCAGCCTGCAAACGCCAGACCGCAAAAAACGCAAGCTTTTGTACACTTGCCTATACATACGAATATATGTGGATATATGAATATATATATAAAAGGGCCGTGATTTGTAATTATATTGGACGATCCATCACGAGCATTCGTACTCACCCAGGTTTACCACTCGACACAGAGGCCCGCAAGACAAACAGGATAGGAGCTACAAGGAACAACCAAGATGCTACGAGGGCGACACGGACCACGGCATTCGCTCGTGTGTGTGTAGAACTTCTATCGCACAGTACTTAGCCAGACGCGCTCGAAAAGAGAGGACGACTTTCAACAGCAGCCGAAACGCACACGCGCAACGTGTCGTCGTGCAGCAACCGTAACCTCCGCGGGGGTGGGGGGGGGGGTCCACGGGCACGTGGAGACACTCACGGCCACTCCAGGTGCGGGCGGGAGCACAGCGCGAGCAGCACGCGAGCGATGAGCACCCCCGGGGGGTCGCACGCCAGGCGCGCCACCTGGGCGGGGCCCGCGCACGTGTGCAGCGCCATGCAGCTGTAGTCCAGCGTCTTCGCGTCGCCACACTGCAGGAACTTCCTGCGAGGGGCAGAGGCGAAGGTCAAAGGGTTAAACGTGCAGCGCCGGCCGCAACTTGACCGCTCATGCCACCGAATGCGCGTCGCGATGATCGTTGTAGCGATGATCGTTCGCTCACGCGGTACTCTCACTCTGTGTGTGCGACGGAGCACGATCTCACTCATGCTTGGGGCCTATATGTACTTGGCCCGAGCCAGGGCACAGCATAATTATCTGCAACTGATGAGCGCTATCGGTCCTCCACCTGGTCCACCCGGTAAACCATCCCTCCTCCCTCCTCCTCCAATTCCACAATACGCGTCACAGCCTGCACCTGTCCTCACACGCAGCTCCGGCGATCCCAGATGCCCCATCTGGCTCCATCTGGTCCCCATCTGGCCCCGGTGGCCCCCGCAGTCACCTTGTCCAGTGCCAGCTCGGGTCGGCGGAGCCGCACCTCCGATTAGCACGGTTGGCCACGTGCGGTGCGAAAGAAGTTCAAAGTGCGTGCATTGTGCGGGGCCGGCGTGGCTGCGGGTCAACACCTGGTCATCGACTAAAAAAATACACGGTTCGTTGACTGCTGACGAGGCCCATTGTGCCCCGAGACGCTGTTGCGAAACAACGGGCAACGATGGCTCCCGGTCGGTTTGACCCGCTCAGGCCGACGCCGGAGCCAGCTGCGTCCTGGGACGACAGCGAACCTACGAACCGCAACCGCGAGACCGGGACGACAACGTCACGTACAGGTAGAGCTGGGGGTAGGTGGCGGCCCACACCGCCTCCCGCGTGTCCGCGTTCCCGGCCGCGACGTTGCCGAGCACCTGCAGGCCGCAGCGCGCCGCTGTCGCGACGGCAGGACGGGAAAGAAACGACAGAAAAAAAAACACCGGCCATGAGCGTGCACGCGATATACGCCGACGTAGCAAATGGGCGATGTCAGAACACGACCGCTCGCTCGCCCACCGGTGAAGTACGGCTCATCCGGGGCAGACGGAGGCGGTGGAAACGCAAGCAGCAGCTGCGCCACAGCGTTGATCAGCCCGGCCTCCCTGCGCAACACAAGACAAGGTGCTAAGCACATGCCGGCCTAACAGCATGTACACCACGCACACACAGAGCACATCACACGCACGCACACACACAGAGCACATCACACACACACACACAGCACGGCACGTACACATAAACAACAAAGACAAAGATCCCCCGTGTCGCCTAAACAGGCTGTTAGTGCTGTTGACAAGCGCCTATGAAGGCCGGCATGGCACACGAGGGGGTGGGTGGCCAGCACCATCCCCAGTGGTGATGTTTACACATCACACCGAGTCGAACTAGGGGAGGCCCACGGTCGGTTCAGAAAATCGTCACCGGTGTTGGCCAAGAGCAGGAATCGAACTCGGGTCACGGGGTTCGTAGCGCAGCACGCTAACCAACACATTACCGCTCCCCAAAATAAAAAGACAGACACACACATCGACACAAAGACAGACACACACCATCACAGACACACAAAGACACACCATCACAGACAACGGCCGCAACAACCCGGCAGCACCGGTCACGGCGGCACCCGCCGGGCGCGCCGCACGGTGCCGGGCGAGGGCTCACCGGACACGGCGCTGGTTGGCGGGGCACTGCACGCACGCGTTGCGGAGGCAGCGGAAGCACTCGCCGGCCACCTCGAGCTCCGCCCGGTCGGACCCCGCGCCGGCGCCGCCCGCTCGGACAGGTACCGTCACGGCCCCCAGCAGCTGACCAAGGCAGTCGAACAGTGCGGGCTCCGTCGCTTCCCTTCGCCGTCGCACGCCAGCGGTGGCGGAGAGAGAGGGATAGGGTGAGAGAGGGAGAGATAGGGCGAGGGGTTGGTGAACAAGCAGAGCGAGCCGGGGTGGCGGCACGCTCCCCGCGCTAGCCGGGTCACGCCGCACCGCGAACACGCGCCATCTGCGTACGTATGTTGAACTTCTTTCGCACTGTACGTAGCCAACCGCGCTTACCGAAGGCGCGGTGGGAAAGACAACAAACTCAACACAAAAAAGGAGTTCTGAAGAAATTAGTTTTCAATCGAGATGATTTAAAAGTGCACAGCTCGTAGTGGCTCCCTAAGGAAGGAAGAGCGTTCCAGACGGCCGCGGGAGCGCATCTGAAAGCTTCGCGATGCCGGTGACCGTCTTCGTTCGACGATTAACCAAAAGCCGCTGCTGCTGCGAGGACGACCGGAGTTCGCGTGATGCACTTTGACGAGATCAGCGCGGTATTGCGGTTCATTTGTGGCGAGCACTTTGCGTGTAACGAGTACGACGTGACGCCACAACAAATATCCGCCGAACGTCAAGAGTGGACTTAGTGGTACTATAAGCAGATCGTCAGTCGGGCTGACGTGGTCAGGCTGACGTGTTCGCTTGGGCAAACAGGCATCTGTCGATTCTAGAGCCGGGCTATGCGACCATTTAAGCAATCGATTACTCGAACGAGTATCAGTTCGAATGCGCGATTAATAAACAAGTTTGGGGGGGGGGGTGTGTCACCTCTTTTACCACGTGTGCCGCTGGATGAGAAGTGACGGCCATGGATTGGTGACTCCATCGGCACATACGTACATGCGTGCTTCATCCCCAGATCGGCAACGCCACGCGCAACAATCCACTCGTTTCCGATACAATGTGACAGGAATAGCATGCGAGGAATGCTGCCGTGGTTGCAATGGTCAACCACTCACTGGACTGGTGATCCATTCATACGAAGCGGTATGAATGGGTACAGCACAGTTAGTCGATTGGCAGGACCCAAGTGGTGGATTAAAGTGTCGCTACTCCCACCTCTGTCTTCTTCCAAGAATTCTGAGTGGCGCGCAAGAGTAGACACTCAAATTCCCCTCTATTGTGACCACCCAGAGCCCCCTCGAGTGGAGGGAAATTCACCATCACTGGCGTGAGAAGGTAGCTCCGGGTCTGCCACCACTACCTGTCGAGTCCAAGCCAACTTGGTTGCAGGTCGGGGATCCATCACAGGGAAGCGACGGCGAGGTGCGGAGGCATCAACGGCGACGGCCGGGATGACCTCTCGACCTTCACATTCGCGGCTTTTGCGCGCCGAGCCCCGGAGGCGGTGTCCCTTCACGGTCCCCAGACCGCCCCCCCACCCCCGGCTCGCTCCCACCCCTCCCCCCCCCCACCTCCCACCCCACCCCCCACGAGTTTTCGCTTCCACGTCTCGTTGGGCGCCGTCACGTTCGAGTGTTAACGCCGCCCCCGGCCACGAGGCGTAAACAGTGTCAGGGGCACGTCGCGCGGCAAGTGCTCGCGCAACAGACACCGGCTTCCGACTGACAGACAGCGCCAGCGATCTGAAGACGGGCGCGGCGGTGTGGACGCGGGCACGCCGAGCGATCTCCGCGCCGACGCGGTGGAACAGCGCCGACGCGGCTCAATGCACGTCCCTTCACCCATGTCCCCGCTGTCTGCCCGCACCCGCCGTTGCCCCCCCCCCACCCACCCACCCCGCCCCGTTCCACAAGAACGGGTGGTGGCGGAGGGGGGCCAGCACAGGATGGTTCGGTGGAGCCCCGGACCAACTCTGTGTGCAGCCCCCACCGAGTCTGTCCGTCTGTACGATTTGCTGATTTCGCACGTAATCCCGATCAATCTACGTCCTGTACTGGCGATCGCGGCAGCGGCTTTTGGCTGGCCATCCAACAAAGACGGTCACTTCATCGCGCGCATTCGGATGCGCTTCTGCAGCCAGGTGGAACGCTCTTCCTTCCGATGTTAGGAAGAAACTCGAGCTATCCACAGATTGAGAACTCATTTCTTGAAGACTGCATTTCGTGTTTAGTTTGTTGTCCTTCCCCCGCACCTCCAAGTACCACGGTTTGCTGCCTATGGTGCCAAAGAAGTTAAACTTACATATACACAACCTACATACAACACCTCAAACATTGGACTCGCTTGCAGTTAAGGGTTAACATTAATCTTTCACGGTTCGATTTTCATGATTCGATTCAATAACCGAGATCGTTTATAGCGTCCGCTGCGTCCGCGCTGGCAAGTTTCATCCGGTAGCCCACGCACAATGTGTACGTGTCCAGTCAGTTTTGACTTTCCGCTGCTGAATGAGGGCCTACCCACATCGTGAGTGTCGTGGGGGTTATTTGACCATACTTCGCAATTTTGGTTAATGCTAGTTTGTGAAGGCGTAAAGCAAGGATTCGGGAGCGCAGACATACAAACTAAACTATTCTTATTTTACAAAGGTAAGGCCCACCGAGCCATACAGCTCTTTTTCAGAAGCGACCTAGCCACAAATGATAGCTCAACAAAGTGGCTTATCACGTGGACATTTGTAGCAGCCAAATACTCTAAACATGTCAATCCTAAATGTGGAGGGAACAACCGGAGGACTCGGAGAAAAATCCACGGGACCGCCGGAAGAATATGCAAACTCCAAATATACAGCAGGCGTCAGGGTCGTGATCAAAACCCACGACCTCCTGCATACCAGGCGAGAGAGTTAACATTTTTAATATTCGTCTAAAAATACTTGTACTGTCCCAAGAATAACTATAATCACTTGAGCATGTGTTAACGTCATTCTCCAACAGATGAAAAAAACCCATGTACATCCCTCTTACAATATGGTAAAAAAACGACCCTCTGCTTGACCATCACTTGGGCCACATAGCCCTTTGGCAACTTGTTGTGTGCATGGTGTGTCACCCATCCAAGCACTATCCAGGCTAGAACCTGCTTGGCTTCTGAGGATCCGACGAGCTCGGGTGCATTCCAGGTCCGATTTCGCAGAAGTTCACACAAGCCTCAAAATGCGTGTACGTTCCCAAGAGGCAATAAAATAATTTTTAAATGCATTGACATCATTCTCCTCATAGATGGAAAAAAAATCCATTTCCATCCTTCTTCCAACGTGGTTAAAAAAACACGATCCGCTCTGCTTTACTACCACTTGTAAGGGCGACATATCCCTTTAACCCGTTGTGTGCATGGTGTGTCGCCCATCAAAACACTATCCAGGCTCGAACCTGCTTGGCTTCTGAGGACCCAACGAGCCGAGGTGCATTCCAGGTGCGATTTTGCTTACAAGCAGCAAATTCACACAAGCCCTCAAAGTGCGTGTACTGTCCCAAGAGCGAATACAATCGTTTGAAAATGTTTTGACGTAATTCTGTTCGTAGATGAAGAAAAAAAATGCATTTACGTCCTTCTTAACAAATTTAATAACTCCTCCATTGCTTTGCAGTTAACTTTTATCGAGCAATTGTTCTTTGGTTACTACGAATGTGCGTGCTTTTTGTACTGTACCGTGCATGCCCAAGCTAAAATGTCCATTACCTTATTGGAAATGAATTACGATGTTAAACGTTACACTGCTGTATTGTTTATTGCTGTTAAACCGTGTCGACTGATGAATATTGTTCATTGTTGTGGATTTTGTTTATAAGCGTAGTGTAACGTTACGGAGCCAGCTCTCCGTTGAAAAAATACTTTTGTTCACACTGGGCTCCACCTGGTTTTAATAAATATTTGATGATGATGATGATGAATCCATCTTACATTCGAGAAGGAAAAACGCCCTGGTATTTAACGGGAGTGGTGAAGTGCATTCCTTCATTCGGCAAATCCCATTGCGAGACTGTGGCATCTCCAATCAGACACGTTCAAATGACTTAGGTCTGGTTGGTCTTGCGCTGCACATCTTTGCGTGTGTTTTTTACGCTGTATGTATGTGTTAAACTTCTTTCGCACCGTACGTAGCAAAACCGTGCCAATGCCACCACATCTACACCCTCGACCCCCGGCTTTCGCCAATCCGCGCTGACCAGCATGACAAAGCATCATCGAAACAATCAAATAAACGCCACAAGCCGCACGGCGCGGGGAGGCCCTCATCCAGCAATAGATCGACAAAACTGTTCCACAAGTACATGCACTGGAACATCTAATTGTGATTATATGAATGACATTTTTTACCCGACACCATCTTCGTATATTGCCGATCGCGTTCGTATCCGCCTCTTCCAATCACACTTCCCTAGCGAGGTGATTCTTCTTATCAGTTATTAACGCTTCTTCTCATAAGATGCCCAAAACAAATTATCTCCATTGAAACAGTATTACCCAACATAGAGACAAAGTGTGTCCCTTCTCCAATGAGCACGGTGTGTCACTCAACTCTGCCGGAAGCCCTGAAGCAGTGGTGGAAATTGCACATTCCTATCACTGGCAACAGTCTATCCGTAAAAAAAAACCACCAGTTAACTTCACGTATAAATTGTTGCTCAATTTATTCACCGCCCAGGTGGATGATGGGTTGAAATTACCTCGTTATAGCAAGGGTAATTACGGATGTGAACGCCGTGGAAAGATCGTGGTGGTGCATGCCTGTCCATAGTCCAGCACTTTTTGAGGCAAGTGGATCGTGGAGATTTGTGAAACTCCCAAACCCGCCTGGGCTTGCGAAGTGGCCAGGGCCGGTCAGTACAGCAAGTTGGTTCGTGAACCTAACCGTACGGACCTTGTAAGTGTTATTCTGACGCATGCGTCGTTTTGGTGCCGCGGTGGCGAGATGTTAACTGCCTCGCATGGTATACGGGAGGCAGTGGGTTCGGTCCCAACCTTTGACAGCCTGTATATTTGGAGTCGGTATGTTTCATTCTCTCCGCGTGGTTGCGTGCATTTTTCTTCAGGTCCTTCGAGTATTTAGCTACTATAAATTTCCACATTGATAAGCCACTTCTTTGAGCTATGATGTGTGGCCAGGTCGCTTCTGAAAAAGAGCTATATAGCTCAGTGGGCCTTACCTAGTAAAATATAAATAGCTAGTTAGATAGGTTTCACCGAGTCCACCGGTTTCCCATCGCTCATGAAACGCGTGCATGAAGAGATGCGAGCGGTGCTCATCTCACATGCGTGCAATTGTTTTTTCCCCAAACGCTCCCGATTTCCCCGAACATGCAAACTGTCGCAATCTTACCAAGACGCTCCTTGAGGAGAGCCTCGAGACTCGGCAAAGGCCTTTTTTTCCGGACGAATGACACGACGACCGATGGAGAATGTCCGAACGGTGAATGTGTGGTGTGTGCAGCGCTCGCGTTGAGGAAAAACAAAAGGTTAAAGGGTTAAACGTGGACACGGGAAGGCTTGTTTTGAATTCCTCACCACGAAAGCGGCAGCCCGTCTCACGAGTGAAACGCTAGACCGCAGCAGAGTCCGGGGCGCGGGGCGGGTGCATGTCGCCCTCACCTGCGGAACGTTAACTGGCCGGAGCTGAAAGACTAAAAGGTGCCTAATGACCAATGGGGCAAGAGGAAGCGCCCACCGTTTAAGCCGCAAGGGCCACTCAAGCCACATTCCAAAACAGCCGAGGTACCCAAAAGTCGGGGGAACGCATGAGGTGCTGAAATGAAATAGGATAAAACCCCGAGGGGGTGAGTGTACACTGGCCGATACCGTGGCCTTTTAGGAGGAGATTTTTGGCGTTCGGATGGGTTTTTTTAAGGGTGGGATTAAATGTCAAATGCGCATCGCTCTCGAACCAGACAAGTGCTGCTTTCAAGACAGCTTACACCTGATCACAATAAATTACACTTCACCTGCTGCCATCGTTACGTCGCCACCAGAAGCACCATGTCAATGACAGAGATGTCGCCATGGAACAAGCATCTTAGAGACGGCGTGGAATTCGTATTAAGTACACAGCGTTTGAATGTAAGGGTTATTTCCTCAATATGATATACGTAGTGGAACTTTTATTTCACCAGGAGATGGAAACAACCCGTCAATACATGAAACATGGTCTCATTCGCAAGGATGTAATTGAATTCAACCACAAGTTTGGTTTTAAAAATCTAACAGGTTAAAACAAAGCATCAATAGCACAAATCTGAACGACAAACAAAACTAGAAACGAACTTCCACTTGCAGGCTTAATTCAGAAAAAGAACCAGTCAAGCGTTTAAGAGCAGGACTCCTCCTGACACAGCATCAACGTGGCTTCTACAATGTGGCTTAGCAGGTGTCATCTAAGCCCACGTTCTTTCTTATTTCGTCTGGCACGTTGTAGGCACGAGCACCACACTTTTGGAACTGCGATGTTACAATTGGACGTCTAGGAAAATGTTGTCATTCAACAGCATTGGCTGTCCACTGGTTAACTGCTTTGGTGGCGCCATGCAACGTAGTTGATGGGCAGTCAGCAGTTTATTTTATTGCTAACTAATAGGGCTGAACAATTAATCGATTTCAAATCGCAATTTGAAACAATGCGATTATCAAATCTCAAAGGCTGCGATTTTTTGCGATTTGAAAAGTCCTATTACTTTCTTATTGGAATTGTTATATTTTTTTTATTATTCTAACTTTATTTATTTAACTTAACATTTGTTCTATGTTTGATTGTTCGATATCAATTAAAACATTTTAATAAATACATGTTGGATGCAAATCATTTCTTTTAAGTTCTCATGCTTGCATTAGAATACACAGAGCAGTTCATATTTTGATGGTATCATGTGGTAATGCTCCATCACATGTTTTATATCTATTACACAGTGAATATTCAACTGAAGCTTGACTTTAAAAAATGTAATCGCCAATCCAATGGGCAGTCAGCAGTTGACTTTGTTGCTACCTAAGAGCATCAGTCCACTCGTAACGTAGACGGCTTCACAGCGCCACCACGTGTGAGCTCCTGCGACTACATCAGCGGGCCGCAGTTCTCCAGATCACGGCGAAAAAAATTATTCGCATTCAATCCCTGAAGCACTGCTCCTCTCAACCAGTACAAGCCGGGGGGGGGCTACGGTGCGAGACAAGTCAGGGGGGGGGCTCTGTGGGAGACAAGTCAGGGGGGGGGCTCTGTGGTAGACAAGGGGGGGGGCACTGGTAGACAAGGGGGGGGGGGCTCTGTGCTAGACAAGGGGGGGGGGCTCTGTGGTAGACAAGGGGGGGGGCTCTGTGGTAGACAAGGGGGGGGCTCTGTGGTAGACAAGGGGGGGGGGGCACTGGTAGACAAGGGGGGGGGGCTCTGTGCTAGACAAGGGGGGGGGCTCTGTGGTAGACAAGGGGGGGGGGGCTCTGTGGTAGACAAGGGGGGGGGCTCTGTGGTAGACAAGGGGGGGGGGGCTCTGTGGTAGACAAGGGGGGGGCTCTGTGGTAGACAAGGGGGGGGGGGCACTGGTAGACAAGGGGGGGGGGCTCTGTGCTAGACAAGGGGGGGGGCTCTGTGGTAGACAAGGGGGGGGGGGCTCTGTGGTAGACAAGGGGGGGGGCTCTGTGGTAGACAAGGGGGGGGGGGGGCTCTGTGGTAGACAAGGGGGGGGGGCTCTGTGGTAGACAAGGGGGGGGGGCTCTGTGGTAGACAAGGGGGGGGCTCTGTGGTAGACAAGGGGGGGGACTCTGTGGTAGACAGGGGGGGCTCTGTGGTAGACAAGGGGGGGGGGTTCTGTGGTAGACAAGGGGGGGGGGCTCTGTGGTAGACAAGGGGGGGGCTCTGTGGTAGACAAGGGGGGGGGGCTCTGTGCTAGACAAGGGGGGGGCTCTGTGGTAGACAAGGGGGGGGGGCTCTGTGGTAGACAAGGGGGGGGGGGCTCTGTGGTAGACAAGGGGGGGGGCTCTGTGCTAGACAAGGGGGGGGGCTCTGTGGTAGACAACGGGTGGGGGCTCTGTGGTAGACAGGGGGGGGGCTCTGTGCTAGACAAGTCAGGGGGGGGGCTCTGTGGTAGACAAGTCAGGGGGGGCTGTGGTAGACAGGGGGGGGGCTCTGTGGTAGACAGGGGGGGGGGGCTGTGGTAGACAGGGGGGGGCTCTGTGCTAGACAAGTCAGGGGGGGCTGTGGTAGACAAGGGGGGGGCTCTGTGGTAGACAAGTCAGGGGGGGGGCTGTGGTAGACAAGGGGGGGGGCTCTGTGGTAGACAGGGGGGGCTGTGGTAGACAGGGGGGGGCTCTGTGCTAGACAAGTCAGGGGGGGGGCTGTGGTAGACAGGGGGGGGGGCTCTGTGCTAGACACGCTGGAGGGGGGGCTCTGTGCTAGACAACCCAGGGGGGGGCTCTGTGCTAGACACGCTGGGGGGAGGGGGTGGAGGGGGTCCATGAGAGTGCACCAGGCCGCAGTCCAACCCCGGCCGTTACCCGCACCTGTTCGCCGGGTGAACGAAAGCGGCCGTCAGGGACCGGAGTGTGCCCAGCAGCGGCCTCCACGCGGCTGCCGCGGCGCCCGGGTCCCTCGCGCCGGCGGTGGCGGCAGCGGCGACGGCGGCGGCGTCGTCCGCAGCGCGCGAAGCGGCCTCGTCCCGCAGGCGAGCCGTGAGAGCCGCTACGTCCATGGCCTCCATGGAGGCCGCCATGATGGCCCGGTCCCCCGCCCTCCCCCGTTGGTACCACGTGACTCGTCGCGCGCGCGCCCACGGTGGGGAGGGAGTCACGTGACGCGCACCGCCCCCCCCCCCGCCGTTGGTACCACGTGACTCGTCGCGCGCGCGCCCACGGTGGGGAGGGAGTCACGTGACGCGCCCCGCCCCACCCCCCCGTTGGTACCACGTGACTCGTCGCGCGTGTGCCCACGGTGGGGAGGGAGTCGCGTGACGCGCACCGCCCCGCCCCCCCCGTTGTTACCACGTGACTCGTCGCGCGCGCGCCCACGGTGGGAAGGGAGTCACGTGACGCGCACCGCCCCCCCCCCGTTGTTACCACGTGACTCGTCGCGCGCGCGCCCACGGTGGGGAAGGAGTCACGTGACGCGAACCGCCCCACCCCCCCGTTGGTACCACGTGACTCGTCGCGCGTGTGCCCACGGTGGGGAGGGAGTCACGTGACGCGCACCGCCCCCCCGCCGTTGTTACCACGTGACTCGTCGCGCGTGCACCCACGGTGGGGGGGAGTCACGTGACGCGCACCGCCCCCCCCCCCGCCGTTGTTACCACGTGACTCGTCGCGCGTGCGCCCACGGTGGGGGGGGGAGTCACGTGACGCTACCCACACACCCCTCTCCCTCCTTCCCCCGAGCCCCCCCACCCACCACGTTCGCGGACCACGTGGGGTCAGTGGGGAGACGCGTTGCACGAGGCACGTGGCTTTCGCGGATTTTCGGAAGGCGTCCAGAATCAGAATTTTCAATGTTTTTTTTTGCAGACCGGAGGAAATCCGATGGGCTACGAAGTTTTTGTTTACACACATGTCCAGTATGGGTCAGAACACTATGCCGCGAACAGTTGGCGGAATGTCCCGTGGTGTTTGGCAGAGAATGGGACGAGATTTACAAACAATAAAACTGGTTCGTCGAAGGAAACTAATTATATACATTAAAGACGTTTCAGGCAATGGCCCACATGATTAGCTGCCACTTCGTTGGGCTATAATTTGTGGCCAAGTCGCTTCTGAAAAAATAAGCTAATAGCTGAGTAGGCTTTATCTGGTAAGATTTTTAAAAATAATGTTTAGTTTTATTTGCATTTTTTAAAAAGTTATTTGTTCACCTCTCCTATACTTTGCACTCCTATCGTGTTTTGTATTGTTTGTTGTAACGTTCTGACCTGCACCTTCCTGGACATCTGTGAAAAATAGCTTATGAGCTCATTCGATTCATCCAGTATAAATACATATTCTGTAAATTCAATGTGTGGTTAGCTGGCGCTGACGAAACGTTGCAGAATAGTGAAAGATTAATTTTATTTGTGAAGGGATTCAATTTGACACCACGTTACATGTACAATGGTAACATTGCGATGTTCTACATGCGTGATTATTGTGGTGTTTTACCAATGACAACGACGACGTGAAATACTAGACAATATAGCAACGATAATATTATTCTCTATTCAATTATTTAGCAGCATTTTTTTAAAGCTTTATAAAGTGTATACTGTATTGTAATAGCAGCATTGGCTAAGGCACAATCTTGTATTTTATGTAAAATAGGACTGTGCTCATACAACAAAAAGCTGTGCAATAGTGCTGTAATTAATATGTATATGCCACTTTTCCTTCTAAAAATATCCATACATATAAACTAATATTTATCTATATATGTGCGTTCTTTGTAAATAAGATACGGTATACGCTTAAGCAGTGCTTATTTTTCCTACAACAAAAATATATTGGTATTTTTTTTTTAAGATGCATTTCTAAAACATTGTACGTTACGTCTCATAGCAGTCCCATTGTTTCATCCAGGAAAGAGTCTCAAGATCTATTTTCAAATATGCTCAAAATGTCCCCCCCCCCCCCCCCCCCATATATTGATTGTGGTTATGGTTGCACTTTATGAATCCCTAATCTCTGCCATTACATACAATAAAACAAGAAAAGGTAAAAAAAGAAAAAACAGAGCAATGTAATACAATACACTATTAGACATTATTGTAAAAAAAAAGTCCATCCTATGTGTTAGTGATTTTTTAAAATATTTTAGGCAGGAAATGGAAGGAAATTAGTTTTCAAATTTAGATATATTTTTTTCTGGGGAGGGACACTCAATGTAAGAGGCACTGCAGTGGCGAGATGTTAACTACCTCGCCTGGTACACAGGAAGGTCGTGGGTTCAATCCTGACCCTGACACCTGCTGTATATTTGGAGTTTGCATGTCCTCCCCGTGGTCGCATGAATTTCTCTTTGGGTCCTCCGGTTTTCCTCTCCACATTTAGAAACAATATCATGCGTTTAGAGTTTTTGGCTGCTGTACAATTCCCTATTTCGTTGAGCCATCATTTGTAGCAAGGTCGCTTCTGAAAAAAGAGCTGCATAGCTCAGTGGCTCTTACCTGGTAATATTTAAAGAGTTAAGTAGTAACTGGTATTGGTAAAACATCCCAATGCAACAACAAAAAACATTCCCGACAAACTACTCAAGTGGGATTACAACAGCAACATCGCCCCGTCTGTGAAAACCTGAATCCTCTTGAAAAAAGATTTGAGAATCACTTTCATGGGTAAAAGCAAGCTTAATAACAAACACATTTAAAGCAGCACTTCCATCTTTCAACAAAAGCCAGATAATCAAAACAATGCTTACAAACGACGGTGCCTAGCTGTTGCACAATGCGCGCGCGACCTTTTAAGTTCTCTCTATAAACAACACTACATTCACGATTGTCTTGAGTTTGTCTATAAAGTGGAGAAACATTCTGCAAAGCGGTACTGGCCAAGGAGCCCAACGGGTGCGCAGCGTTGGCACAGTCGGTGCACAACGCCGTTGCCCAAAATCCGCGGCGCAGCTTTTCGAGTGTGCAGGCGGTGCAACTGCGTAAGGGCGCTTGCGGGCGGTGGTCCAGACGCTGGGGCGGAGGGGGGGCAGCGGTTAATTGCACCGAGGGGGCCACGTTTCACCCCTTACACCAGGGCCCATTCTGGCCGTGCAACAACAGCCGCGGTTCGCCACCAAGTGGCGCAGACGTCGCCGCGGCGTTTGTGCCAGGCTAGGTGCACGTTGAGGCCACGTGAAGCGTCGAAGGCTCCATGGCAGGAGGTCACGGAGACAGACCCCGATGTTATAATGGATTGACTGAGACACGCACCGCTACCCAAAAATACAGCTGCTCGGACAAAAAAAACATTGTCCCTGGTGGAAAACAAGGACCCATGGCTCCCTCCCCCCCGAAATGAACAGCACTACCTCCGCTCTGGGGAGGAAAGCTGGGGAGGCATTCACGTTCAAGTTAGAGAGGTCGGTGTCGCCATAACCGTCGATGTCTCTGCACATCGCCATCGCTTCCTTCCTTCTGCCAGACGCGAACACGGCGGTTGCACTGTTGAGATCTCCTCGACTCTCATTTGTTGTCCATTCCCTCCCGCACCTCCCAATTAGCACGGCTGGCTACGTACGGTGAGAACGAAGTTCAACGCACGGACGTACGTCCCTCATGGGGTTGTGTGTGTGTGCCCCCCCCCCCCCCCCATGGTTCAGATCTGGAGTGAGAACCCCCAGCGAAGACGGTCCCATGCCACAAGGACCCGGGACTGGCAAGTCCGAGGCCGGACTGCAAAGTCCACGCAACGCGTCGCGTGAGAACACTCGGTGTTGTGGACAACCCTGTCCACACAAGCAGCTACAACGGTTCATATCTTATCATACACTTTATATGAGTATTGTTAATTGCAGTGTAAATTATATTGTGTTAGAATTACACGGATATATAGTTTTAGTATATGGTTCGGCTCCTTTGTCACGCTTCTATAGCTACTACCATGGTTACCGTTCCCATGGACTTCACTCAAATGATTCCTCCAGCTGTGTTGAGAACTCGGCCTACCGGACCGTTTCACCTCATCCACCACCGCACCACAGGGCACAACACTCCTCCTTGACTCCCTTCTTTTCCCAAGTTCTTGTTCAATTCAAGGAACGTGTTGTTCGCCGGGTCGAAACTAGTCCAGAACTTTCCGTGTGTTGAACAAGTGCTGCTGAATTTATGATGATGCACTTTCCAGAAGGCCGTGTCCGCTAATGGGATGAGTACACAATTTGAAAGTTTTTTCTGTGGAGGCACAAATATGTGAGGGAGGCACATTTTCTCGCACCTCCTATTAGCACGTGTGGTTACGTACGGTGCGAAAGAAATTCGACATACAATGAGATGTGATCTCGCCTCTCCTCGCATGCAGGTCGTGGGTTCGATCCTGGACCCTGACAATGCCTGTTGTATCTTTGGAGCCTGCTTGTTCTCTCTCTCCCCGTGGTGGTCGCGTGGATTTATCTCCTAGTACCTCCGGTTTTTCCCCCTGCCACGTTTGAAACAATACGCGTTTAGATTATTATGTTACTATTCGGCTATGACTATACATTCCCACATGAGATGATATCAGTCACTACGGTGAACTATCATGCGTGGCCAGGTCGCCTCTAAAACGAGAGCTAACAGCTCAGTGGCCTTCAACTGGTCAAATAAAAAATGGTTTAGTTTAATAGTACCATCCATCCGTTGCTGAGCAGTTGGCATTCGTGGGCTTTTGGGCCCGCGCTAGGCAACCGTGATCACAGAAAATATGCTCGCGATGTACACGCTCTGCACCCTTTGACGCGCGGCGTATTTTGGAAATTCGGCGAAGTTTTTATGCGCCGGGCCGTTGTTATTTTGAAATCCGCCGTCGTCTCGCCCACAGCGAGCTGTCACAACAACGCCGTCGTCACTTGGCGCCCGAGATATTCACAAGTAGGGGGTGGGTGGGGGGGCCTCCGAGCGTGGCGTTTCTCCTTCCTTCCCCGGTTATGTATATTTTTTCGCCGCACGTCAACACGACCGGCAGCCTCTGCTGTCATCGCCGAAAACTTAGCGGCGGAAATTGTTACGGCCAAGCCTCAGCGGTAACAGTTCACACCCCGTCCCGGGCTGGCACACAGGTATGGTCGGTGGCAGGGGGGGGCGCGTAGGGGTGGAAGGGGAACATTTAAAGGATAGAGGCGCAGCCCTGAAACTGCACACTTACGCCACCCGCCCACGGAATGGCCTTTCGTAACTGGAGGGGAGCAACTTCTTGATTCTACGGGGGTGTTACTGGCCTACTCTTCTTGGTTGGCAGCGATGTCTTGGAGTAGGTGGGAGAAGCCACGCTTTACCGCACCGCGCGTGGCCTACCGAGCGACTGACCGCGGGAGAACCCGTTTATACCGTTGGCTCGACAGAGCAGGGTAAGGAAACTTGCCTATCGTACGCGGAGCAGTTCCGCGCAACGGGGGCGTATCGTCCTCTGACCAATGAATGTTTTGCACCCTCAAATATTTTCCACGCTAGGTCGCCGCCAATGTCCCGACTCCAACCATCGGTGTCATCCCCAGTCTCATTGAGGCCGACTCCTCGTGTTTGTTGTTCTCCCCCTGCAGCACCTCTGACTAGCACAGTTGGCTACGTGCGGTAGGAGAGAAGTTCAACATACGTACATACACAACAAGCGAATGTATATTTAAACGTCCAATTTAAAATCATTGTAGTTTTATGTCATTAGCTTTTCTGGTTTCGTTCCGATGACGTACATGTGCATCATCAAAACGAAACCGGAAGAAAAAATCAATTAACTTTATCGGTACCGAGGCTCCGACAAGGCCACGCGGGAGGGCGTGTAGCGCAGTCTGACGCCAACTATCATAGAGTTGCGGCCGTGTCGCTACACTTCTCTGCGGTGAGTACAATGTCTTTAAAAAAGAACGGCGCTACGCCTCTCTAAATAGAATCAACGCTGAGCCGCTTGCGTGCTCTAAGATTCAGCGGTAAACGGGACGCCCACCCGACAAACTTGCAGATGTCTCAGAAGGGGAAAGGGTTAATATCATCGCTGTCCCTCTGTTCGACATCATCACGAAACGCCGTGGTACTCGAATTGTAAATGTGGGTTTACTCTCCAACACACCGGTGTGCTGAACTAGTAACCAATTTGCAGGTTCTGTTTACGTGACAAACCTTACCAATTGCCTGTGCCCGGTGGTGGCGGGTTTCATGACACACTTATATTTACAACGATCTAACCAGAAAAAAACCTCAACAGTAAAACCTTGGATTGCGAGCATAATTCTTTCCGGAAACGTGTTTGTAATCCAAAGCACGTACTACTCGTATTGCAAGACCTCGCTCGTTTATCAAATTAATATTTATTTTTAAAAAATTGCTCGTCTTGCAAAACACTCGCAGACCAATTCGCTCGCAATCCAAGGTTTTACTGTATTACGGATCATCATCACCATCGTCGAGGGGGAGGTGGGACGGTGGGGCGGGTGGGATGGCGATCGCCGCACCCCGGGACCTCAGAACCAGTAGGGGGAGAGGTAGACATGCGCGTAGACCACGTTGCGGTGCGACAGCGCCCTGCCCCGCTGGTAGTCCATCTCCAGGCGCAGCACGGTGGACACGGGCCCCGTCACGGAGCGCAGGAGCCGCACCTTGCCTGCGCCCGGGAGCCGAGCAACGAAACGGAGGGGCTACGGTCAGTTCTCATGACGCAAATTGGATGATAACGCGGTCCATGCATTCGGGAAGACATTTTTTTTTATATGTATAACGCTGGATGACGACTGAGTGAACGGACCTACGTCCCGCGCGAATAGGAACGAGCGCGATTTGTGCGTCTGCCTCGGCGTAGCATCGCACAAGGCACTGGGATGCTGCTGGATACTTCGAGACGCTATCCAGGCGCCTCGGGTCTTTGTTCGGCCTGCGTTACGCATCTCGCGCGTTATCGCGGACCGTGCTTTACCCCCCCTGCGCGCGCCTCTCCGCGCTGCGCAATCGTGGGCTCGTTGGGGTGGGGGGGGGGGGCCACAGCGGCCGCTCACCCGTAGAGACGCCGTTTTCCTCCGTCTTGATGACGTCGAACAGCCCCAACTCGTTCCCCTCCGTGATGCGGAACGACACGTCCAGCCCCGTCGCCGTGGGGATGGCGGGGGACGCCACCCGCAGGTAAATCACACCTGGCGCAGGCAAGGTGGGGTGGGGGGGGGCAAGGTGAGGGGGGAGGTTAAAGGGTGGCACGGTGTCGTCGAGCGCCCGTCGGGCAGAGCCGTCGGACCCCAGTCTTGGCGAGTCTTTCCGGAGAGCGTGAGGAGGACGAGAGGTCTCGCGGCCGAAGGCCCTCAGACCGGCACGCGGACCCTGGGACTCGTTGAACGGGTCGCAGTCGCCCCCACGGATGCCCTGAGACTCATTGGTCCTGCCCCGGCTGCCATTGGGGCTCTCCGCTGTTGTTGGTGCTGGGCCAAAGTTGCCGAGCCCCGAGCTGTCCTGCATTGTTGGCTCTCTCTCTCTCATCTCTCCCGTGTTTCCCTCACCCTCCCCGACTCACATGTTATCGCCATGTAGGGTTTCACACGAAAGGCGATGCCATTTTTTGCGTCTTGAGCAGAGGTCGCAAACGGGTTTTGATTCCTTACCCGTACCCGGCCGCACCAGGGTCGCAAACGGGTACCCGTACCCTACCCGATACCCGGCTACCCGTACCCCGCCGGGTATTGGGTAGGGTACGGGTGCCCGGTTGCGACCTCTGGGATGAAGACATGTTGCAGGCGCGGGTGGGTTGATTCTAGGAACTTGAATTGTGAGAAGAGACAAGACGTTGGGAAATGAGTGACAAACGGTTACTCACCAGTGACTCACGGCCTACCCGTACCCGTACCCGGCCGCACCAGGTTCACAAACGGGTACCCGTACCCGTACCCGGGTACCCGGTTGCGACCTCTGGTCTCGAGACATCGACCGCGAGCGTGCGCGGTCAAGTAGAGGGAAATCGTTTTCGTTTGTCGTGCGAGAGAGACGGAGGGAGAGAAAGGGAGAGGGGGGGAGCGAGCGCGGAGAGCGTGCCTTCTGGCGCCTGCAGGTCGGGGTACGCCGGCAGCGAGATGAAGGTGAAGGAAATGGCGCTCACGGGGTCGGTCCAGCAGGCGCCGTCCGTCACGGCGCAGTCCAGCTTCAGGCAGCGGAGAGACTCGGTCTTGCGGGGGTCCGCCCTGCACGGCGAGACGGTCAATCGGGCCGACGGTCGACCCCCCACCCCCCCCCCCAAACATCACAGTGGCTAGGAGATGTTAACTACCTCGCCTGGTACACAGGAGGTGGTGGGTTCGATCTCGACCCTGACGCCTGCTGTATATTTCGAGTTTGCGTGTCTCTCACTATCATCATCATGGTGGCTAGGAGATGTTAACTACCTCGCCTGGTACACAGGAGGTGGTGGGTTCGATCTCGACCCTGACGCCTGCTGTATATTTCGAGTTTGCGTGTCTCTCACTATCATCATCATGGTGGCTAGGAGATGTTAACTACCTTGCCTGGTAAACAGGAGGTTGTGGGCTCGATCCTGACCCTGACACCTTCTGTGTATTTAGAGTTTGTGTGTCTCTCCCTCTCTCATCATCATCACAGTGGCTAGGAGATGTTAACTACCTTGCCTGGTACACAGGAGGTTGTGGGCTCGATCCTGACCCTGACACCTTCTGTGTATTTAGAGTTTGTGTGTCTCTCCCTCTCTCATCATCATGGTGGCGAGGAGATGTTAACTACCTTGCCTGGTATACAGGAGGTGGTGGGTTCGATCTCGACCCTGACGCCTGCTGTATATTTCAAGTTTGCGTGTCTGTCATTATCATCATCATCACGGTGGCTAGGAGATGTTAACTACCTTGCCTGGTACACAGGAGGTGGTGGGTTCGATCTCGACCCTGACGCCTGCTATATATTTGGAGTTTGTGTGTCTCTCCCTCTCTCACCATCATCACGGTGGCTAGGAGATGCTAACTACCTTGCCTGGTATACAGGAAGTCGTGGGTTCGATTCTGACTCTGACGCCTGCTGCTGTATATTTGGAGTTTGCGTGTCTCTCTCTCGTGGATTTTTCTCCGGGTCCTCCGTTTTGTCCGTCCACGTTTAGAATCAACGTCGCGCGTTTAGAGTATGTGGCTGCTGCTATACATTTTCACAGTGATGGTGATAAGCCACTTCGTTGAGCCATCATTGGTGGACAGATCGCTTCTGAAAAAGAACTACACAGCTCAGTATAGTTGAGTTGAGTTGCCACGTCACGGGGGGGGGGGCGGCCAGGGGTGGGGGGGGGGCGGGGGGTTGGGTGGGGGGCCCCACCTCTCGCCCATGTGGCGGTAGTTGGGGGGGCACCGGAAGGACAGGCAGCGGAATCCGCCCTGCACGTTGAAGCACGTCTCTGTGGCCGAGCAGTCGTGCCTGCGCGTGGCACACTCGTCGATGTCTGCTCGCCCATGGGGGGGGGGGCAAAGAGGGGAAGGTTCAAGAGGGGGGGGGGGGGGCGCGTTGGTCAGGGTCAATGAGCGTGGGTGGGCCGCGTCGCTGGCCGTGTTGAGGAAGACACACAACGCACGTGCGAACGCGCGCCACCCCCATAACCGACGTTAGTTGCCACGAGTGTTGATCCGGATGCCCATCAGGTACGGCCACCCTGTGACGGGCATCATCGTCATCTGCTCCGCGAGGTTTTCCTTCGAACCTTCGAAGCAGAGGCCGCCCATTGTGCAGCAATAACTTCAGGCCATCGTTGTTATCGGGTTACTCCCATCTGTCTGTACGTGCGTTGAACTTCTTTCGCACCGTACGTGGCCAACCGCGCTAATCGGGAGGTGTGGCGGAAGGACAACAAACTAAACACGAAACAAGAAATGCTCATCGCGGAGCACGTCCCAGGTCTCGTCTCCTATTGGGCCGTCCATAAATGACGTCACGCGATTTAGGACGATTTTTTACCCCCCCCCCCTCGTCACACGGCGTCACAAAAAGTCAGACCCCCCCCCCTCAAATATGACGTCACAAAGCTCTGCCCCCCCTCCCAAAAAATAAAACATGCTTCAAATAACTTTAAACGATTGTCATTGTAGTGCGTATTTAATGTGGCGCTGCACTCTGATGTTGTAGGAGAAATCATTTATTTAAAAGTCTATTTAAGTAGAACGTGTTGTCTATATTATTTGTGACGTCACATTTCTCAAACCCCCCCCCCCCCTCGTCACACATCGTCACAGATGTCTGAACCCCCCCCCCCCCCCGCTAGGTGTGTGACGTCATTTATGGACGGCCCCTTTGCCCTGGACACCGCTCCACCCCCCCCCCATGCCTCACGTCCTCACCTTGGCAGCCGCGGCCTCCGTTGATCACGGTGTAGCCCGGCTCGGGGCAGGTGCATTGGAAGCTGCCGATTGAGTTGAGGCAGCGATGGGTGCACAGGTTCCCGCCGGAGAACAGCGTGCACTCGTCAATGTCTGCGCGGGGCGGGAGGGGGGCGGGGGGAGAGGTTACGGGGGGGGGGGCGGACAAGCGGAGAGGAGCCGCGCTTCTACCACTGGGAGCCACGGGGCTCCATGTCCCCAAGTCACCGGACAACGCCTGGCCCAGTTCGGACGTCGCTACCACCTGGTTGGTGGTCAGTGGGGGACTCATTGGGGGGGGAGGGGCGATGGGGGGGAGCGAACCCTCCCCCCCACCCTCTACACCCCGCCCCCACCCTTCCCCCCCACCCTTCACCCCCTCCCCCCGTCCCCGTTCTGCGCCCTCTCCAGCGCCCAAACCCGGAGACAACCCACCAGCAATGGGGAGAGCAGACAATTGCAGGGCTGCACCTTTACCCTCTTGGCCATATCTCACAATTTAATTTGGAGCTTTCGTGACTGCAGGAATTACTCTTTGGTTCTTTCGGTAAAGTCACGTATAAAGAGAAAATAATAAATTAAATAACGTCGTAACGTCGTATGCTAGTATTTAATTTATTTTTTTCTCTTTATACGTGACTTTACCGAAAGAACCAAAGAGCATATCTCACAAACTATAAAAAAAACCACATCACAAGCAGCGATAGCTCAGCAAAAGGGGCTTATCACCACGTGGAAATGTATAGCAGCCAAAGACTCTAAACGGTTGATGTTGATTTGTTAATGCGGAGGGGGAAAACCGGATGGACCCGGAGACAAATCCACGCGACCACGGGGAGAGAGACACCGCAAACTCCCAAATATACAGCAGGCGTCCGGGTCGGGATCGAACCCATACCTGGCGAGGGAGATGTTGGGAGGGTGGTGAGGCGGCAGTGGGGGGGGGGGGTGCGTGACGGGACACGCTGGACAGTCGTAGAGTCTACGCCCCTGTCTCCCAGGTAGTGCAATCCGTGGGAGGGGTGGCGGTGGGGGTAGTCGCGTTACCTTCACATGCCCTGGGGTTGCTCTCGCTGGGACGGAATCCGCGGCGGCAGTAGCACTGGTACGAGCCGTACACGTTGGCACACTCCTGCGAGCATGGGTTGCCCTCGCACTCATTCACGTCTACCACGCCACAGACACACGCCATGGACGACACACGGCACGACATTTGAAAAAATTCGGTCGATTTTGTCGTCCGACGCAGGATCGTCGTTCAGTCGGCACGGGTTGCGCGCACTTGCAGGCATCCGTTGGTAGCTAGCGCCGTGCCAATCCGATCATTTACGCGATCGATTGCTCTTTCGGTTTTCCGGTTATATCATCGGTTCGGTTGATCGACCAACCGGGCAACGTGAAAATAGTTGGAAGAGGAAGAATAAGAAAATTAAAGCCCTCTCCTCAGCTTCGTTGCGAACGTGCACCACGCGGGACGGGGAAGGTGACGGGCGCCACGTGGCGATCGTCATCGGCCGCCGTCACTCTGGACAGCGGCGGCTCGTAGGGCTCGGCAAACAGGCCGTGGAAGCACAAAACCTAACCGTGAGGGCTCCGCCGCGCTGGCTCGGCTCGGATGTGCCAGTGGAAAAAAAGGGTAAAAGTGGCATCGGGCAGGCGGGCGGGCGGTGGCACGCGCCTATGGCAGGGATCCCGTGGATCATTTCAGATTTGTGAAACACTCGAACCCGCTGAGCTGCAAAGTGGCCAAGAGGTGGCAGCGCAGCCAGCGGGTTCGTGAATTCATATGTTTGAACCTTTCAAAGTTATCCCGTCTCTTACGCCTGTTGGGTTTTCTCCAGGCACCTCCAGTTTCCGAGAGTGGTGGCGCCCATCTCAGAGAGGACCAAAGACGCTTGACTCAGATGGCGAGGTCGCGTAGTAGCAGTAGGATATAATGATTAGGACGCTTAAATCACACGCCAACATTTCAAAAACGTGACGAAAGGAAAACCCACTTTTGACGGTGATGCACATGGGGCAGAGACTGAGAGCGCGTGCGTCGAAAAAAGACCGTGGAGTGGTCGTGGAGATGATGCCCGAGACGGGGACAAGTGGAGAGAGAGAGAAGGGAGAAGCGACACAGAGCCCACGTGCATGAGGAACTACTACGACTACTATGATATATATTTTTTTATTTCACCAGGTAATGCCCACTGAGCTGTAGAGCTGTTTTCCCGAAGCGACCTGCCTATGACAAATGACAGCTCAACGAAGTGGCTTGTCACGTGGAAAAGCACAGCAGCCAAATACTCTTAAACAGCACGATGATTCTAAATTCGGAGGGTAGAACCGGAGGGACCCGGATAAAAATCCACGCGACCGCGGTGAGAGAGACGCAAACTCCAAATATACAGTAGGCGTCAGGGTCGGGATCAAACTAACGACCAGCTCCTGTATACCAGGCGAGGTAGTCAACATCTCCTAGCCACCGTGATGATGATGAGAGAGGGAGAGACGCTCAAACTCCAAATATACAGCAGCAGGCGTCAGGGACGGAGATCGAGCCAACGACCACCTCCTGTATACCAGGCGAGGTAGTCAACATCTCCTAGCCACCGTGTGTGCCATGCCGGTAGGAAAGGAAGGGAAGGCTGCATTGTGTCCACCTTCACAACTCCTCCCATCGGCAGCCAATCGGAAACCCAGGCTGCAGGTGCAGTAGTAGGATCCTGGGGTGTTCTCACAGGTGTGCGCGCAGAGGCGTCCAGGGTACTGCCTGCACTCATTCACATCTTTACAGACAGGCGGCGGACACAACGAGCGTCATCGCGGAAGGGCACCTCAAGGCAGCAGTGTGTACGTTGAACTTCACTCGCGCCGCACGTGACCCAACGTGCCAATCGGAGCTGTTGTCCACAGCTCAATGAAAATTGTGCTCTTTAAAAAGCGGCGTCATTGCAGCGGGTGTGTGTCTTTATATTTTTTTTGACGGATCTCTGCGGAGCATAAAATACTGAGGTGTTGTTGCAATTCAATGAGATAATTGGGAGAACTGATGATGTGCAAAGCAGCCAGGGTTCTTCTGGTAACTGGGCTCAATGCAAGTCACTGGATTTCACCCCCATTAAATCTAGAGTCGGGAACCCTATCTCCTTACTGAGGGCCGAAAACGACCCTCAAATACCCTTGGTTAGAGTCCACTAATCAACGCGCACGTGCGCGCCTTCGTGACATCTGTCACCGCGAGAGGACACGCACACTGTTTTTGTTGCCAGGTCGAAAACATTTCCCCTCTAAGCACCCGATTGGTGCGGCTCAGATGCTTGCAGCGGCGGGCACAAATGTTGTTTGTAAATGGCAGGCGTCCGTGGAGTTGCAGGCTTGACACGAGGTTTTTCCCGCAGCTGCCGATTGGTGGGCGGGGTTACCTGAGTAGCAGGCGGGGCTACTCGAGCAGTGGGCGGGGCTACCTGGGTAGTGGGCGGGGCTACCTGGGTGGTGGGCGGGGCTGCCCTAGTTGTGGGCGGAAGCTAACCGGGTAGTGGGTGGGGCTACCCGAGTAGTGAGCGGAGTTATTTGGGTAGTGGGTGGGGCTACCTGGGTAGTGGGTGGGGCTACCCGAGTATTGGGCGGGGTTGGCAGAGTAGTGGGTGGGGCTGCCCTAGTTGTGGGCGGAGCTACCTGGATAGTGGGTGGGGCTACCTGGGTAGTGGGCGGGGCTACCTGGGTAGTGGGCGGGGCTACCCGAGTATTGGGCGGGGTTGGCAGAGTAGTGGGTGGGGCCTATGAACGGTTAGGCGGCGGCGAGGGGGGGTCAATGTCGGAGTCAGAGGTCAACCGCCGTGTGGGTGGGGGGGGGTAGTGACTGAGTGGGTGTGTCTATGTAAAAGTGGGTGGTGCCGATGGAGGCACGGGGGCTGACAGCTCACCGGTAACTGTGGCTGTACGTCTCAGCACGGTTCCATTGGCAAGAAGAAGAGAATAAGAAAGCGGCGGTGGATGAGAGGGAGCGCGGGAGGGGGGGGTGGGAATCGGCGGATGCGTTGGGGGGGGGGGGCCTCACCGACGCACAGCCCGCCGATGCCTTCGTAGGCGAACCCCGGCAAGCAGTCGCAGCGGAAGCCGCCGGCCGTGTTAACGCAGAGGCGCGTGGGGCCGCACGGGCGGGGAGGCCCCCCCGAGCACTCATCCACGTCTGCACACCAAGCCAAGCCGAGCCAGACACCGCAGCCTCAGCACGCACGGAGCGACGGGGGGTGGGGAGCTAACGGGAGGCGAGCCAAGCGCAAGCAACGGCGAAGCTATTCTATTAACATTGCTTCCCTTTATTAATGCTACCCCTATCCCCTCCCTTTGATGCTGCTAATCCTGCATAATGCACGGGCATAATATGACTTTGAAACCCCCCGCCCACCTCCTACGCATTTCACAAGTAGTACTAATCACATATCTGCATTTCCCATAAATATGCTAAATTTCTCTTGCTATGCAAATTATTTTGTCAAGGCGCTCTTCCCCCTCCAACCCAGCTTATTATTTCCCTTCTACGTGACTTTACCGAAAGAACCAAGAAGATTAAGCTACTGGAGTTAAGGGGATGCGCCTGCGACGGCCGAGTGTAATGAGAATATCGCTCGAACTTTACTGCCGGGGGGCGCCTCGGGCCGCGAGATGTCCGCAGCCGAATTGGTGGAAACTACGCAGAGCGGTGGCCGGCACGGTTGCGCCAAATCTTCGGCGACGGTGCCGCGGCAGCGGGGAGGCGGGCGCGAGGTTTCAGCAACCTCGGTTCTGGGCGTGAGCGCGTCCCACGGCAGTGTCACCTGCGTGGATCTGCGTGTCGAGGGCCTACGACGCCGGCTGCCACGTGGGCGATGCGCTGCCGTGGCGCGTTTGGCGCTGGCCCTCGTGCCGTGAATTAAATGGGGGGCCGCCACCTCTCCGGAGGTGCATACGGATGCATGAACTTCTTTCGCACCGTACGCAGCCAACCGTGCTAAACGGAGGTGCCGGGGCAAAGGACAACAAACTAAGCGCAAAAAGCAGTTCGAAATGAATTCGATTTCACTCTAAATGATTTAAAAGTGCATAGCTCCAGCGGCTTTCTAATATCGGAAAGAGCGGAAGCACATCTGAAAGCGCACGATGCACTGACCGTCTTTGCTCGATGGGCAGCGAAAGGCTGCTGCTGCGAGGATGACCGGAGTTCGCGTGATGGTTTATGCTCCTTGACGAGATCAGCAATACGGCAATACCAAGCATAAAAAGAAGACAACCCTATATCTGGCAACCTGTTTTTTAAAAAAGTAAAAAATGTCCAAAAAATGTTTTGGACGATTTCAGATATTTTTTTCGTAATTTCGGATAATTTACGTGAAATGGTTACTTGTCTACACGCTAGCGTAAGTGACGTCGGATTGTTGTTGTTGTTTTCTGCGAAAGAATCAATGTTCGTCTTTTGAGTCGTATCTACGCGTCACATTCAGGGAGTCCCGCTCTGGCAGAAGCAGATCGGGACACATACCAAGAAACTAAACTAAAAACTAAATGTTTATTTTATTTTACCAGGTAAGGCCCACTGAGCTACATAGCTCTTTGTCAGAAGCGACTTGGCTATCACAGATGATAGCTCAACGAAGTGGCTGATCATCGCATGGAAATTTATAGCAGCAGCCGAATATTCACAAGAGAGTTTTTCAAGGTTTGATCGCGTGAATAAACCCGCCACCACCCAACACAGCCAATTAGTAAGGTTTGTCACGTAAAAAAAACTTGCCAATTCGTTACTAGTACAGCACACCCGTGTGTTGGAGAGCAAACCCACAACATTCACAATTGTAAATGTTGTGGGTTTGGTGGCGGGTTTAACGACGCATTTACATTTACGCGATCGAACCCAAAAACCTCTATTGTGGATAATATTGGTCGCAAAAGCCGACCACGTGTTCAACTGAGCAGCCTAATACTCTAAAGAGAGGGGAGGGATGACCCCGAAATGTCACGTTTTAAACGTGGCCCGACAATAATCACAAACGAGAAAAACAAAAACGTTCACGCGATCTTCCCTGGTCAATGTCTTTGTTGGCGACAACTCGTTTGTTGTTGTTTGTGATTCTTGTTTTTAACTTTGCTTGGTACTAGTAAGAGGTTTTCATCTGCTTGGTCGTGGCTGCATTTGGGATTTGGTTCCTTCTATATAATTAATGTATGGCGTTGTGGGATGCTATTAGCATGATTGATGCGAAATAAAATACAAATATTATTACATTTTAACAATATCCCTCTTTTCAGGGTCTCAAAGGAAAACGTTGGTGAAAGGGGGGGGGATAATCGCCCCCATTGCACCCCCCCATCCCCCCCCCCCTTGGATCCACCACAACACTTTGGCAAGGGTCGGAGAGCGCGAATGCTGCTGCCGCTGCCGCTGAAAATCAGTGGAGAGCAAGAGGAGGAGCGGTCGCTGAGCGAGAAGCGGAGGTGGCGCGGAGAGCGGACAGCCAGCCCAGGGAATGGACAGCCAGCCCAGGGAATGGACAGCCAGCCCAGGGAATGGACAGCCAGCCCGGGGAATGGACAGCCAGCCCAGGGAATGGACAGCCAGCCCAGGGAACGGACAGCCAGCCCGGGGAATGGACAGCCAGCCCAGGGAATGAGGGAGTGAGAGAGACGGGAAGAGGCCACCGTGGGCAAGGGCGCTAGCGGCGCCGGAGCTCTGCGTTTGTGGGAGGAGCGGTCCTCTGCGAGTGTGTGTGTGAGCATCGCTCTGTGAGTGTGTGTGTGAGCAGTGTTTTGTGTGTGTGTGTGAGCGGTGTTCTGTGTGTGTGTGTATCACTCTGTGAGTGTGTGTGTGAGCGGTGCTCTGCGTGTGTGAGTGTGAGCACTCTGTGTGAGTGTGTGTGTGAGCATCACTCTGTGAGTGTGTGTGTGAGCGGTGCTCTGTGAGTGTGTGTGAGAGTGGAGAGTTTCCCATACCTGGGCAGTGTGCTTATGACCGGCTCCAGTCTATCAGCAGAGGTCTCACTCCGAATCAGTCGAGCGGCAATATCTTTTCATCGGTTGCGTAACGCTGTGTGGAAGCTACCTGGTCTGTCGCTCCGCACGAAGCTTCAGGTCTTCTCGGCCACGGTCATTCCCTCCCTTCTCTACGCTTGCGAGACGTGGACCCCCCTGGTGGAGCATCTTCGCCGGTTGGAAACATTTAGGCTGGCCTGCCTACGATCCATCCTGGGTTTAACCAGGCTGGATTGTGTGAGGAGCTCACAAATCCTTGAAAGATCTGGGCAAAGTCCCATCAGTGAGCTCCTCCGGCAGGCAAGGCTGCGTTGGCTGGGTCATGTAGCCCGCATGCCCAGCCACCGCATGCCTAAACAGCTTTTGTTCGGCCGGATCGAGGGGGCTAGACGGGCGCGGCACGGGCTGGAGAAGAGATGGAGTGATGTGGTACAGGAGGACGTGGAGCTGAGTGGACTTGCCGATGACTGGTACCAGCGGTGTCAAGATCGGCCTCAGTGGAGGAGGCTCGTGAAGGACGCTACTGGGCAGTTGGAGGCAGTCGCCCTCCAACAACAACGGAGGGCGGAGGAGCGACGCTCACAACAACGAGCGGAGCGCCGGGTGGCTAAAGCACAGCAAGTTGGCACAGTAGGGGGCACAGGTGGTGCATCAGCCAGTCATCTCGGTCATCTCGGTCAGTCGACCAGTGGCACCTGGGTCTGCCCCGTGACCTCCTGCCAGCGGGCTTTCGACACTTCACGTGGCCTCAAGGTGCACTTGGCCTGGCACAAGCATCGTGGTGACGTCACCGCCACTTAGTGGCGAATGGCGGTTGTTGTTGTTGTTGTTGTGAGCATCACTCTGTGTGTGTGTGTGCGATGCTCTGCATGTATGTGTGTGAGCCTCACTCTGTGTGTGTGTAAGGAGCGGTGCTTGTTGTGAGTGTGTGTGCGGTGCTCTGCGTGTGTGTGTGAGCGTCACTCTGTGAGTGTGTAAGGAGCGGTGCTCTGTGTAAGTGTGTGTGCGGTGCTCTGCGTGTGTGTGTGTGTGTGAGCATCACTCTTTGTGTGTGTAAGGAGCGGTGCTCTGTGTAAGTGTGTGTGCGGTGCTCTGCATGTATGTGTGTGAGCATCACTCTGTGTGTGTGTAAGGAGCGGTGCTCTGTGTAAGTGTGTGAGTGGTGCTCTGTGTGAGTGTGTGTGTGTGTGGTGCTCTGCATGTGTGTGTGTCAGCCTCACTCTGTGTGTGTGTAAGGAGCGGTGCTCTGTGTAAGTGTGTGAGTGGTGCTCTGTGTGAGTGTGTGTGAGCATCACTCTGTGAGTGTGTGTGTGTGCGGTGCTCTGTGTGTGTGTGAGCGGTGCTCTGCGCGTGTGTGAGGAGCGGCGCTGTCTGTCGGTGGTGCGGCGGTCGCTACCGAGGCACTGGGAGCCGTCGGGGCTGGCGCGGAATCCCCGCCCGCAAGTGGCGCTGTCCTGCTGGCAGGCGAAGGAGCCCAGCGTGTTCACGCAGCGGTGGTCCTGCGGGCACGGCGCTGGCACCGCCGCACACTCGTTCACATCTGCGGAGGAGCACAAGGCGGTGGGAGACGGAATAATTATATTGTTTATATTTTACAATCGCATCGGCTTCTTGGTTCTTTCGGTAAAGTCACGTAGAAGGGAAATAATAGAATTATAAAAATAAAACATAATAAAATACAATTCTCACGACGTTTCGGCCACAACGCAAGCAGCCGTCCTCAGGTGAAGAACAGGTCTGTCGGAAAGACAACGTCTGAATGAACACCGCCAAGCTTGGCAGGGTATATTTAAGCTGGGTTAGGGGGGGAAGGGCGCCTTGACAAAGGAATTTGCATATCAACAGAGGACGTCACCGACCCGCGCAGGCCCTGGCGTCGGCCTGCAGCTGGAACCCCGGGAGGCACGAGCAGACGGCCGCCCCGCGCACGTCCTCGCACTTGTGGTCGCAGCGGGCGGACCCTGCGCACGCCACGACGACCACACGGCAGAGACACCGAACGCGCCCCGGTGTTGCTGCAGCAATTCCGCGATTAGCGTCCCCCCCCCACCGCTCACCTCCGCCGTCCCCCCGTCTCGTCGTTTCGCAAACACGCCGTTGCTCTCTTACTAACGTCGCCGCCTGATTTGCACCGCCTCAACCCACCACCCCCCCCCCTTCACGCGCCTCTCAGCCTTCGTCGATACCAACCCACTACTACTGTAGTGGTATAGCGCTGGCTGCTGGCGGAAAAGGGTAACTGCGTTGTACGGCAGTACTCGCGTCAGCAGGCCACGATAGACACGAGAGGGGGATATCTCGGGAAAAGGTCACAAAAGGGGCCCATCGAGAAGCCCTGGGAACCCGCTAGTAGGTTCCAGAAGGGGGGCGTAGTTGGGGCGGAGCGAGGCCACACTGGGAGTATAAGAGGGGGCCCTGGGCGGGAGCTCGGGGCTGTTGCTGGAAGTGGGATCCCTGTCGTGCCGCTCAAGATCATCGTCGTCGCCATCTCGTCGTCGTCACCTCATCATCGTCTCTGTCTTCACCATCCCGGGGTGCTGCTAGTCAGACAGCCTACCAACTGTTCTAACTAAGTAGTGCCGTCGACAATAGACGGTCTTAATGATAATAGTGTGCACCCACGTAGGGTGTGTGTGTGTTATCCCGATGGTGCTTGTTAAATAAAAGAAGTGCCTCCAGTTATTACTGTCGCCGGTCTGCGTCACTATACTTCTACTAACCCTGTAAATCGCTTCGGTTTGTTACGTCGTTTCGATATTCGTCGTCGCGCTTTTCAGGAACACATCCTCCGATGTAAACAGCGGTGTGACTACAAAACGTGGCGATGCGGTGGACAGTTCCGTGTTGCGCAGCAAAGTCCATTGTTGTACAAAGCTGCGCTTTCTATGTGCCCCCAATCCGAGGTGGGTCTAAAAACTTTCCCAATTTTGGGCTGCGGCACCTCCCATTACCCCCCCCCCCCGCCACCCCCACCCCTTGGATCCACTGCAACTCCAACGTCTGTGCTCCTGCACTGTCTTGGCGTGGTGGAGTACAAAGTTTGTCACGTAAACAGAACGTAGCCCAATTAGTTATGAGTTCAGCACTAACTGGTTGTGTGTTGGTTGGCTTGTTTGGTTTTAGCTGCTGCCCCATCACAAACCTTTGCATGGGTCCAAGGGCAGCCGCACGACATCCCCCGAGCGGCTTTCCTGCTCCACTCTGCGTCCGTTCTCTTTCGCCAGAGGGACACAAATCCGGGGAGATCGCGGAACCACACGGATCAGCGAATGGCGTCACTTGGCTTTTCCCGCCAAAAAGTAGCGTGTCACGTGGCCGTTTTGGTGATGCTACTTTTGTGAGCGTCAAGATGCGTTCAACTATTACATTACATTGCTTGATGATGACTAAACCAAACAATGAAAAACAAAATTTGTTTTTTATTGTCCTCAAAAGTAAAAAAAACTCAGTAATTTTTAGATTTGTTTTTGCTTTAATTTGAGGCTCAGCACCTCCGAATAGCATGGTTGGCTACGTATGGTGCGATAGAAGTTCAACATGCACACATATAAGTTATTACTGGATAGTTGCTCGTAGTAAAAAGCGTCGCCAGTGGCAATCGCAAGCAACGAATGCACCCCCTCGCGTAACCACCGCCTTTCACGCGTCTCTGCCGGACCTTGCAGGGGGGCGGCAGTCCGCAGCGCGGTGAGCCCCGGCGATGGGGCCCTGGTTGGCACGGCGACGCGGCTCCCACCCTCCACGGTCGGTTCGTCGAACCGCACGGGGGGCAGGCGGTCCCCACCACGGCAGCACGCCTCGAACGCCTGCCCGCACAGCGAGCCCAGGCCGGGCAGGGCCGCGCAAGCCAGGCCCAGGCTTTGGGCCTGCTTGCCCAGGCGGCAGCAGCTGCAGCAGGACTGGCGGGATTCCGGGGCGGGGGGCGGGTAAACGGGGAAGGGGAAGTAAGAGTGTGAAAGAAGAAACGCAAATGCCTATACAGTGGTCCCTCGCAGAGGTCGCAACCGGGTACCCGATACCCGACTACCCGTACCCGGCCGGGTACGGGTACGGGTAGCCGTTTGCGACCCTGGTACGGCCGGGTATGGGTACGGGTAGACCGTAGGTCACTGGTGAGTAACCATTTGTCACTCATTTCGGGTAGGGTACGGGTACGGGTAGGGAACGGGTACCCGTACCCAGCCGGGTACGAGTACGGGTACCCATTTGCGACCCTGGTGCGGCCAGGTAAGGGTACGGGTAAGGAATCAAAACCCGTTTGCGACCTCTGCCATCGTTTAACGATGTTTCGATTAATGATCCCCCTACCCATAGGGTCCCATTGTTTCGATGAACGATACATTTTCGATTAACGATATGTTTACGATATCACGTGGCCGCCAATTTCGGCCAATCGGACCTCTCCTAAGTGGACTCAGCAGACCTCAGCCAATCAGCGAAGCCCTTTTGGAAGGAGACTCTCCTTTCAAAAATAAATTACCTCCCACTGCAACTTCTACAATCAACCCCTTAAACCTAAGCTAATATTTTTTAAATGTTATGCTCTATTAAACTTTTAATGCTCTATTCGTTATTTTTATCCATGTTTCTATTAATATTAATGCTTTAATATGTTCTTATGGCATTCATGTCTCGAAAAAATTTGCGTATTTAAATATTATAAACTATGTTTTTAGGGTCAAAAAGGTTAACTTCCGATCGTCTTGGAACAAATTAGGCCTTTAACGTGTATTTCCAATATTCCATTCACGACAATTGACGATGGTTTTCGTGGCACCAATTAACACGGCTGCTTGGCCATTTGCTCAGACGAAACTGCCATTTCCCCCGGTGAATAAAGTCGATGAACGGATGCCAAATTGTGACACGTTTCATTGCCAAAGGCGGATAAAGTTTATCCGGTCGGCTAATCAGAGGCGGGTCAGCCACGGGGGCCAATGGCACCACCACCACACTGGGAGAGGACGAACCGCTGCTGAGGTTCGGCAAGGACATGGGAGATGCATTCATCTTTCCATCCCTATCTAACTCCATCCCTATCTCATTGCGTATCTGTCTCACTGTGTCTCTCTGTCGCCGTGTCTCTGTCTCGCTGTGTCTCTGCCTCTCTGTGTCTCTGTCTCGCTGTCTCGCTGCATCTCTGCCTCTCTCTCTCGCTGTCTCCCTGTCTTGCCGTGTCTCTGTCTCGCCGTGTCTCTGTCTCGCTGTGTCTCTCTGTCGCCGTGTCTCTGTCTCGCTGTGTCTCTGCCTCTCTCTCTCGCTGCCTCCTTGTCTCGCCGTGTCTCTGCCTCTCTCTCTCTCTCTCGCTGTCTCCTTGTCTCGCTGAGTCTCTGTCTCGCTGTGTCTCTGTCCCGCTGTGTCTCGCCGCGTCTCTGCCTCTCTCTCTCTCGCTGTCTCCCTGTCTCGCTGTCTCCTTGTCTCGCCGTGTCTCTGTCTCGCTGTGTCTCTCTGTCGCCGTGTCTCTGTCTCGCTGTGTCTCTGCGTCTCTCTCTCGCTGTCTCCTTGTCTCGCCGTGTCTCTGCCTCTCTCTCTCGCTGTCTCCTTGTCTCGCTGAGTCTCTGTCTCGCTGTGTCTCTGTCCCGCTGTGTCTCGCCGCGTCTCTGCCTCTCTCTCTCTCGCTGTCTCCCTGTCTCGCTGTCTCCTTGTCTCGCCGTGTCTCTGTCTCGCTGTGTCTCTCTGTCGCCGTGTCTCTGTCTCGCTGTGTCTCTGCGTCTCTCTCTCGCTGTCTCCTTGTCTCGCCGTGTCTCTGCCTCTCTCTCTCGCTGTCTCCTTGTCTCGCTGAGTCTCTGTCTCGCTGTGTCTCTGTCCCGCTGTGTCTCGCCACGTCTCTGCCTCTCTCTCTCTCTCGCTGTCTCCCTGTCTCGCTGTCTCCTTGTCTCGCCGTGTCTCTGTCTCGCTGTGTCTCTGCCTCTCTGTGTCTCTGTCTCGCTGTGTCTCTGTCTCTCTCTCTCTCTCGCTGTCTCCCTGTCTCGCCGTGTCTCTGCGGTCTCTCCGCCAGGACGTGGGCTCCCACCTGGCAACCTTCGCTGGCATTGCACGTCTCGCCGCCGCGTGTCGCCAGCTCCATCCCGAGCTCGCACGCCGCTCTCCGCACAGAGGCCAGGCAGCACAGCAACGTCGTGACGCTAAGCGGCCCAAAACAAGACAGAGATGAAATTCAATTAAACTTTTTAAAAAAAATGATTTGACCAGGCAAGGCCCATTGAGTTGTGTAGCTCTTAAATTTCGATTTAAAGCTTTCGTGACTGCAGGGATTCATCTTCTTGGTTCTTTCGGTAAAGTCACGTAGAATAAAACATAATCATGTTTTATTTGTATTATTTTATTACTTCCCTTCTACGTGACTTTACCGAAAGAACCAAGAAGATATGTAGCTCTTTTTCAGAAGCGACCTGACCATCGCAAATGATAGCCCAATGAAGCGGGCTTATCGCGTGGAAAATGTACCGCAGGAATCAACGAGTGAAGTTCGTGGCAGTGGTAGCGATGGCAGAGTTGATAACGAGGCGACTGGCCGCTGGTGAGTGTGCGAGTGACAGGAGAGAATCAGCCACTGCTCCGACATCAATCACCTCGACTGCTCGAAGAATTAGGAAATCCCCCTTCCCAATTCCCCAAACAATTTTTTTGCAAAACCCTCACCCATATAAGGCAGCCTCCGGCGTGCCGAGCGATGTGGGTCTGTGCCAAAAAGCCGGGGGATGTTTTGGACGATTCCAGCTAAAATGTGGGGTGCATTTAGGGACTGTAATGGAGATGTGGCACTCGCTGATGGGAACGCTCTCCCACACCCGTTCCCGCGCGGGCTTGTAAGGAGCTCAGGAGTAAGTATCGGGAGGATTTTTTTTTTCTTCTTGGTTCTTTGGTAAAGTCACGTAGAAGGGAAGTAATAAAATAATTAAAATAAAACATAATAAAATAATTCTCACGACGTTTCGGCCACAACGCAAGCAGCCGTCCTCAGGTGAAGACCAGGTCTGTCGGGGAGACAGCGTCTGAATGGTTTCAAAATAATTCTCACGACGTTTCGGCCACAACGCAAGCAGCCGTCCTCAGGTGAAGACCAGGTCTGTCGGGGAGACAGCGTCTGAATGGCGGATGTCTGCGTGATGCGTGCGTCTGGGTTTGTATTCAGGTATTCTTTGTTTTGGTCGCAAGACCGTTCAAGTTCAAAGCTGGCGGTGAAGACGAGACGGCTTCGTGCGGAACGCAAGCCGTCTTGCACGTGCTGCACGACGCTGCTTACAAACTACGGCAACTGCGGCAGGCGCGTCCATCAAGGCTGTGACAATGAAGGCTTCCAAATTTTGTTCGACACATCAGAGCGGGTGGCGCAGTTGCTAGAAGCACTCCGCCACGAAGCCCGGCGGCCTGAGTTCGATCGTTGTTTTTGATTATTGATTGCTGTGAAATCAAATATTTTACTTCAGTTATGATGTTGGATTGCCACGGTTGTCTGACACTTGCCACTTCTCCCAAACCCTGGGGCCAAATATAACTGCCGTGGAGGCGCGATGTTAACTACCTCGCCTGGTATACAGGAGGTCGTGGGTTCGATCCCGACCTTGATCCCCTGTGTATTTGGGGTTTGCGTGTCTCTCTCCCCATGGTCGCGTGCAATTGTCTCCAGGTCCTCCGGTTTTTTTCCCTTCAATTTTATAATCGACGTGCGTTTAGAGTATTTGGCTGCTATACATTTCCACGTGATGATTAGCCACTTCGTTGAGCTATCATTTGCGATGGGCAGGTCGCAACTGAAAAAGAGCTACATAGCTCAGTGGGCCTTACCTGGTAAAAAAATAAGTTACAAAAAGTCTCTTCGGGCACCTTGGCAACCGTTAATTTGCTCATGAGATCACATCGGTGTTATTTATTTTGCTTGTTTATCCAGAAAAGCTTCAACGAGTCTCGTGACAAATTTTTTTCCCAATCGACCCATTTTGCGTTGTAACATTTAAAACGTGGCAAATATTTTACCGTAATGCCGGCACGCAAATTTTAACCGTCATACCGACACGCAGATTTTTTGACCCGCCCCTGCGAATGAACGGCGTGCACAGGGAAGCGGGCAGCCGCGGCATTAACCAGGGCGGCCGCCGCCAGATCCGAACCGCCAAAATCTCTGCAGAAAAGCGGACGGGCCAACGTCACCACCGCCCACCTCCCCGACCGCCGGGGATCGAGACTCGGCAAATCTCTGCTGGGACAAATCACGGCTCGATGAAGGCACCTGGGGGGGACGGGGGAGTGGAGATTTACCTGCACGGGTTGTCCTCAGCACCCGCGGTTCCTCTCGCGTCCTGCGAGCATTGCCCCTCGCCAGCCGCGCGCATTCTCCCCGAGGCGCAACACGAGCTCAGATCCTGCCCTGCAGACCCCGGTCGAGCAAAGCGTCCGACCCGTCAGTCGCATGCCCTCCGAATCGATTATCCGCCCAACGGTTTTTGTTTTAACACTCAACAGCTATAGCTTGCTCATCCATCAAACTATGAATGCTCTGATGCGTGCATTGTCTGTTATATTTCGATGTAAAGCTTTCGTGACTGCAGGGATTCATCTTCTTGGTTCTTTCGGTAAAGTCACGTAGAAGGGAAATAATATATATTTTTTAAATAAAACAATACAATTCTCACGACGTTTCGGCCACAACGCAAGCAGCCGTCCTCAGGTGAAGACAGAGCGGTCTGAAAAACAGCTGTGTGAAAGACCCAGCTTAAAATACGCTGCCAAGCTTAGCAGTGTTTATTGGAGCGTTGTCTTTCAGACAGCTCTGTCTTCACCTGTCTGTGTTATATTCGCCGTTTGGAGTGCTCTGGTCTGACACTGGTTAGACAAGGCCACAGAGAAGGCTGTCTCTGGTGTAAGCCAATCAGTTTCAAAGGCGATGTTTATATTGTCAGAGCGTGTTTGTTTGCATGTTCACCACAAGTACGTGTGGTTAATGCAGACTTGATTTCTTGAAAATGGTATCAAATTTGGTGTTCAACATCTTAACTGTTTTATTGCCAGAAAGAGTAAAACCCTTTATAGATCCCCCGTGTAGCCTTAACAGACTGTCGGGGCAAGTGCTGTTAGCGAGCACCTATGAACGCCGGCACGGCACACGAGGGGGTGGGTGGCCAACACCACGCCCGGCCGCTTTTGTCTTCCTAGTGGCGATGTTTTTTTACACATAGCACTGATACTCATTTGAGGCTGAGTTGACCTGGTGGAGGCCCAGGACCGGTTCAGATAATCGTCACCGGTGTTGGCCGTGAGTGGGACCCGAACTGGTTAGTATCGCAGCGCGCTAACCGCTACACCACCGCTCCCCACAATGTACACGCACACGATCTCACTATAAGGTTGAATCAGCGCTCCCTACATCACCTCAAACTGCACACACGGCTTCATTGCTAACTGAATACTTCCCGGGTCATTTGCAGACTACATATCGGCACATGAATAACAACAATAGCCACAGCCATAGCGAGGCGTGTATACTGGACGTGGTGTGCCGAGTTCAGAAATATTTTCCAGCCCCCGAGCCGGATCTATGTGTTTTATGAAGGTGTTTTGGGTTTAATCGCGTGAATATAAATGTGTCGTAAAACCCGCCACCACCCAACGCGGCTAATCAGTCAGGTTCATCACGTCAACAAAACGTGCCAATGCGTTACGAGCACCACATTTACAAGTCGAGTACGACGTTTCGCCAGTAATTACAACTACAATCATCATCAGGCGAGAGCCAGATCTGTCGGGTGGTCGCGGGTTTCCCGACACATTTATATTTACGCGATCTAACTCACAAAAAACCTCGTGGATGATATTCGGTCGCGAAAGCCCACCACTACGTATTAAAGTAAACACCTGCTACGGTTAGTCGGAACTATGGCGCGCCAATTCGTTACCACTCCGGTACGGAATCCCACGTGGCTAAACGGATCTACATCAATCGCGACGTGTCTCGCCGTGGGACAGAGAGCCCGTGGGACAGAGAGCCCGTGGGACAGAGAACCCGTGGGTCAGAGAGCCCGTGGGACAGAGAGCCCGTGGGACAGAGAGCCCGTGGGACAGAGAGCCCGTGGGTCAGAGAGCCCGTGGGACAGAGAGCCCGTGGGACAGAGAGCCCGTGGGACAGAGAACCCGTGGGTCAGAGAGCCCGTGGGTCAGAGAGCCCGTGGGACAGAGAGCCCGTGGGTCAGAGAGCCCGTGGGACAGAGAGCCCGTGGGTCAGAGAGCCCGTGGCACAGAGAGCCCGTGAGACAGAGAGCCCGTGGGACGGAGAGCCCGTGGGACAGAGAACCCGTGGGACAGAGAGCCCGTGGGACAGAGAGCCCGTGAGACAGAGAGCCCGTGGGACAGAGAGCCCGTGGGACAGAGAGCCCGTGAGACAGAGAGCCCGTGGGTCAGAGAGCCCGTGGCACAGAGAGCCCGTGGGACGGAGAGCCCGTGGGACAGAGAACCCGTGGGTCAGAGAGCCCGTGGGACAGAGAGACCGTGGGACGGAGAGCCCGTGGGACAGAAAACCCGTGGGTCAGAGAGCCCGTGGGTCAGAGAGCCCGTGGCACAGAGAGCCCGTGGGACGGAGAGCCCGTGGGACAGAGAACCCGTGGGTCAGAGAGCCCGTGGGACAGAGAGCCCGTGGCACAGAGAGCCCGTGGGTCAGAGAGCCCGTGGGTCGCGCACACTCCGTGGGCAGCTGTCGACTGAGAAGCGGCGGCACCTGCGGTGAAGGTAAGAAGCGAGCAGGAGCCGTACAAGACGAACATCCACGCGGTGCGAGGTCCCATCGCGAGGCAGGCGAGTCTCCGTCTCCTTGTCCACGTGTCTCGCTGTCTCTCTGTCCCCGTGTCTCCCTGTCCCCGTGTCTCCCTGTCCCCCGCGTCTCAGTGTCTCCCTGTCCCCGTGTCTCCCTGTCCCCGTATCCCGGTGTCTCTCTGTCCCTGTGTCTCTCTGTCTCTCTGTCCCCGTGTCTCTCTGTCCCCGTGTCTCCCTGTCCCCGTGTCTCCCTGTCCCCCACGTCTCAGTGTCTCTCTGTCCCCGTGTCTCTCTGTCCCCGTGTCTCCCTGTCCCCGTGTCTCTCTGTCCCCGTGTCTCCCTGTCCCCGTGTCTCCCTGTCCCCGTGTCTCCCTGTCCCCCGCGTCTCCACGAGTGGGAGGCAGCGCGCCCAGACGATGTAACGTCTTCGTGCAGGCAGCGAGGGAGCTGGCAGGAGATGAGCAGCGGTTCAGGAGGAGAGCAAAGAGGAGAGTGGAGGCAGGGGGCAGAGGGGATCGGGAGTGAGGATGATTCGAGAGAGAAGAGGGAGGGGAAAGAGAGAGAGAGGAGAAGGAGGAGGAGAGAGCACGTGGAGGAGGGAAGAAGAAGGGTGGAGATGGGGGAGGAAGAGAGGGAGAAGGCCAAGCGAGCGGAGAGAGGGAAGATGAGGATGTAATTGGAAGAGAGAGGAGAATAGGGACGAGAAGACGTAAGAAGAGGCCAGGGAGGCTGGGGAAAGATTGGAGGAGGAATAAGAGATGATGATGATGGAGGTGGAGGAGGAGCAATGAAGGCGGAGAGACTAATGACCTGGCAGAGAGGGTGAGAGCAGAGAGGGAGGAGTGAGAGGAGATGGAGGAGGAGAGGAGGGTGAGGGCGCACAGAGCTGGATCGTAGTAAACGGGGCGCCGTTTATTATTCTTAACAATTCCTCCGCCGTTTTGGAAAGGACGGCTGGTATTTTTCGAACGAAAAAAAACCCCACCACCACCACAAAGTAATAACAGACACACACACACCACACACAGACCACCACACACAATGCGTAGTGTGTCGATTGTGATCATGATATTGTGCACGGCACACACACACAGCGGCGAGCGAAGTCAAAAACACGTTTCATCACGGAGTAAAAAACACTCGGGATTTTACCTTCGGGAATTTAACCAGACCGCACTTGTTTTTGAATAAAGTATCTTCTTAGTGGTGCGCGTGTGTGTGTGTGGGGAGCGGTAGTGCAACGATTAGCACGCTGCGCTACGAACCCGGCAAAAACCGAGTTCAATTCCCACTCATGGCCAAACATCGGTGACGATTATCTGAAAAAGGTCCTGGGCATCCCCTAGGTCGACTCAGCCTCAAACGAGTACCCGGTGCGGTGTGTAAACATCGCCACTGGGGAGACAAAGGCGGCCGGACGTGGTGTTGGCCCCCCACCCCCTCGTGCGCCGTGCCGGCCTTCACAGGTGCTCACTAACAGCACTTGCCCCAACAGACTGTTACAGGCTATACGGGGGATCTTTGCCTTTGTGTGGAGCGGTGGCGCAGTGCTTAGCGTCACTGCCTCCACCGACCCGCAGACAGGACGAGCTCAAATTCCCACTCACAGCCAACATCGGTGACGCAAATCTGAAGCGGTGTCGGGCCTCCCCTAGGTCGACTCAGCCTTAAACGGTGGGTACACATTTCAACGGAAGCGGTCGTGTGTCGTTTGCGCGCCTGTTCATAGGCGCTCGCTCACATCGCCCGATCTCAACAGACCTCGGAGAAGCTAAGCAGGTTGTGAGCCTAGATCACGCTCTCGGTGGAGCGATCACCGTGCAATGCCCAGGTGCTATAGGCTGCAGGGTGCGAGGGCAGAACAGAAGAAGAAATCGCGTCCTCCTCGACTGTGCCCCCACGTCCATGCTGCCAATCTTCGAAGCGCACCGACCAGCGTGGTGAAGTATGGTCAAACAACCTCCCACCACCCGCTCCGCGCCTGGGGACGGCCTCTCGCCCAGCGGGTGGATTGACGCACAACGACACAACGCAAAGAGCAGCGGCCGTATTAGCCCCGAGCAGTCTGCATCAGGCTCCGGGCACCGGGAGGTCTGTGCCTGCTTTTGAGCCCGACTCTCTTTCTCTCTCTTTCTCTCTGTTTCTAGAAAAAAGATGCTGGAGGGTGACACTGACGGCTGCTCCGTGCTTCCAGTGTTCAGGGTTCTGTTTAAGGCGCGGCTCCGGCTGGAGCACGCCATGTACCACACACATGTCGGTGATGTGCACGTCTTCTTCGAACGCTGGGGAGCCGGACAAGCCCCTCTCTGCACCAGCGTGGACGGCACCCTCGTGGTGTTCACCTTCTGAAGCGCTCGCTCGTCACCGTGGCGTGCGCGATGACCACCACGTGGCTTTTCTTTCGTGTTGTGCGCGCTGCATTTAGCGCCACAACGCGTGGATTTATAGTGTTCGTTTATTTGTTTGCTGGTGACTTTGTGTATTTAATATCGGAATCGCCTCCAGTGCTGTTGCTGCTGGCGGCAATAAAAGTTGTTTAAAAGTCAAAAAGTATCTTTCTCTACCAGGAGCCCGACAACCCAATCATTCACATCCCAGTCCCAACCTCCCTTCCCCGAAGCCGGGCCAACCCTCAGCCCAGGAACGTCTCGACCGAGGCGGTGCGGGAGGGAGTCCCGCCGCGACTTTGTGCCGCGCCACCTCGCGTCGGGCGCGGACTCCAAACGCGTCCGTGGCCCCGCCACTCGTCGCCTGCGACCAGCAACGCGGGGACGTCTCCGTTTGTGCGAGTGGGGCTGCCTGGCTGCCTGTGGCGAGTTGCCTGGTTAGTTGCCTGGCTGGCTGACACTCGGAGCGCTCGCAACGACAACGGGTTCCGCGGTGGTGCCATTTCCACCACCACCACGTACACTCTCATCTTGACCACAATCGCGATGTTAAAGTAGCCCACGTTTTAGATGTGGCTCGAAAACTCGTTTCTTTGGAACTGCTTTTTGTGTTAAGTTTGTTGTGTGTCCCTCCCCTCCCCTCCACCTCTGGTTAGCACGGTTGGTTACGTACGGTGCGAAAGAAGTTCAACACACACATTATACACACACACGTGTGTGCCTTTTTATCTCTCCAATTCCTCGATTCTCGCTTAAACCTCCCAAACTCGAATCCCTCTTCCCAGGGCTTCCACCAGCCTCCCTTCGTGCTCCCCCTGCCTCCCACCCAGGGCCGCGTTGAGGTTCTTGCAGGCCCGAGTCACTTCTGTTTCGTAGGCCACTCAGTGACAACCTTCTACAGTTGCTGCTGCTGCTGCCCCATGTGACTACGACTACTACCGCCGCTGCCACTCGCTTGTCTCGCGCGTACCACCACAGCGACGTTTCGTCTTCGCGTGCACGACTCTCCGTTGAGAATGAGATTGTGCGGGGGTGGGGGAGGGTAGCACCATTTGAAGATGTTATTGCTAATTTTGCGATGAAAATACATCTCGGAAAGTTCATCTGCGGTGTTGATTTCTCTCACATTATGAGATTGAAAAAAAAAGATTGGTGGCGTTAGGATCCACTTAGGATCCACTTGATGGCGTTAGGATCGACTTTGGATCTACTTAGGATGAACGTTTCCCACTTGGCTGAGCAAAGTAAATAAATTATCTTTCCCTCTCTCCGTGATGTTCCTACACATCTGAACAGTTATTGATCTCCATCCGGACTCTGTTTGGTGATATATAATTTGATATTTTTCCACACAATCTTTTCTTCATTCCACATCTTCATATCATAACATTGCAACATCCCTGACGTTTCCGGAGGGACATCAGCAGGCACAACGGGCTCACTAAAGCAGGCGGTGGGAGGAGGGGGAGGTGGGTGGCGGCGGTGGTGGTGGTCAGGTCATTGCCATTCTGCGCTCAGCTATTTAAGACGGGTCTCAGGTTTTAGGACGTGACCCAGGGCCGGATCAAGCGTCTTTGTAGGCTCTAAAAGCACTTCTGTTTCGTTAGGGCATTCGGTGGTAACGTTCTCCGACTGGCACTGCTGCTGACCCTGTGTTGTTACTACCCTTGCAATGCTGCTCTTTGTTGAGAATGAGATTGCGCGAGAAACACCACTTGGAAGATGTTTATTTGGTAATTTTGCGATGAAAAGTTCATCCCCGGTGTTAATTTATCTCACCTTATATATATATATTTTTTTAAACCCCGATTGATATCACTCTGCCTCTTTGTATAAACACTGTGCCTATCCTTGCTATACCAATATGTATTTTAAAAATATATCTTGGTAACAAAAAAAAACATTTTTTTTCGTACGAACAAAAACGTGGTCACATTTTTCTCGTAGGCCCTTTAGTTTTCATAGGCCCGAGGCAATGTGCTTGCTGTGGCACGGTGCCCACTTTGCCTCCTGGATAATAGGGCCCCGCTCCCAACCCCGTCTCCCTCCCTTTCCCGGACTCTCCCGTCGAGTCGTCTCGAATTCATTCGCGTTGAGTTGACTTACTGTGCCTGGATTCGCTTCATACTCAAAAAGTCTCTGTTCAAATGAGTCCGTTTATTGGAAATATTTTTTAATCTGCCATAGATGTGACGTACACATTTGACACGCAGAAGAAAATAGCTGCGTGGCGTAAAGTGTGATCCCCGACGGCAAGTTCGTCTCTCTGCCATGCATACATAAAGGGTCATCGCCTGAAACGTTGGCCGATTTTATTTTCCTGTTATAATTCCGCAATGAATCGCGATTTGTTGAATTTGTCCATGTGCACCACTGCCAAAGCACATTATTTAAACCCATATGTGCCCCTCTCTCTCTCTCTCTCGAGCCGTTGCAAGACTCCCTATTAGCGTGCATCTCCAGATATGCCTCCTCCATCTCTCGCTCACTGGCTCCATGCCTCCTTCCTTAGAAGGATCAGCGAGCCAGGAGCAGTCTCCATCGAGGATGGGAGAGCATTACTTTGCTCTGAGACAACGTCACACCCCACCCCTTTGTAAGAAGGAACCCAGACGAGACGATTAGAACAAAAAAAAACTCTCCACGCGAAATGTGCACCCGTCTGCGCCCCCCCACCCCTTCGTATTGCCAAATCCCCAGCGCAGCCTGGCCTTGAACCTTGAGCGCCTCTCTAAGCTATGAACTCAACTTATTTTACCAGGTAAGGCCCACTGAGCAATAACGATGAGTGTGACGGACGGGTAGGGAAGTTGGGGGTCGTCCATAAATGACGTCACGCGATTTTGGACGATTTTTGATCCCCCCCTCCACTCGTCACACAGCGTCACAAAAAGTCAGACCCCCCCCCCCCCCCTCAAATGACGTCACAAAGCTCTGCCCCCCCCCTCCCCCAAATAAATAATGCTTCAAATCGCTTTAAACTATTGTCATTGTAGTGCGTATTTAATGTGGCGCTGCACTCTGTTGTAGGAGAAAACATTTATTAGAAAGTCAATTTAATTAAGTAGAACGTGTTGTCCATGTTTATTAAAAGTTGCGCATTTTGATGTGACGTCACATTTCTCACCCCCCCCCCCCTCGTCACAAATGTCTGACCCCCCCAGGTGCGTGACGTCATTTATGGACGGCCCCTTGGGAAGAGGGATGGAGTGAATGATGGGGAAGGAAGGCGGGAAACGGGGAGTTGGGGTAAGCAAGACAATAAGTGAGTTTTACGGCAACAACGAAAGATGGAGAGCGAGGCAGATTGTTTGACGTGCAGTGGCAGTTTGTTCCAGTACAAGGGGGCTAGAAGCGACAAAGGGAAACACGAGGAGAATGAACAGAGAGACAGCTGTGAGTGTGAACGGAGAGGGCGAAAAAGGAGCATAGAATGAAGTGAGAAAAGCGAGATACGCTGGGGCGAGACCGTGAAGAAATTGGTAAACCCGGGTTCACTCTGGCCCTAGCCATGACCCACAACAGGAACACTCATCCTGATTTTAGCTCTACCCATAAACACGCTCGAAGCCTTCAATGTATTCCACTCTCGCTGTAAACCCACCCCTGGCCGTGACATTGACCCAAACTCATCTCGGCCTGACCCACAGCACTCTCATCTGAATTGTATGCCACTTGAGCCCTGTAGCGACTGAATGAGCAGTGCGGTGAAACTGTACTGGATCCCCAGAGGCTGGTGGGATCCAGACAACGGGATGTACAGGCGTGGGGTGAGGAGCACAGACAGACACACTAATTTGATGGCTTGCAACAGGGACCCATGCCAAACCTGGGGAAGGGTGTTAGGGTTATTGTGGCCAGCCATAATCTGAACAAGCACCCTAACCCCCAAACAATATCACCAACCCTGACCATAGTCCCAACTAACCGTAGCAGGCGTTTACTTTAACACGCCGGAGGCTTTCGCGAACAAATATCATCCATGAGGTTTTTTGGGTTGGATCGCGTAATAATGTCGTTAAACCCGCCACCACCAGACAAATGTGTCTCTCGCCTGATGATGCTCGTTGTAATTACTGGCGAAACGTCGTACTCGAATTGTAAATGTTGTGATCCTAACGAAATGCCACTTTTGTTTACGTGACAAACCTTACCGATTGGCTGGTCGGGTGGTGACGGGTTTAACGACACATTTATATTAATATGGTGTTTACTTATTGACGTTACAAACACAGTGCAATTATGCCACTCAGAATGGCAGTGGCAGATCAAGTTTCACAACTGTGGGTGCCCAACCACTTGAGAAAGTGAACACGGTACACGGCCAATGCCAGAAAACGATTCATGTTTTATTAATACACTCGGGTAAGCTCATTCAAATCACTACAAACATGTTTACACGATTCACATCATACTTCTAACCATTTTCAAAACTATAATAACAAGGCCATGATACAAAACTTAACAGAAGGGTAAGCGAGTACTCGGCTTTAGGACTCGTGTTGTACTTGGATATGGACACCTGCTATTTTGACCTATGAATAGAACCTGATGACAGATACATTGAGTAATAGTGGGAAACTTAATAAAATCCAACATCACATTCACATAGCACAACAAAGCTGCAATTCACAGGCAAGCTCTTCGTGTAAATGTACGTGTTGAACTTCCTTTGCACCCTATGTAGCCAACCGTGCTAATCGGAGGTGCGGCAAAAAGCAGTTCTAAAGAAATGTTTTCAACATAGATTTTAAATATGGGCTACGTTATGTCAGCATTGCGGTTAGGGGACCAGAGTTTACAGGGAAAATGGCAGCACGATAGAAACCTCTTCTTTGCGAGTGCCCCTAGTGTCAGCCAAACCCACTCGGACAAAAACTTACACGTTGTTAAATACAGGCACATGATCGACGATTTAGAAATTCAATTGTTCATGATTCGTGCGATGAAAGAATGGTTTGATAAGATTGTCTATGATTGATACGAAAAAATGCATTCGCAAATGTGAACTTTTTTTTAAGCTAAAAGAGCGAGAGATTGTAACTTGTAGACGCACGGGCCAGAGTGCAAATCCAAACCGTACGAATCAAATAGCCCTCGAAAGAATCGTGGCCCCAAATGACCATTAATTACGTGGCAATACGGGGGGATTCACTGGGTTGACTGTTCGCCCCCCCCCCCCCCCATACTAAAGAGAACGAGTCTGGTAGATAGGCCTGGCGGATATATCCGCGTACGGTTGTTGTGGCATCGGGCGTTCTGTTACGGGTCTTCGCTCTTGTGACCAACAAAAATCTAATTAAAAATTATTATTTTTTGTAAGACGGGGAGATTTGTTACAAGCCTATGCACGATCGATAACTTGAGGATCCGGTCACCCGCCCGCCCACGCAGCAGTCGTTAGTCACGGCTTTATTGTACAATTCAAGGGCTCTCGCTCTCACGTCGACAATCAACTACTGTGAATGGGACGGTGGCATACAAGGCCACTTTGAAGTTACGTAACGGCACGATAGGCGCGCAATTACGGCAGATGCCTCAACCCCACGAAGCATAGCCAGGCATTTCCGTCAACTTAATATCAACACTCATTTTCTTCACACGTAGCGACGTCTCGTGTCAATGCACCTTGCAAGCCAACTTAAGCACGGGATAAAACCCATCATCGTCCACATCACAAACACTGCCTTCCAAGCCGATGCGTGATCAGATACGCTTTTGACAAATGCTCTCTTCAGAACATTAGCTGTCCTATTTGACCACTGCCATCGGAATATGGAATTTCCACTCCAAGCTCAGGGCTGTCAAAAGGGAAAAGCGTTAGCTCGAAGTTCATTTGATTATGGAGACATTGTATTTTGCTTTTAAAGCCAGGCTTGTTGTTCAAAAATACGTCTTGCGTAATTCTCATCTCGTCACGGAAAGCAGTGTTTGTTAATGACGGTGGTGCATCTTCCTTCATCAGCCTGTGCATTTACACCACTCCGGATCCAGACCGTGAAATGTTAAATCACCACCAATTGCCAAGAAACCGGAAATGTTAATGCAGCGAGGGCAGTTATGGGGATGGGCAGTCATGAACACCATAACAACCATGATTTCTCGAACAGTCACGCACAAACCCACTAAATAAAACAATACAAACACTCCCGCAAAAAAACAACTTTTTTAAGCTACGTATTCGAAATTAACAACATGAAAACTGCTCGTTGATTTGACAATCATCCCGGACAGCTGTGTTATGGCTGGTACCATAAACCTAACCGGGACAAGCGATTGAGAGTTAGAATCCTGGTCATGGTTGACTCTGCCCACGCTAAATGAGCCCTGTCTGCAGACGATAAACCACCTGCAAGGTGGTCACAGCAGTGGACAAGTAGGAACTGCTCCTGGCCAGAAGCAGTTTTAATATTCACACGACGCTGGAACATGCTTTGGCATACACCAGTCTCACTGCGACCACTGCTGAGAATACGTTTCATTGCGATGTTCAAGAAAAAAAAATTCAAACGCGAGTTTATCTTTTGTTAAAATGACATTAGCAGAAACGATTCTCTAAGGCCCCGCGCCACCCAAATTAATCTGCTTCCAGTCAACTGTATTATACAGTCCAGGGCCAACGCCGTCGTAAAAAAAACGTCGCTGTCAACTTCACGATCTCTGTACAAAAGGGCTCTCCGTCTCCTACCCACTCGCCCGATCTCCAGTAAAAGTAAAATCCCAGCCAGAATGTTAACAAGTTCAACGTTTCTCTATTCACAGCGCAAGTTTAAAAAAACAACGGTAAAACACTGCAAGCTGTCAAAGCAGCAATGACGTCACCGCATTTAATGAGCATAATGGTGGTGACGTAAGCTGCGGTTTTCTGTGCTGTGACCATTCAGGCCAAGGGAAGGCCACAAAAGCCTCTAGACGACAACGATGAGGTGCAAAGGAATTGTAAGTTCCTGTTTTGCCCAGCAGGCAAACAAGCCCAATTGCGACTGATAAACAAGATCGAACAAACGCCCCTCATACTCTCCAACACTGTCACGATTAGCAGGCCAATTAAAAACAATCATCTCAAGTCACATATTTAGCAAATTATTTACGTAACTTGCAGAATGATGTTTGCACTGTAATGCTTAAAAAATCTTTTATTTGAGAGTTCTTCAGCACATGATAGGCGGATGAGATCAAGGCAGAAATTTGTAATTCAATATCTAATGGGCCTCCTCTTCTTCAAACTTTAAGTGGAGTCGTCTTGTGTGTCATCATAATCATTTTCGTGTTTCTTCCGTCATCATGCCTGCACCATGGCGTCCGCATCTGCGTCTCCGCCGGGCTCCGGGTACTGCGTCAGGTCAAAGGTAAGCACCTTGCTGATCACGCAATCCCCTTGCTGTATTGACAAACAACAGGAACGTTGGTGGGGGGGGGGAGCAAACACAGGTGGTGAGAGGTTTACACACACACACGATTCAGTTTGACACGTAGGCTTTCACGACCAATATTATTCACGTGACAAACCTTGCTGGTTGGCTGCGTCAGGTGGTGGTGGCGAGTTAACAACACATTTATACTTACGCGATCCAACCAAAAAAACCTTGATTGTGAATACATGGTCCACTCCGAGAACGAGACAATTACACCCCCCATGACTGTACCAGCCACACAGCGATGGTTTCATGAACTACAGCAACAAGGGCTCACAATCTTGGACAACACTGTTTAGGATTGCTTTTCGTCCAGATGAAAATTAATTTCCATTCGGTAATTCTAGCAGTACATGCCGCACCAACTTTTTCTGGAGCATTGCGCATTGAAAGATGGTGACTTATTTTGGACACAATAACATCATCAGTGCAGTGCTGGCAAAGTAATACTGTTGATAGGAATAGTACATTTTTATTAAACCAATGGTGACAACTGCACCATTTGTTATCAAGCAATCATATTTTGAGTGCATTATTGCTTTTAAAGTTCATAAGAGTGCGACATCGAACGGCTGCGTTACCATTCACAACAGAATGCGCGACCGATATCTGCGTAGCATCAGTCTTGCGATTTTTTCCACTCAAGAAGCCAGACAAAGGGGGCTCAGTCGGGCCGTACGATGCCGAGTTTAGAGACGTCACCTCTGGGTAGACGCCCACAAGCGCATCCGCCCGAGTGTAGAACTCTTCTTTCAGTGAGATCACGATCGCTTGGAAGTTCTCCACCGACTGTTCCTTTATGTAATTGGCAACCTGGGGAGAAGGGGGGGGGGGGGTAGGGGAGGGGCGGGGTAAGTGGGTGAGAGGAGGGAGGGGGAGCTTTGAGGCGTTCGCAAAACACCCGCCGGCAAACTGTGCGCGTGTGGCTCAAACCCAACGCCGAGGCTGCCGCGGCCGCCTTACCGTGCCCACCCGTTTCCGATTCCAAACGAAAACAACCAAACTTGGCAAAAAAAAACCCGGCGGCGCATTTTTCGCGTCTGCGTTTCTCGAGGTCGAGCGCCTCGGCTTCGTGCGCAATTTACAGTTTTGTTTACAGACGTGCGCGAGTGTGGTGCGCAGCACCGCCGTCTGGCCACAAGGCCCCCGCCCCCCACCCCACCTTGCTGATGTTGGTGTTATCCAGGGCCGCGTCAATCTCATCCAAGACGAAGAACGGAGCGGGCTTGTAGCTGCAACGCACAGACGCAACAACGAGATATAAAGGCCGTGGCTCTAGCAATGGGGCGCGACGGAAAAGCAAGAGGACAGCACTGTATACGAGGAGGTTGATGGTACCACTTGTGTCTGGCCAGCTATCAGAACGGCGGGATGTGAACATCAGTTGGCGCAGTCAAATGCTACGGTAGCAAACAGTAATTTCGAAGTAAAATGACGCGAAAACAATCCAAACAGCTCTCATCTCTCAAACACAAACTCAGGTTGCACCTGGACTGTCAGCATTTAGGGCTTCGTTAATTCGAGAAAAAAATACTTTTAAGAGCGCTCCAGTGACATCACCGCATTGACGTAATCAGACATATGGAAATGATGATTTAGTGGTGTCACAGGATTGCTTTTGATGGCCCATATTTCCATAACTTTTAAAGTCCTTTTTTTCTCATGAAAGAAACCCAAAACCTGTGCCGGACAGCATGCGTCACACAGCCTGGGTGGCCATCTACGATATTGAGAACTGGTTTTTGGTCTGAGTGCTCATTTTCATCATCATCATGAATGGCTTAGCTATCAATTATGCAGGTGGTTCAACTACACTGGGGCCCACAGGCCAGAGAAACCAAAGTGCCAGCCTACAAAGAGGAGGCATATTAGTAAGGTGCTTATTTAATTCCTTGCACCAGGGCTCATGCCAGCTACGCTACACCACCGATCATCACGGTGGCGAGATGTTAACTACCTCGCTTGGTATACAGGAGGTCGTGGGTTCGATCCCGACCCCGACGCCTGCTGTATATTTCGAGTTTGCATGTTTCTCCCCGTGGTCGCATGGATTTTTCTCCGGGTCCTCCTATTTTTCCCTCCACATTTAGAATCAACATGCGTTTAGAGTATGTGGCTGCTATACATTTCCACGTGATAAGCCACTTCGTTGAGCTATCATTCGTGTCCAGGTCGCTTCTGCAGAAGAGCAATATAGCTCAGTGGGCCTTACCTGGTAAAATAAAATAGTTTAGTTTCATCATAATCATCATTACCACAACCACCACTACTTTCCTTGTGAATGTGAAGCAGCAGAGACGGGGGTGCTCAAACCTGTGCGTGGCAAACAGCAGTGCCAGTGCAGCAACAGTCTTCTCCCCGCCTGACAAGTTGTCCATGGGCCGGAAGCGTTTCCCGGGCGCCACGCAGTTGTAGTTGATTCCATCGAGGTACGGCTCTTCCGGGTTCTCTGGCCCCAGGAACGCCTGGTGCACAAACAGAGGGTGGCCTCCGGGTTTATTCCGTCCGCATGCGAACACTCACCACTAGGCCTTTGATTTTGACGGTTCGCTCAACTCCCCTTCGTGATTCACTGTTCGGTTTCAGAATCGACAAGCTTTTTGTCTCGTTTCATGTTCATTTGTTTGTCCAGCTTGTGATACACGTATCAGACTGGGTTAACGAAGCGAAGACGACAGAATGAGAACACAAACTAAGTGGTACCAAATGGACAAAATAAGATTACATTCTTGAATTTATCCATTGCCCTGAATCGTGATAATCCATCCAACTGCGAGAAGAGTTCATCAACAAACGAAACGGTACCAACTGGACGAAAAAACGTATTTAATACAACCATGCCCCAGAAGAGTGAAATGGTTGACACGCCAGAATGCTGACCTGCGCACTGGCGTTGCGGGACAGAGCCTTGTAGATCTCGTCGATGTTGGTCGACACGGCCTCAAAGCAGGCATTGAATCGGTCAAAGCGCTCCTTCTTGATCTGCTCAAATGCCTGCTTCGACTTCTTTGCTCGTTTCCTCGCCGCCTCGAACTCTGCCGATTGGAAATGCCACTGTCGTCAGAATGAACGCTGGGGAAGCGGCCGCGAAAAAAAAACGTCTCCCTACACGATCGTGCAACCGCGGTTAAACTTCAGTGCCGGGGGTCGTGGGGGTTCGGAGGTCCGCGCCACGATGGCACTTGCGCGCACTCCTCACCATCGGCGGTCTCTTGGAACTTGTCCCGCACGCTCTCAAGTTTCTCCATGGCTCTCATGTTGGGCGCCGAGATGCGCTGCATGATATTCTGGTGCTCCGTCACCTTGTGCTCCAGCCCGTTCAGTTCGCCCTTTATCTCCTCATCCGACGAGAGATCCTGCGGCGTCAAACGCACGCCAACACACGCACGCACGCACAAGATTGATGTTACAGCCCCGTCGCTCGGGAGGATCGCACCTCGGAAATGTGACGATAGAGTGTGGCGGGAGACGAGCCGCGGGTGGCGGGTCAGTGCACGTGCCTTGAGGTCGTCGTTGAGTTCGTTGTAGTTGATCTGGATGAGAGCTTCGCGCGCGTACATGTTCGAACTGCGTTGGGAGCTGCCGCTCGTTTCGGTGTCGGTCTGCGACGAGCCCTGAACTCCCTGACACAAGAGCATTTACCAGTACGGTTATGACACTGAAAAGAAAAAAAAGACTCCAAGTGGCTTTTTTGTCATCCTGCCCAGCACCTCTGATTAGCACGGTTGGCTACGTACGGTGCAAAAGAAGTTTAACATACATATATTTATATAATGAGATTTACGGAGTTGACTGGATGGTTGACCAGATAGTATTGGGGTGGGAGGGGGGGTGGGGATTGCATGCCCCTCACAACTAAATCTTTGACTGCTTTAAAAGATTACATTAAGAGAACGACTAAAAGGAAATCCACGGACGAAAGCTTCGATAAAATTCCACAGGTTGTCGTGGACGTGACTAACAAGGACTATCATAACAAAATGCTGACTAAATCGAGACTGGTGCTGGCACCAACATCATCACCTCCTCCGACCCCTCTCACCTCCTCCTGCGAAATGTCGTCCATGGTGCCGTGCCGCATGGGCAGTCGCACGTCCTGCATCTTGCACGCCTGCAGCAGGTTGTGGCGGTCGCTCCGCTTCTGCTCAATCTTCGTCTCGATCGCCGTCACCTCCTTCTGCAAGTGCGTCATCTCCCTGAGCAGCGACGTTAAGAGGGGAGAACAACAGAATGGCGGTGTCACTTCATATGGTGCCAGCCTACAAAGAGGAGGTATATTAGTAAGGTGCTTATTTCATTCCTTGCACCAGGGCTCATGCCAGCTACGCTACACCACCGATCATCACGGTGGCGAGATGTTAACTACCTCACCTGGTATGCAGGAGGTCGTGAGTTTCGATCCCGATTCCGACGCCTGTATATTGTGTTTGCATGTCTCTCTCTCCCCGTGGTTATGTGGCTTTTTCTCCGGGTCCTCTGGATTTTCCCTTCATAGTTAGAATCAACATGTGCTCAACAGTATTTGGCTGCTATAATTTTCCACGTGATAATAAGCCACCACGTTGAGCTATCATTTGTGGCCAGGTCGCTTCTGAAAAAGAGCTATATAGCTCAGTGGGCCTTACCTAGTCATAATAAAATTTGTTTAGTTTAAATCGTCAGTTTTAAATGTAGGCATGTCCTGACAATTTGGCTGCATGTCAATTGTAAAGTACAAAAAAATGCATTAATTTAATCAACATGGTCTTCTAAGAGAATAATATAACATAGGCGGTTGTTTCAAGCAACGAAGATTGTTCAGAGTAGCTACTTTGAAAATGATTTACTTAAGGGCCATTTTATCAGTTAACGTTTCAGGAAATGACCCGTCTTCAAATTAGATTCTACTCTGGAGGACCATGCCCAGGAATACTGGCAGATTACAAAAGGAAATTATGAAGGTGAAAAAAAATGTGTACGTCTCTTTCTTCCAAGCACGGATATTATTTCTCCTTGTGCCTCTTCTCTCGTCACATCCACTCCTCATATCTCACTCAACCGCATCCTTCCATCTCATCCTCGGTCTCCCTCCACTCCAACTACCCTGTACTGGTGGCATCTCCATTGGATGGCCCTTCTAATTGGATGCTCCTGTCTCTTCTCAACACATGACCAAACCAGCTCAGTCTAGCATCCTTTTCCTTCTCGAGAATATTGCTGACCCACGAGTTTGTGTAAAACAGTTCACGCAGCCCCTTGTTTGTTTCACAGAATTGTTCTGCATTGCACAGTACGGCAAGTCTTTTCTTAACGCGTTGTCGCTACAACGCTGTTTTCTTCCACTAGCGAACACTTTTCCCACGACACGCAACGCACGTCGCTATCACACGGTTTGTGACCAGTCGACGATGAACTATCTTCTGGAGCTGCGTGGCTGAGCGATACGATGCCTGCAGACTGAGTTTACAGCGCAAGTGTGATTTAAGCAGCAATAATTCCTCACTTTCAACGGGAATTTCGCGAAAGCATCTACCGCGGTAAACGAGGGATCATTGCGTTTCAAAAAAAGCCACTGACTTGCTGAAGCCGCCGAGCTTCTTGCGGATCTCCTCCATCTCGTGCGTCTTGTCGGCCACCTCGGACTTCTTCGAGAGCAGCTGGTTCTTCAGGTCCTGCAGCTGAGCCATGGTCTCGTCGATTATCTTCATGTGCCGCTGCTCCTCCTGCAGAGCGGCACCACCCGTCGGTTACTTCAGAGCAGGCCATATGCCAACTCAATCGTATGCAAGTCTCTCTTGCAGTTGACAGATGTGACTGACCACACTTCAATTATAGTTGTTACCAGATCAAAAATGTCACTCTAGTACCCGATTAATGAGGTGATGGTTGTTTGCGGGCCATTTAAAAGCGGTAGGCCTCATATATATATTTGTTTAACAACTTTCGCACCATATTTAGGAAACCGTGCTAATCGGGGCTGCGAGCTAATCGGAAATGCAACATGAAAGTCACAGGCTGTTTCCGGCCCATAGGCTCCCGATCCGTTGCTTTCAAGTAATAATTCATATCTCACACCCATGATTCGATGCATGCATCACAAGTATAACCAATGCTTTCCTCTGAAGAATCAATACATCATTATCCGCCCAACGTTTACCGTGCGGCTCCGTGCCCAGACACAGAGCTGCCCCGCGTGACGGCGCTTACCTTCTTGAGTTTCTCCACCTCTGTCTCGTCCTTCTTGACCGCGTCCTCCCACATGGTCACCTTGTCCTGGTCCTCCTTGAGCTGCGTGCGCTCGTACTCCAGCTGGATGCCCAGGCGTGTCTTCTGGTTCTCAAACTCTGACCTGCGGCGATTTACATTTCACTACAATTGTGAAAAACTTAACAAACACCGACCCCCAACGATGCAAATGATGAGGCAGAGTTCTTCAACAGCCGGATGTGGCCTTCGAAGGCTCTTGGGAGTGGCCAACTGGGTGGCCTTCCAAGCCCACCGGGATATACGATTCACTGAGGCGTCAAGAGATCCAGAATGACACAATTTGTGATAAGAAAGCGAAATTCAAAAGAGAAAAAAATTAAAGAGCTTCAGATGCTAATTTTCTTAAGAAGTTTGCTAGAAAACATCGCTGAAGAGCCCTGGAATAATATAAAGCCACTCAATATCTAACCTGTACGTTTCTGTTCTGTCCATTACAAGTTAAAGGTTTGTTAATGAGAAAAAAACGAGCAAGGCACAGCCTGGAATGCTCCGATGCTGTCGCTATGGCAGCATTAGTCCCACACTTATAATAAAATGTCACTGTGATGTTACCAGAGCGTATCATACGATCAATTTAAAAGCATATATCTCATTATTTAAGTTTCAAACTTGAGTTGTAGAGCCTCAGACACTTCAGCCAAAGTATGAACATGCGCGTTGTGTGTCATGCGATAAGTGTTCCCAAGTGGAAGAAAACAGCGTTGTAGCGAAAACGCGTTAAGCAAGGACTTACCGTACTGTGCAATGCAGAACAATTTTATGAAACAAACAAGGGACTACGTGAACCGTTTTACACAAACTCGTGGGTCAGCAATCTTCTCGAGAAGGAAAAGGATGCTAGACTTAGCTAGTTGGGCTGCCTTCTCCAACCCGCGCTGACCAGCGTGGAGAAGTACGCTCACATGACTCCACAAGCCACACAGCATGTGGAGGCCGTTATACAGCAGTGGATTCACAAAAAGGAGCCATGCATAATTCCAGATTTGAAGCTTTCGTGACTGCAAGGATTCTTACTCTTAGTTTTTTCGGTAAAGTCACGTAGGTAAAAAATGAAATTAAAATTTATAAAAATAAAATAATAAAAATCACGACGTTTTGGAGGCAACACAAGTCTCCGTCATCAGGTGGGACCGTCACAGCCAGATTTGCTCACTTGATACAGCAAATCTGGCTGTGACGGTCCCACCTGATGACGGAGACTTGTGTTGCCTCCGAAACGTCGTGATTTTAATTATTTTAATTTTTTATTAATTTTAATTTCATTTTTTACCTACGTGACTTTACCGAAAAAACTAAGAGTATGAGCCATGCATAAACCACACACGTGTTTTTTCCAAGCCCCTTCTCTCATGTCTGTATGTTGAGCTTCTTTCGCAACGTACGTAGCCAACCGTGCTCATCGGAGGTGTGCGAGGGAAGAACAACAAACTAAAACACAAAAAGTAGTTCTAAAGAAAAATAATACAGGGTATCCGAAAATTAATATACCAAAAATAATGTTTAACAGTTTTATTGATATTCGAGAAACTGACATAAATTTTATATAAATAGATGCATAAGACTTATAAGTTTTAGTTTGTTGCGAATATTGATTGGTACTTTGTTGTTTCAGAAGAAACCCCATTTTCTGACACAATGACAAGTCCACCCGTTCACCCAAATTAACACCGTGAGATTTTTGTCTCTGGGGTGTTTTTTTAAGTAAAGTCTACACTAGCAAGCCAAGGGATCTTGAAGAACTTTAAACATTGTATTGTTCATGCTGTGTCATCCATCCCTACGGCTTTATGGAAAGGTTTTCTCACAGTTTGAACGGTGAATTAGATTGATCATAGTGAATGGTGGACGACATGTATAAGTTTATTAATAATTCGAGAATATCTAATAAATACCATAAACCAATTAATAATAAAAAAAATCATAAATCATCAAATAATTTTACATCTATTCATATTACATTTATGTCAGTAACAATAAAACCACTCGACGTTTACTTTTGATATATTTATTTTCGGACAGCCTGTATTAAATCTCACACTGTAGGACAACTTTGTCAAGCTAAGGCGTTCAGGCAGACGATTACGTGGTGCTCTCAGACCTTTTCTTGGCGATCTCCTGCTGCCTCTTGACCTTCTCCTCCTCGAATTCGCGGATATTGCGCACCCCAATCTCCCGGCAGAACTCCTCGAATATCTCGTCTTCCACCTGCCGCACGGAGCGCACAATCATCAGTGTCCCGTCGCGCACGATGCTGCCACTCCACACGCCGAGCGGCGGACAATATCGGCAGCAACAGCTGTCGGTGGGGGACAGCTCGAAATTTCAGAGCTGGGGACAGAGTCAATTAAGTTGATTTAATTGTCAAATAATTAAGACAACCTTTTGTGGTCTACGAAGTCCTTCCCCCGCACCTCCGATTAGCACGTTAGGCTACGTATGGTGCGAAAGAAGTTCAACATACATATTACTTGGGCCGTGTTAAATATAGAGGCCACGCCATCATTCTGCCACACAATGGTGGGGCTTTTCTTTCCCAAATGTTTGCATTCTTATTCTTTCGTATGGTTGATGTAGATGCAGGGCAACAACTACAATTCCACATTCAGGTTGTCAACAAGCCAGAAAACCACGTCAGGAGACGCGGAGTGTATCGCTGTGATGTCTCCTTCGTATTTGTGGATCGGGTATGGTCTGTTCTGGATGACTAGTCGCATATTATTTTCATGATCTGATTAGTCGAGTAATCATCCCAACATTCGGTAGAAAAGTCGATTACTTAATTACCGAATTTCCCAGTTCTACACAATTTCTTTTTAAGCCTGCGGAACCGACTGTCGCACCTGGTTCATCTTCTCGATGATGAGTTTGGTCTCCTGGTCGCGGGCCGTGATGCTGCGTTTGATCTCGTTCATGCGAGGCTGAAAGTTGGCCAGCTCGCTCTCCAGCTTGGACTTCTCCTGCCGAGCGTACGTGACGAAGAAGGGAGGCAGAGCGCGTGCGTTACGCAACCGCTGCTGCTCAACAGCATAACTCGCCTGACATTGGCGTCATTTTGGTTTCACCACCTTTAAAAGCAGGTGTGGAGAACATAAGGCCCAGGGGCTGCATACAACAAGTGACAATTTCACATGGCCCTCAGCCACATAATGCCTTCCACTTCAAAATGGCTGGCAAAGGATATTATTTTTCATTGCAAGCATTCTAGCCACACTAATTGGGTTCTAGAGGTCAATAATATCCACCTGGAAACACTATTTTACATTTTAGCAAGCTCAGTCATCTGTAGTCTTTTCAGTAGTTCTGAGTACATAATCAAGGCATATCGTCAAAACGTGATCAAAGTTTTGTGCCGAATGTGCAGCCTGTTAAAGGTATCTATTCAAAAGTTTTATTCGGCTCTCAGTGAGGCAATGGTTCACCCACTCCTGTTTTTAAACAAAGACGCAACCAAAGCAAAAACAAAGAAGCTTTTACTTTATGAAGCTCTTACTTTAGGATCAAAACCTATTTCCCACATGAGCCAAAGCCAGGGCACGACATACCACATGCTCTCCGAGACAATCAGCCCAAGCGCCGGACTAGCGAGCACATGGGCTTGACCCCCCTTTACCTGCATGTTGTTGGCCAGATGCTTGTTGCGAGTCTGTTCCAAGTCACTCTGCGTGTACTTGAGCCTCGTTTGCAGCCCGTGCGACTGTGACTGCACCTGGCGCAACTCCGCTTCCTTCCGCTTACTCTTCACTTGTTCCTAAAAAAGGCAAGAGGCAGGGTTTAACGGTCTGACGAGGTGGTCGAGGGAAATTATTGCCCGTGAGAAGGGTTCCCCTGAGTTACGATGTTTCCCCCCCCCCCACCCGGTCACCCACCCGCCAAAGACATTCAGAACTTTGCAGCGAGCAGCACACCCTCGTTGGAAAATAATTTCACGTCAGAGAATTGTTGCCTGAAGTAACTTCAATAGGTCTGTTTATCCACACTACGCACACTTCTTTAGTATGTGATGCAAAACTTTTCCCTGCATCTCAACCTGACAAAAATTATAACATCCCGGTGTGAATAATCGGAACAAAGTGATAAAACAATATTCAACACGATAGTTTTCCATGACGTCATTGGTGGCCGGGCCATCAATTAGCGATGCTTGAGAACCAAGTTTTCTCTAATTTTACTGAAACTTGGTTTTAAAACCAAGATCTCAGCTGTGCCGACAGCGCTAAGACACGGTATTAGCCCCCAAAACCAACCCAACGACAACCCCCATGGTTGAGTTTGTTTTTTCAAGGCCTGGCTGCATTTGCCTTGAGCTCCTCGGCGAGACGCTCCTTCTTCTCCTTGAGCTTGTCCACGGCCTTCTCATCCCAGCGGCGCGCCTTGGCCTTGAGGTCGCTGGCGCCACCAGAGATCACGCCCGACTTCTGGAAGAGCGTGCCGTCCAGCGCTACGGCCTACACGCACCCACGCCGTCACGCGCAGCACAGGCAAGCAGACAGCATCATGTAACATGCCGCTTCGGTTTGGGAAAACCAAACTGGGACGCACCTGCGGCCAAGTCACCGGGAATGTGTCCAATCTCTGAGCTAAGCAGCTTTGAGCCTGAACAGCGCTCACATGGATGACTAAAATGGACAATTGGTCGGTATGAGTTCAAATGGGGCGATTTAATGTGCAGCACAAAGCAGTGAAAAAAATGCACTGTTGTACTGCACTTATATGCTCCCACACATACATAAAAATATACCCTGCCTTCACCAAACAGCACTGACCAGAATGGCGAGGTAATGGTCAACTAAATCGCGTGACCTAAGTGGCGAGGGGATGTCCTCATCCAGCAGTGGAATTGACAAAATGGTGTAAATGTATATATTACTAGAGCGGCGTACGATCGGAAGTAGGGATTGAGCCTTTTGCAAGTTTTGTGATGCAATTAAATGCCAATAAAGCTGTTTCTTTGACAATAAATATTCATGTCGTTTTCCTAATAGGAGAAAAGATGGGGAACACATTATGCTCTGTACGCTTTAGAAAACAGTTACGTTCAAGGGCCTCTAATGGCATTGATGAGTTGCAATAGAGAACCTATACCTGCCAACACTTTTGTAATGGTCGCGATATAATTTATATATCCAGGAAAACATCCCTAAGGGTTGTTAACGTGGCAATCTGCACTTGTTACCGAGCGCCTCATGTAAGGCCCCAAATGAACACGCAAACTTCGTTGGTAAAACACGAAATGCACTCCCTGCATGCACTCATGCGACCGTGACTAAACCGACTTAAGGGGCCCATTTGGAAAGAATGTAGAGAAAATAACCTGGTAATATTGGCCAAGTCCACGGCTCCCCAGTCACTGCAATGTCTGTGATTTCCATTTGTTCTCTAATCTATGTGGTCCATCCATCACCCCTCTGAGCGGTATGTCCTGCCCAAACTCCCTTAACTCTTTCCTAACATTCGGAATAATGTCTCTAACCGACGTTTTCCTTTTTTCTGTCTCTATGCAATTCCCAGAAGAGCATCTCTCCACGCGTCAGAGTTTTCAGTCTGATCCACTTTCAGTGTGCGCATGTTTATGATCGACGACCTTCGACCCCCTGGGTGGTGGGAGGCACTGGCCACCAACACATTCAACAACAACTCGCATTAATGAGGCAATGTTTAAGCCGAGGGGACCACCTTGGTGGGAGCTGTCCCAGTGCAGCACAAGGTGAACACAGCACCGGAATTGCAAGTGCGCGTTAGTCTGCCAGTTAGGGGCGATGCTTCCGTTGGTTTTACCAATTAACCCTTTCCCATTCCAAGACATCTGCAAGTTGCAAGGTGGGTGTCCCGTTCACCGCTGAATATCAGAACTCGCAAGTGTCTCAGCATTAATTTTATTTAGAGAGGCGAAGCGCCGCTGTTTTTCAAGACATAGTACTCACCGCAGAGAACCGTAGCGACACGACCGCAACTCTATGACAGCTGGCGCCAAACCCTGCCACCCGCCCTCCCGCGTGGCCTTTTACCGAAGAAAAAGTGCTGACGTACACGTACGTCATCGGAATGGGAAAGGGGTTAAGTAATCTACCTTGTGGCGCTGCGGTCCGCCGAACGCGATGCGACGGGCGTCCTCCACGTTCTCGCACACGAGCGAGTTGCCGCAGGCGTACTGCAGCGCCTTCTTGATCTGCGGCGGCTCGTAGCGAATCACGTCGATCACCAGCTTCGCCCCGCGCAACTCGCGCAGCTTCTCGTCCGTCGGCTTCACCTGCCAAACGCAAAAAGGAGGTTCGGGAAAATGTCAGACTAATAATGGGGGGTGGGGGGGGCGGAGGTTTTTGAGAAGAGTAATACTGCTTACATTTTAAAAAGCGTCAATTATGCCAGCATCCCATAATGCTATACATTATTTATATATAAGGATAAAAATCTCATATACAGCCACTACCAAGCAAATTAAAACCCGCCCATCAAGGTAAATAAAAAAAATTATAAACAAAAACGGCACCAAACAAAAAGCACACAAAAAATAAGTTATTGTGAACCCCTGCCACCACATTCACAAGGTTGTTGTATATATAGGTGGCGAGACAATTTTTTAGAACAGTCAACGCACGATTTAACCAGCATAATGGGAGGGGAGGGAAGGTCCGGAAAGAACAAAAACATGGACAATACAAAGCACACGTAAATGAATCTATAAAACTAATATTTATTAATTACCTTACATTGACTGGGTGTAAACAAGTAAAAATGTATTTCGCATTGATTTTTTAAGTAATCGAATTGTCAACGTTGTTAGTCAGGTGGGCACAAGTCACGGATCCCCGGCGAGCACAAGGAAAGAAATAGGGTTTTTTGCAATCACGGTTAATTCACAATCCACCCATTGATAATCAAGTGCCGTTGGCGTGCGTGTCACAGCGCATACGGCGTCACGGTGTGTGATATGGGATGCATTTAGTGCGTGATGTGTCCATCTGGTGTAGTGTGTGTACATACGTAACGCGTCACGGCGTGTGCGGCGTCACGGTGTGCGGTACGTTACGGATTGCGTGCAATGTGTCACGCAGTGTGTGTGTGTGTGACGTCACAGTGTGTGCGTGTGTGATACATGACGCATTGCGTTTGTGTGATGTGTTCACACGGTGTGTGTGTGTGCGACGTCAGTGTGTGCGTGTGTGATACATGACGCATTGCGTTTGTGTGATGTGTCCACGCTGAGTGTGTGTGCGCACGTGTGTGAGATGAGTGCGAGCGACAGGGCACTTGCCTCCAGGTAGTCGAGGGGAAGGAAGGTCTCAGGCTCCCCGCGCTGCTCCTTCACGTACTGGATGCAGTCTCGGCCGGTCTTCTCCGAATCCACGATGATGGCATCCATGTTCTTGCCCAGCACCTTGGTTACGGCGATCTGGTATTTCTTCTGTGTTGGCTGGCACAGGTCGATGAGCCGTCCATACTGCAGCAAACAGGTACACACGGTGAGCGTTAAAGACGAAAATCCAACAGATCATGCATGTGCATGGATTCTATCACGCGTTCCAACATGCATTTGTCCTTCTGACGTATTTAATGAATTGTAATAATGGTAAGTTACAAGCCGCACAATGCCTCGGGTCTTGTGGTGTCACGAAATGACGTAACATGAAATGACAACATCGGGAGGGGAGGTGGGGCGCATAAACCTATGATGTCATTGCCTCGGTCGACAAGGCTCAACATTTTAGCTCAATATTTCTGAAAAATCTTATTAACTTTTGGCCTATTTTCTTTCGGGCAAGTCCCTGACCGGAAACACAACTTTACAGTAAAGTTTCATTTATATTGGATCCTCTTTACAAGAGTTATCGTGACTCCCCACTGAGGATAGAGCCAATGCACAAGCGCGTTTAACCTTTGCTGGACGGCGTTAAAAACGAAGAGTTCATATCCTGCAGATAAAACATGAGCAGCCTTTCTCAGGTTGTCTGACTTTGTGCATTTTTGTCTTTGATGTGGGGGGGGGAGAGGAGGGTGGTTGGGGTAGAAGCACATTAACCCACGCAACATATTTATTCCACATACATTTTGCAGTTGCTTATATCCCAGGGAAAGCAGTGCATGGTGCGGCAGGCTCACCACGGAGCTGGAGTACAGGCGCTTGAGGCTCTCCATGATCTCCACTCGCCTCTGCTGCCGGCTGTTCTCCTGCCGGTCGATGCGCGCATCTCCGAGCTGCCCCATCACCTGGTTGAGTTCACTGTTGATCTCTTCGATTCGACGCTTGGCTGTCTCCACCTCCTCCGTCAGCTGCGATTCCAGCTTCTTCTGCTCCTCCAGCGAAGACCTGGAGCGACCGTGATGCTCGTCAAAATACCGCGCCCCTAGCGTAAGATCAATGCCGCTGGCATGGCTGGGGCTAAATCAGGGACGACTTCATTTCATGCGGCCCGCCATCAGACATTCCCGTTTTAATTGGCTAACTTGTAATTTTGTTTGGCTCATATTTATCTTGAGCCCAAGTTTTCAGCCTTCTTTAGTCAATTATTATTGTCTACATGTAATTTTCAACTGCTGTATTATTTTTTTAATAATATTATTTTATTTTTGCTTTGTGCAATATTTTATTCCAAATGCACCATCAGCTTCATCGCATGAGATTAACACATGTCCACAAACAACTCTCACAGACAGCAGTGCATCACCTTGTGTCAGTTAACAGATGTACGATGTCACAACCTACTTTTGAGAAAACTCCCAACATATTCGTCAGAAAACACTGCTTAATTACATTAATTAAAGTTGGATTTGAACCTGTAATGGTATCTGTCCGCTCAACGCTCTGACAACTCAGTTCTCCCACAAGCCACCAAAAAAGTGCTGTGAAGAAGGGCGATTGCTTGAAATGTCACCTATTAAACACTTTTTCTTTGAAGTCCGCATTGGTTTTTTTTGTTATTAGGGGTTGTGCACCCCTGCACCAAATATTGTTTTGAACAGAGAAAGAACATGTTAGCCAAGTGCCACGGCCCCTTGGCTCAGCTTGAGCTCACCGGCTGGTCACGATGTACTCCTCCAGCTTCTCCACTCGCTTGTGGTTTTCCTCAATCTCGCGCAGCTTCTGCTTAATCTTCGCCTGCACGCATCAGAGTATTGCAAAGCAAGCAACGTAAGGCTTCCATGTTGGCTGTAAAAAACCCTCCCCTGCCAAAACAATGGCTCTCTCTCACACGGTTATATACATTTTACGTCATTTACGAGTGTCAATACTACAATTTGAATTGTGAAAGTTGTGGGTTTACTCTCCAACACAAAGGCGGGTTTAACGACACATTTGTATTTACGAGATCTAACCAAAAAAATCACATATAAAGATTGTTTGCGTGTCAATGAAAATGAGAGCACACGGAGAAAACTCATGCAGATGAGGGGATAACACTGAAATGTCCTCAAAAGATGAGTTCTACGAACCTATTTGCTGTACTGCCATCTCCTGGCTACCTTGCAGCCAGGCAGGTTTGAAAAGCTAACTTCATAAATCATGAAGTATATAAACAGTATTATACATCTAGTAATTGTTTTCTTTTCGTGAGAACCCTACCCCGTATGCCATTTTACATCCTGCGAGTTGCTGCCATTCATTTCTCACTTTTCAGTACCACTGGCGATGGCCGAACTGTGATGGCACCAATTTCTATACAAGGCCAATAAAACTAAAATATGTGACGGAATGTTTTTTTTAGAAAAAGGGCATTTGCACAATTCGCTTGTATTGATAATAGACCCGTAAAATAATAATACAAATAATAAGAAATCGATAGAGCTGAAGTTAAAGAATATGAAGTTTTCCCACCGACGTCCGCTCTGGCCCACGGGAAGGCGTGAACATAAACTTCCCCTCCAACCCACTCCAACGTACCTCGGTCTCCACCTTCTTCCTCTCCTCCAGATCCAGGCGGTCCTGATCGGCCTTCTGGTCCCGGTTAAACTTCTCCAACTCCTGCGCAAGCACGGCCGCCCTCTTGCTGGCCTCCTCCTTCAAGCTGTTGTACACCTTCACCTGTGCGACGCAAATGACTTGCACCATTAGGCCTTGACGCTTGTCATATGTCCAGCCACAGTGAGTATTTAGGAAAGGCCACTCATAACCTTCTTGTTCTTCACTCAAAGGAGATGCAACCCAACACTCAAATAGCTCTCAACTCCTGGACATTAGGATCAGTGTGGCTGCATTAGATATGTAACAATTCCCTAGTCCCCCCCCCCATTTCCCTATGAAAACTGATAAGATGTCACAAATTTGGTTCACAATTTGACCCTTTTGTCTTGTATGTACTGTCTCGTATGTTCTCTCGTTTGCACTGTCTCATGTGTAGTGCCTGTAACGTCTTGTAAATAGTATCTTTACAGCATCGCCTTTAAAATATCTCATTTGTACCATCTCGATTATTTTGTGTCATTCATTCCGACCACTGGGCGAGTGTAAACAAATTCCGTAATATCTACACAAAACGAACAGAAACTCATCATTCTCTCTTCCACCACCTGCCTGCCTTCCTTACCACCACCGCCCCCCCCCCCTCCCCACAAGCCATCCATGGGGCTGCGGACGAACCTGCGACTCCTCGAGTTGCAGGTCTCGGCCCTGGCTCTGGCTCTCCTCCTCGATGCGCTCCTCAAACTCCTGCCGAGCCTTCTCCACGCCGCCCAGCTCCAGTTCCAGCTCGTCGATGTCCGCCTTGTGCTTCATGTACTGCTTCTGCGCGTTCTGCACCGACTTGCGCGCCGCTTCCAACTTCTTCAGCTTGTGCGCCGTGTTCTCTTTCGCCTTGATGTACTGCGGGCGCTTCTGGTTCAGATCCGAGTCCTTCTCCCTGTGCCGGGGGAAAGGTTCCAAAACAGCTATTGTAATCGTGAGCGATGCCAGACAGATGGGTGGACAGGCAGAGCTAGTGCCATCAATGTTTTCAACCTTATCCGGACAGCATAAAAAACTAAGTGTTTTATAAACCAGTCAACGGTTCAAATTAATGCGCAAGTAATGTTGTCATTTTTTGCAATAAACGTTTGGCCAACAATAATAAATCTTGTCCATATAACCAGTCACGGTCTCCACAGAGTCTGTACAGCTCCGCAAAACTCTCTCAACATTCTAGATTCGCGACCATCGCAGGCACTGAAGAGTGAGGATGTGCGCGGAGGGGTAAGGGGAGAAAAGATGGATGCTCGAAGGACGCACTTGATTTCCTTCTCGACCTGCTGCTGCTCGCGCGTCAGCTTGCCGACCTCCTTCTTGCGCCCCTTCATCTCCTCCTCGACACGATCGATGCGCCGGGTCTCCTTGTCGATGTCGCGGTTGCGCACGGTCAGGTCCTTGTTGAGCCGCTCGATCTCCTGCTCCGTGTAGTACAACTTGAAGAGCTGCAGCTGCACGTGCGCGCGCGCCAGCTCGTCTTTCAGCCGCTGGTACCGCTCCGCCTGCGCAGGAAAGCACAACGCTTACATTGCACACATCGAGCCATCCAACACATGCCTACACCTTTGTGCGGTGATTTCATTTAAATCAATCCTTGAGCTCATGATGCATATGCAGGGCCCTTTTGTCAGGGATGCACGAGCGAGAGAAGACCAAGACGAGCCTATAAGTATGCATTATTGTTGAACTTCTTTCGCACCGTGTGTAGCCAACCGTGCTAATCGGAGGTACATGTAGATGCCTTGATCCACAGGGACAATTTTACGGCAATCGCTGCCGGAAACCGTCACCAGTTGCCACCAACTTGACGGGAAAGAGAATTAAGTGGCGGGAGTTCTCTCCAGCTATGCAAAGCAAGATGTATTCTAAGCAACAGGCTGGGCCTGCAGCAGCAATTCTCAACCTTTTGGTAATGGTGGCCCCCATCGAGACCGCTGATCCCCGCGCTGCACTTTGATGGCCACCACGTAAGCCCGCAACAAACTGACATGCATGGTGGTCACCCATCCAAGCACTCTCGAGGCTCAAACCTGGAGAGGGGCCTCGCGGTGGCGAGACGTTATATCCTTCGCCTGGTATGCGGGAGGTTGTGGGGTCGATCTCGACACCGACGCCTGCTGTATATTTGGGGTTTGCATGTGCTCCCCGTGGTCGCGCGGATTTTTCTCCGGGTCCTCAGGTTTTTCCCTCCACATTTAGAAACATGCATTTCGAGTATTTGGCCACTATAAATGTCCACGTGATAAGCCACCTCGTTGAGCCATCAATGATGATAGCCACGTCGCTTCTGGAAAATAGCTATACAGCTTAATGGCCTTACCTGGTAAAATAAAAAATAGTGAATAGTTTTTTTTTAGCTTATGAGATGAGGTGCACTCTGGCTGATTATATTATCTCATACAGCACTGGCAAGGAGGAGAGCCAAGCGGTTAATGCGGGGCTTGAACGGCTGCGACCGTCGCACCTCGTCCTTCTCCTGCTTGGCCTCCTTGCGCTCGGCGGCGATGTTCTTCTTGCGGTGGTAGTTGAACTGCGTGTCCTCCTCAGCCTTCATCATCTCCCGCTTGCGGCGCTCGTACTCCGCCGCGAGCTCCCCCGAGCGACTGATCTCCTCGAAGAGCTGCGTGCGCTCCTTGGGGTTCTTCATCGCAATCGACTCCACCGCGCCCTGCGGGTAAGAACGCGCGCAAAAAAAGGTCCCCGAAGTCAACACCCGACATCGCAATTTGCTCATCGGAATGTAAATGGAGAAAATCCGATATGAAACGTGCGTGTATGCTCAACTTATTTTGCGCTGTACGTTGCAAACCGTGCTAGTCGGATGTGCGTGATATAAGCATTGTGTCCAAAATGTACATTTGTCAAAGAAATTTGCATGAGTTATATTGACATTTGTTAATATAAAATTTGCATGAGTTAAAGACCAAGCACTGATCGCCATGCCTTAACATTACTCGACTGCTTTATCCGGACGCGTACCGATGATAATGGTGTTGGATTGTGGGGTATCCTGCCACAGTCGCCAATTTTACATTTTCCAGCAGTGTTTTCCGTACACGCCTTGTGCTGGTAATGCCAATGAGCCATAGGAATCCATCTGTGCAGGTACTTTTAGTTTCCTCCCAAAGTAAGCAAAAACATTCACCCTTCAGCAAACAATCAACTGCCATTGGTGAAGGTGCGGAGAATATGCGAGGGAGCATAGCAGTGGTTTAGGAGGCGGGAAGCCTCGGACCGTTTCAGCTATTGCTCGCCACTGACGTTAGTCACGGGCGGGAATCACACTCAGGTCACCGGATTCATAGCGAGGCGCGCTAACCACTTTGTAACAGGGTTGTAAAGGTCATTTACTGATTTGGGGGGAACTTCTCATGTAACGGTACTTCATATACATCATCAGACACGGTTTAATCCACTGCTGGAGAACGACCTCCCCAAGCAGCCACCACCTCTCACGATCCTGCACTGTGATAATCCACCTAGCGCCTGCACACGAGCTGATAAAGGATACTTTAATTCCGGAGGGTATCATTATAAGCGGAGTTGAGTGTACATTTGAAGTTTACCAACACTCACCAGCCCTAAGGATTCAGAGGGGCCTCCCTCCACTTAAGAGCAGAGCACATGGCGCACCCTCACCTGGAAGACGAGGAAGTTGCGTGCTTTGATGAGGATGCCCAACTTCTCCAGCTCAGAACTGTACTCCTGCAGCTGCACCACCTTGGAATTGATCCGATACTCGGAGGAAGATCCTGTCCCCCAACAGTGAGACGAGTACAGAGAATGTAAGTTTCTGTAGCAGGTACATACCCAGTGGTTATTCGGCAGATCACAAACTTTGTTTCGATAATATACCCAGTCGTTATCTGACAGACCTCAAATGTTGTAACTGCATATTACAACAATGTATCAAGATGTTAAAAAGTTGCTACTACACTGGGACATTGTGCGCATTTTTTAAATGCATACAACAACATGGTAGAAAAACAAACCAATTCTAAGATGTCATGTAAATTACAAGAAACTCATGAGACAGAAAACAGTAATTATATGCAGCTATAGTCATTTGCAGCCAGCAACAGGTGAGATTGTGACCACTGGATCAGTCCTCCCAGTTGTATCATTGTCCTGTCTAATATCATTTGGAAATAATTTCACCTCTTTTGATTTGGTGTCCTAAAACAAAGCTGTGCGCATTACTCATGTAGTACGGTGATGTCACATGACACGAAAGGAATGACGGGAGGGCCAATCGAATCGTCTCCAATTGTTCCTTTTGCTGTCAAGAAATCACATTGCGATTACAATGATATTTAGAATGCTCACATCTCTGTCCAATTATCATTCTAGTGGTGTGCTTTCACATGGTGACACAAAGTTACTGAGTGAATGAACACGATGGGCAATATATGGCGAGTCTCTTAACAGCAACATAAGTTTGTACGGACGTTTAATTTATATTCGTAATTTTTTTACGAGCGTTATCGTGACGCTCCGTTACAGATGAACAGAGCAAATGGCATTACTGCATTAAACCTGAATTGGAATACGTTAAAAACACAGGGCCAAAGGCCCGCTCCACTAACAACATGTTACATTCCGCTCTGCATAGACGTGAAAGTTAATCTTTCGCATGGCTGATGTAGATGCAAAGCAATAACTACAATTTTAAAATCAGGTGGTCAAGCCAGAAAACCACACCAGATGCAGCAGAGTGCATTGCTGTAATGTCTCCTTAGAAATTTGTGGATCGGGCATTGTGTCGTTATATGTTGTACGGTATGTTCTGGATGACCAGTCGCACACTGGAGAATTTAAATTTTCCATTCATGCATCAGGTATTCGCATCTGCCGTGGTTTGTTGCAATGGATGCGATTTAGGGTGAATCATGAGCTTCGTGGAAGATCAAACCCAAGGATCTTCTGTAACCAAGTGACGGTGAAGTGTAGCGACGAACCGATGATGTAGCGGGTGAATATTTTCTCCTCTCCGTTGTCCTCTGCGTACACCATGCTCACGTACGCCTTGTTGGCGGCCGGTTTGCCCACGGGAGCGCCATGAATCAGATCCTTCAAGGTCTTCACACGGAGGTTGCTCGTTTTCTCGCCCAGGACGAAGCTGATGGCGTCCATCAAGTTTGATTTACCTGCAAGCCGAGACATTACGGTCAACTCTCCATTATCTGTGGGCAGATTATCCGGGTTGCAGTTTCAACCTTGCTAATTTGCACGTGTTATGCGCACACTGTTTTCATTATTAGCTGCTCCTCACTTGTCGAGGGCGAGCGAGTCAGTGCCCACACGACCACATTACATGTCAGTAATAAAACTGCCTACTTAAAAAAATTATGACAAGTTCCACATAGTTAAACCAGTTAAACCATAAATTAGATGCGGGCCAGGAATCCCCCAAATATGACCGAAAAATATATAAAAAGCCCAATCTGCAAACATCTGCATAAAGCGGTAAACAATGCTGCTATTTGGCCATGTCACCCACTGCCATGGCAGAAGGTGCGATTGGGGTGGCTTAAGGCGCTAATACTGTCAGAGTAGGGCGTTCAGCACCGCTGAGATGCACGGTTTGAATGTGTTTCAGCCACCTGTGATTAAACTGGGTTCCCAAGTGTAGTGAGCCGATGATCCAAGCACAATTATCAATGAGTGCACGAAAATAACTTAGTTTTTTTACTAAACGTATCTTATAGAAGAACATAATTTTCAACGTTTTGGTTTGACATGTTGGGTACACCCCTACAGCAGGGCATGGGAGAGTGAGTAGGTGTCCAACCTAGTGTGTATGTATGTTAGGGTTGCCCTATTTGAATTTAACAAAATATGGACAAAGATCAAACACAAGTGTCGTTAATTCAAAGTTATACTACACCATAACAAAAAGGTGTTTCGGAGAATGGGTAAAGGAAGGAAACGGTGCAGCCCTGCACCCACTAGCTCAAGATAGTGCGTGGGCCCTGGCTGGGATGTCAACTTATGCTCTCAAAACTGGCGGTCTTGCTCCTGTACCAAAAGGGCCACACAACTAGAGGAGATTGGAACTCATTATGCACTGGACTGGCGAGAGCTCTGGACTATCGAGACTAACACCTGGTACTCAAATAGCATTTAACGGCCCAAACACTCCACATTCCTGTTGCCAGGAAGAGTTGTTATTCTAAAGAACCACTATCGAAAAGTTAAACAGTTGAGACGTTCCATAATTGTTTAGAGAAGTGGAAATCACCGATACGTCAATTTAACAACGAATTATATTTAATTTGATACAGCATTACTTTGTATCCAGAAAGTAAAAATTAACCCGTAAAAACAAAGTTTTTCACTATAAATCCTTTATATGCGTGGCATCGGTTTTATTTTATTATTCATTTCTGTTTTTCTTGAGTAAGAGTTTCATTTTTATCACATTGGTATTTTAAATTAAATATGATTTTTTTTCTCCTAAAAAGTGGAAAATTTAGGAACATTTTTTTCACGAAAATAAATTGTCACGCACAACAAGTCTGTGTGCAAAATGTCAGCTCGATTGGATCACGGGAAGTGGGTTAAAAAACGACCGAAAGATTTTCACGGTCGTAAGCGCGCAAGCAAGCAAGTGAACTTAATATAAAGGATTTAAAAATCACCCCAAACATGGGCCAGTTGTCAGTAAGGTATGTACTGTATATGGTCTCATTCCTACCGGATTATAAGACGAAGCGCCAACTTCTACTTTAAAATACAGGGAAGGGGGGGGGGTGATTTGTAAATTCCTTTAATATTGTGGTGCAATACATGGCGCGGTTAAGATAAAAAAAACACATGACTAAACAAGTGAACGTGCATGATTATATGCCATTGAAGACCTCACCGAAATGTATAACAGAACATAAAACTGTAATAATTTATATCGAGCTCTTCAAAGACGTCTGGCCATGGTGGAAGAGTAGGCCCAAGTACAGTTTTTTCTCAGTTTTCATTTATTTGGTATAACCCTGTGAGCCATTCGGCTCTTGAATCGGGTGCAACCGCAACAAACAAAAACATGAACAAGAAACATCTTAAAGTGACTACAAACATAAAAAAAAATCTCAAGGCTCTCTAGAGCAGTGATACTCAACCTTGTTTGGGCTCCTATAACCACTTGTTGAAACAAAAATAAACAGAGTACCAACCTTGCCTGACACCCAACATAGTAGTTATTTCATATTTCCATATTCAATTCGTGATTATTCACTAATGACTCTAATGAACGATACCATTTCACACATTTATAAATCAACTCACGTACCCACTGGTTGACAACCACTGCTCTGAGAGCTTCCTCTCGTGGGAGGATCTTCCGCCAGCAGAGGCGTCATCGGGCTATTGCAGGGCTGCGCCTTCACTTTGTTTTCGACCCTTGGATCGAGCACGCATCCCCGCCACTTTGCACAGCGATAACGCGGTTTTTAGCACGCACACGACACTCGCGGCGAATGTTCGTGTTTATATCACTGCTAGTTCACTGCTAGTTCAGTGTTTAGTTTGTGCGGTGCCGTTTAGGTCGTCGCTGTTGTTGCATTGCGCTGACAATGGGGGGGGGGGGAGCGGTGGCGCAGCGGTTAGCGCACTAAGCACGCCACGAAACCCGGTGACCCAAGTTCGATTCGCGCTCACGGCCAACATCAGTTACGAATCTCTGAATCGGTCCTGGGCATTGCCCTAGGTCGACTCAGCCTTCCGTGAGGTACCTGCTGCGATGAGAGCGGGGTGGGGTGAGACAAAGACGGAAGGGGCGCGCCGCTGGCCAGACTACTCCCTCTCGTGCCGTGCAGTCCGCTGACAGCACTTGCCCCAACACGTGTTGAAGGCTACACTGGGGATCTTTATCTTTGCGCGTGTGTGTGACAAGGCCGTAGTCTTACCCGAGCCATTGGGCCCAATGATCGCAGCGAAGCGCTTGAAGGGCCCGATGATCTGCTTGCCCTTGTACGACTTGAAGTTCTCCAGCTCGATCAGCTTCAGGAATCCCATGGCTGCCCCCCTCCGCGCCCCCCACAACTTAATCCGCGTCGATGATCGTGCGTTAGGAAACCCCCTCAGCCTGAAACAAAAGCGACGCGCGTTGGACGCGAGACAGCGGCGGCGACGGCCATGTTTTGGCCGCGCATTCCCGCCAACGCGAAATCTCGCGAGACTTGTTATCGGCGCAACGAGATCCCGCGATCACGCCCCCCATGCCCCCCCCCCCCAAGCCGGTCCCGTGGTGGTGGGTCAGCTGGATTCATCTCAGAGAAAGGCGAAATTCGGGCCAACTTGGAATTCAGAGTAAAGCTGGAATTTCTGGTGAGCCGGAATTTGGTGGTTTGCCGATATTTGGAGGAAGCCAGAATTTGGTGGTGGCCGAAATTTGGAGTAAGCCGGAATTCGGGGGGTAAGCCGGATTTTCAGAGTAAGCTGGAATTTGGGGTAAAGGGGCCGTCCATAAATGACGTCACGCGATTTTGGACGATTTTTGACCCCCCCCCCCCTCGTCACACGGCGTCACAAAAAGTTAGACCCCCCCCCATTCAAATGTGACGTCACAAAGCTCTGCCCCCCCCCCCCAAAATAAAACATGCTTCAAATCGCTTTAAACTATTATCATTGTAGTGCGTATTTAATGTGGCGCTGCACTCTGATGTTGTACGAGAAAACATTTCTTAAAAGTCTATTTAATTAAGTGGAACGTATTCTAAATTGATTTAAAGTTGCGCATTTTGAAGTGACGTCACATTTCTCACCCCCCCCCCCCCCTCGTCACAAATGTCTGACCCCCCCCCCCCGAGGTGCGTGACGTCATTTATGGACGGCCCCTAAGCCGGATTTTCAAAATAAGCCGGATTCTCAGAGTAAGCCGGAATTCCGGGAGCGGGGTGGGGGGTAAGCCGGATGTCGGAGTAAGCCAGATTTCAAGGGAACCTGGAATTTAGAATAAGCTTTCATTTCGGGTCAGCCGGAATTTGGAGGTGGCCGAAATTATGAGTAAGCCAGAATTTGGGGGGGGGTAATCCGGATTTAAGTAAGCTGGCATTTGGGGGAAGCCGGAACTCTACATAAGCCGGAATTCGAGGTAAGCCGGATTTAGGATTAATCCGGAATTCGGGGTGTAAGCCAGATTTTCAGAGTAAGCTCGAGTTTGGGGGGGTGTAAGTCGGATTTCGGAGTCAGCCGAAATTGGGAGTAAGCCAGAATTTGGGGGTAAACCGGATTTTCAGAGTAAGCTGGAAATCAGAGTAAGCCGGATTTTGGAGTAAGCCGGAATTCGAAGGAAGTCGGAATTCAGGGTAAACTGGAATTCAGAGTCAGCTATAATTTCGGGTTCGTTAGAATTTCTTGGAGGCCAAAAATTAAAATAAGCCGGAATTCGGGGTAAGCCGGAAATCTGGATGTAAGCAGTGGACGATGATGGATTCTGAAATTAAATCAAGCGTTGTGCTTTCGTCGATTCATTTTTTGTATTCCTACGAGAGGTCGCCGAACGACACGAGGTTTGCAAACGCGTGTTGAATGTGTATGGGAACAATTGCGCCATCTTTTGCAGAGGTCGTGACAGAAAGGGTTGGTGGTGAACGTGAACTGCGAATCACAGCGAATGAGATTATAACCAAGGCGATAACGCCAAATACAATGTGGTGAGATTCAATGTATTTCTGTATTCCGTACTGCCATTGCTGGCTACTTCTCAGCCAGAGCCTATAACACCTGGTATTTTCCAGGCAGTCTCCGATCGGACCATTCACTCGGCTCAAATCCCTGCTGAGCTTCCGAGATCTGCTAAAATTCGGCATATTCAGGATGCCTTCCTAGGTCGTAAGCAATATAGTGCCCAAAACTAGCACTCAACAGTCCTTGTGCATTTCTAAATATTGAAAGACATCACACCAAAAGCCAATATATTTAAGTTTTACCTTTATTTGCCTGTCTACTGCAAAGGTGAGAGAACATGACAGCATGCGTGTACCGTGCATAATTCGAAACGAAATGCCGAACTATTTTCAAGGTTCCCTGGAAGGATTTTCTAAATCGTCAAAGCAAATTAGCCACCAATCAGCCATGTTCTATTCACTGCTGAATTAAGGTAATCCCACGCCGTTACCACGGCCCTTCTTGTGCGGCAGGGGGGGCTGATGTCGTTCCATCTGTGCTGTGGTCGTCCTCCGATGCGCTTCCTTCGTTTGAATTTCCATTCCATCACCATTTCCCGTCCATTTGCCATCATCCCTTCTCGCTTCGTCCTGGCCCAAGGCCACTTCGGTCCACGCTTAGCGTCTCAATTTGCGTTTGTTCTCTGACCCACGTGTCCCAGTCTCTGTGCACAGTAGTTCCCAGCGTGCAACCCTAAACGATTCGTTGCTTACTTGGCGCGCTTTTGTTCATTAATTGCGCGTCAGTGCCAAGTTTACAATCCATGTTATGGAAAACATGACAATAATCGCGCGCTTTCAGATGCGCTTCCGCGGCCGTCTGGAACGTTCCTCCTTCCGATAGTAGGAAGCCACTGGAGCTATGCGCTATTACATCTAGATTGACAAACTCATTTCTTTCGAACTGTCTTCTTGTGTTTGGTTTGTTGTCCTTCCCCCGCACATCCGACGAGCACGGCTGGCTACGTACGGCGCGAAGGAAGTTTAACTAAAGATGTATTCTTCAGGCACACTGGTATGTCCCTTCGCATTCTCAAATGACATTGTCCAAAGTCGCCCCAATCGTGATCTTGTTCCCCCTCTTTAAGTCACAAGTTTGGTAAATTTCCTTTTAATAAGCTTAGTGGTTGTTGTCACCTACAGCGGTACCCTTCCAACGATTATTTACTTTTGTTTCGCCAACCCGATGTTTCAGTTTTTTTCCCTATCATTCAGCTTCAGTCCCACTTTGCAGCCTTCTCTTGTCAAGTGTTTCAATCAATCAATCTTTATTTTACGTGCCAATATCGCCCTCAATCAAGTCAGCATCGGGGCACAATCACCCCCCTCTAGTTCGCGAGGATTGGCTCGTATCGTGCCAATGCCACCGGGGTTGTCAGCGTCCAAGGAGACCGTGCGCCGAGTGTAGTAGGCGTCAGGTGATGGGCATATCAGGAGGCAAGTAACGCTTCATAGAATAATCTTTAGTCCATCAGCAAACTGGCTTTGAAGAACATTTTAAAGCAGCATTTGCTTATGCAAGAAACCCATGGACTGGTTTTCACATTCTGGATCTCAACAGCAGAGTCTTGTTAAACAAACGCTGCTGGAATACCAGATGTTATTGACGAGAGCACTCCATTTAAACCATGGGAGCCTGTTTAACGCAAAACAAGAAACACAGTACGCAAACTCAATGCGTTGCCATAGAACATCATGGTTAAAAGCAAATATAAGCAGAACTCCTTTCTGTCTCTCCACGTAATATAATTTTTTTGTGCATCAGCTCATTAACAATTCATGAAATCAAGTCACATATACGCTAACGATCAAACAAAACTGCACAAGACAATTATAACACCATCAACATGGTAAAAAAAAATAGACAAATATTTTCTTTAACCTAATTGTGATCCTGAATTGCGACGATTTATCGCATCACTTGGATGGGGTGTGGGGCGGTGAATCTTGACTTGCCTCAATCACAGCGATAAAGAAAATGTAGTCACCACACATTGCAATGTTCCCAGCACAAACATGATGAGAGACATGATTAGAGGATTCCGCAAAAGTAGACTTCGCAAAATGTAAATGCCGGCTTCAGCGTTTGAATCCTTTTCATCTCAACGGAGTAGTGAAAAAGAGCTTCATAGCTCATCGGATTCCTCCAGTATTTTCTGATTCTATAACTAAGAACAGGCACAGCACTCTGCGTCCCCCAGTATCCTTACCCATTTCTAAAGTGTCCCATTTCTACCTACATGAGATATCAGGATTCTTCAAAACTTGGCATGCTGGCGGGGCACATGATGCCAATGTGACGACTGTCTGTACCTCTCGTCTCCAGATATCTCATCTCTCCCTTGTTCATTTTCATCTCTTTAATCCGCATCTCTTTACATCTCTGTGAACCATATCTGTCAGCAGGCCAGAGTTCAGCGGAACACTCCCGAGAGCCTTTGTGTGTCACATGGCCTCTGGGCCGCCAGCTGACAAACCCGTTACAATTATAATACCGCTCAGCCTCAAGTGTTAGACCCAAAATTATTAAATAATCTCTACCAATGGACATATCAATTGGCAAAACATACAAACATTTATCCATATACATCTGTTTTACTTTTTACAAACTCATCATTGACAATATACACCTTTTTGTATTTTCAAAAAATTAACATCATGCAAACTCAGGTTGGCAGCCGGTGTCCGAGCAGGGCCGAGGAGTCTCGAAGTCTGGACCCTAGCCGAGGAGCTTGTTCTGCCGGAGGTTGAGGATCGAGTCGGCGATAATCCTTGCCGTCTGCCTCATGTAGCCGCCCGACGTCACCATGACAATGGGGATGCCGCGGCTGCGTGCGGCCGTGAACACCAGTTGGTCGCGCTCGATGATTCCCTAAGAAAACAAGCCAGACGGACCAGTCAAAGAGATTATTTCGGCCCATAAGGGAACTGCTCCACCTTTGGGTCTTCTTTCGACTGGCAGATGAGTTCATCAGCGACGTTTTGACTTTCATGTCGAGGTTGTCGAGTGAGCTAGTGGGCAGATGAATTTCTGAAATGCTGCCAGCGAACGATAAAAGTGCGCAGTGACGTTACTGTGTGGTGTTCACGGCTTGATATTGGCGACCAATATCTGGTCGAAGAGATGGCTGTGTCTGCTCCAGAGGTCGCAAACGGGTTTCGATTCCTTACCCGTACCCGTACCCGGCCGCACCAGGGTCGCAAATGGGTACCCGTACCTGGCCAGGTACGGGTAGCCGGGTATCGGGTAGGGTACGGGTATCGGGTACCCGAATGCGACCTCTGGTCTGCTCACAGATATTCACAAGACTGCTGCTGAAGCCATCCCCTGGCTCACGAACCTCAACATGAACACACAAACAATGATCAACTCGCCAAACGAAAGAAGGTCTATCCAAGTCCAAGGGTCTTTAAGTCTACGAGTCTGCATGTGAGTTTAAATTTTAAAACACGTTTCACACAGTAACACCACTGCATGTTTCCAAAGTTCGCCGATTGCGTTTTATATATTCATCAGACTACTCGCGAAGCTGTCTTCCAGCTCACCCAATCAACCACGGCATGAGCAAATGCACGTTGCCGATCAGCTCCCCGCTATAGGTAGAGGACGACCGTGCCGTGGAGGGCGGTGCCGACCGTGGGCACGCCAGTACCTGTGGAGTGATGGACAGAGCGCCCAGGCGGTCCCCCTCCAGCACGTCGGTGCCGGCGTTGTAGACGATGACGTCGGGCGTGAACTCTCGGAGCGAGCGCTCCAGCGCCGTGCGCACCTTCTGCAGGTACTCGGCGTCCTGCGTGCCGCAGTCGAGCTCCACGCAACAGCGGATGCCGCCTGCGCGCAACGCAAAGCGCCGGTGGGCGTGCGGCGGAGATTCTCAATTTTAGTCCTCTGCCGAATTGGCACGTCTATTGTCTCGAGCTCTTTTCGGCGCGTCCAAACTTGAGCTGGGTCAATTTCGTTTGACGAAATCGGTGATGGAAATATGAGGCAAGTTATTTATTTTATACTCTTTGGTTCTTTCGGTAAAGTCACGTAGGTAGAAATTTTGTTTTTATTTCTACCAACGTGACTTTACCGAAAGAACCAAAGAATATAGATTCCTGCAGTCACGAAAGCTTCAAATCAAGATTATTTATTTGAACATTGACTACCACTTTCACAAAAGATCAAAGTGTGCCCTGACTAGGACGAAATTAAATTAACTATTCTGAAGACACAGACTAGGATGATTTTGTGACATTATTAGAAACTGTAGTGCATCGAGAAAGACCAAACAGAGTAATTGGCTACTTATGTAAAACATTAAGTGAGCTCACCGATTATCTGACCCGATAATGAGGGTAAAAATATTGTGCGCACCTCACGCCAACATTTCACAACTAAGAGTTGACTGCTTTTGTCGACAAGGCAAGGAGAATGAAGACATTAAATCCACAGCCTAAACATTGACTTATTCGGGAATTAACGAAGCTCCGAGCACATGAAGCGAACAGCGTGGACATCGTGCCGAACAGAAGGTGCGACGATTATCACGGTTGGACACGTTTGGCGTGAAAGAAGTTCAACATACATACATACACGCAAACATATGCAGTTAAACAAACATTGCCTGCAAGACATAAGAAACACTGCGTGAAATTACGGTGCCAAAGCGAAACGCATGAAAAAAAATCCACACCTGGACAGTTGCTGTCATCAGCTGACCTCTCACCGCTTCTATAAATCAGATGTGCTCAAGGCAAGGTTGTCTTGCTTAAGCAAACCCAGACACCTCAACCTGAGCCTCCCCCTCGCATGCCCAGGCTGACAAGATTCAGCGTGAACACCAGGACGAAGAGGCAAACGAATGCGACGAAGAGCGTCAGCAGCAGCAGTACGATGGCGTAAGTGGCGGTCAGTGCCCAGTCATCCCCGCGTTGCATTGTAACCGACGGACGACGCAATCCGGGGGACCTGCCAAGCCGCGCCGATAATCCTCTTTGAGCCTCCGCAGTGAAAGGCTGCGATGGGCCGATAGATGGGCCGATGGCCTCGCGCGTCGTGCATCAGAGGGGAGGGGGGGCAAATGGCCTCTTTGTACCTGCACCGTGTGCGGCACCACGTAACTAATCAAACCGGCACCAAGCTGTTTCTCACGAGGTAAGTCGGCAGTCTTGAGCCCAACTTGGTGACGCAGCGTGCAGTGGGCGGAGGCTGCAATCGCTCTGGGTCTGTGCGAGGTTTTGCGTTAATGTGCCGCCTTGTGTCAGGCAACAGATTTGTCGCCACTTTAATCTTCTTTTGAGCTGCAGCACAGAGAGCATGGATTACAGTTTCCAGGCCGCTCGGATTAATCGGAGAGATGGATCCCTTGTTTTATCACGGAGGACTAACTGCTGAAAAAGTGGCGCATCGCGAGAAATGAAAATGCCACGCTGGTCTACGTTGTACGGACTGCACGGATGCAATCGACCCACACAAGTTTCAACAAATAGACGATGTTCATTTATCCGGGCGGTGTTGGCACACGCCTCGTAGTAGAACTCCCTTCCCGCGGGCGTCGATGAGGTGCCATACCCTGCACTCGCCAGGAGAAGGCAGCACAGCAAAAATGTGGACTCCACCTGTTCCATCTGTATGGAATCGAGCGTTCCCTCCTCGCACTTGTGGATTTTCTCCGGGTGCTCTTGTTTCCTCACACATGTAATTACTCGTTAGTTGGCCAATAACACCTTCATATATATGTAGAGGGCCACAGAGCTTGGGCAATTTTTGGCGCCGCCTCATTGCTCGGCTGCTTTCCCGCTTGTCTGTGAGTTCTCCTCGCGCCTTCAAATCGTTCCCTCGCTCTGAGAGTGAGCAAATACTGCGCGGCGCGTTGCAAAGTCGAAAAGTATGATAACTTATTAATGAATCTTTATTTGTGACTAATAAAAGCATGATGAACATATTGAGAACAGGAAATGCTGTAAATATGCTTGTCCTCATGTTCAAACACAAATGTAATTAATGGTCGTCTTTTGTTTAAGCTAAGCTTGATAAGACACCTAATCTCATTATCTTTCACTTAAGCATAAACGCTCCACTAGAATCAGCACTCTGTGAAGAAGAAAGCCAAAAAAAATTTGTTCAAAGAAATTCTTGTTTTTTTATTTTGAAAAAATAAAACCGATATCCTCGCAGTGATTTCTAAATGTAGTTTAGAGAGAAAAGCCTTTCAGAATCCCCTCTGTAAACAACGTGCTCAAAAGACAAGATAGACTCCATAAGCTATTGCCTAGCATCTACCTTGGCACAACATCCACAGTGAACCTCGTTTGCTTCTTCTCAAACTACACTCCAATTGTGCTATCAGCGTCATGGGACAAAGTGCCCATTCAGATCTCTCCGAGAACATGTTTGAGAACATCTTGCAGTGAAGAAGCATCACAGGCCTGCTCCTGAGATATCAAAAGGTCTCTCTAATCCAGTCTAATATATATATAAAAGGGAAATTTGTGAATATGTGTGTCTGTTCGAAATGTTTAGCATACTTCCCAACATGCAACACGCTTGAAATTTGGCATGTGGGTAGCTTCCAGACTGTACACAATGCAAAAAGTATAAAAATAGACTTTTGTATTTTGGGGGGGGGGGGGGGGGGTAAGGCGCAATAATGGATATATTTTGCACGCCAAGTGAGCGGTGACGTCACATCTGTGATGTCACCCACATGCGGCAGCGTCGCGCAGTGTACCTGCTGACGTCACGCATCCTCTCCCCCACCCTCCGCGTAGCGTAGGACGCATATTAATCCAAGACAAGAATCCAAGTCTCGGACGAAGCCGGGTAGTAAAGCTAGTATTTAATAACTGCCAGTCAACACTGTTTTGTATTTGACAAAATTACGCGTAAAAGGGAATTGAATATGATGCTATTGTTTTAGTTGTTGTTGTTGCATAAATCACTGGTGATCAGGTTGAAAACCCGGTTCATTCATGGGGAACTACATTGCATTTGAACCCCGGATCAGTAACAGATCACAATCACCCGGCCACCTCCTCCACACCAACACAACATTCATCACGCATTGTCGGCGAAGGACCACTACGCTAATTCGCATCAACTGCTCTTGCTGCCAAACACCTGGTGTCTCGAGTGATTTGTTTGATCCACAGACGGATCACGAGGGGGGGAGGGGGGGGAGGCGATCACGGTGGACGGCGCCATTCCTTTGAGGATCGCAGTCTTCACTTGGAAACGTCGACCGCCAACCGAAGTGCGCAATTTGCTGGAGTTGGCGACGTGGCAACGTGTCCACAGAGTGACAGCCGTCTGCCACTCGAACCGAGCTCGCGATCGCTAGGAGACAGGTCGCGGGCACAACGGTGACATTTCCGACGGAGTCGAACCGTCGGATGCAACACTCTCAGCCTTACTGGGGCCAAGGGGCATGAGTAACAGTCAAGAGCCTTCTCACGTTTGGCGGCGGAGTCGTGCGGGTAGATGTGCTGGTTGTACACGTCCATGATGTACACGCGGCTGTCGCCCATGAAGTCCCGCTCGTGTCCGTTGCCCTGCGCCACCCGACATGGCCAATCAGTGAGGTTAGTGACGTGAACGAAACGTGCCAATGTGTGTCGGACGAATAAAGCTCTGTATTCTCATATTCCTGACAGAAAGCAACTCACGCTGTAATCTCCTCTATTTACCCAGTTAAGCCGCACTACGTCTAAAGGGTCTTCCCAGGAGGGTCCTGCATCGGGACGTTTGGCCATTTCCACGAATTCGCGTTTGGCATATCGTGATGGGTACTGCAAGATCCGACCATGTCTGTCAAGTGCTCGCTGAGCTGCATTGGCTTTCGGTTGCCAAATGAATACATTATAAGGTCGCCTTCATTACACAAGAAGTGCTTGCCGCAAATGAAACACAGTATCATGCTGATCTCGTCAAGGAGCATAAACCATCACGCGAACTCCGGTCATCCTCGCAGCGGCTTTTGGCTGGCCATCGAAAAAAAAACAGTCACCACATCGCGCGCTTTCAGATGCGCTTCTGTGGCCGTGTGGAACGCTCTTCCGTCCGATATTAGGAAGCCACTGGGGCTATGCACTTTTAAATCTAGACTGAAAACCAATTTCTTTCGAATTGATTTGTGTTTAGTTTGTTGCCGTTCCCCCGCACCTCCAATTTGCATGGTTGGCTTCGCACGGTACGAAAGAAGTTCAACATACATACATACAAATTGAAGTACTCAGTAATAACGATTACCTAAAAGTTTTTACTGCACAATGGGGTCTGCTGAGAAAAACCTTGCTCCTAGTCCACAGAACAGATGACAATCATGGCCGTCACGGCGTCGTCATACCTGATGGGCATCCAGATCAACAATCATGGCTCTGGCAACGCCGTCCACACGGTCAAAGAGGAACTGCAACATCAAAGCAAAATAGGAAGAGCATAATTGGTGTGTGGGCATTTCCACTGCTGAAAGCCTGGCAGGTGTCTTCTTAGTTTAGGGTAAAGCCTACAGTTGCAGACATGTTGGTAATATGAGTCAATATAAATGTGTTGTTTATTCAACTGACTTAAAACAATTAATTTTCAGGTGGCCCAGTGGTGCAGTTGTATAAATCCAAGTCAGAGCACTGCACTGGTATCGCTTGGAACCTGAATTTAAATCAGAGCAGCCACTCGTGAATTCTAGATTTGAAGCTTTCGTGACTGCAAGGATCCATACTCTTTGGTTCTTTCGGTAAAGTCACGTAGATGAAAATAAAAATAATAAAAAAATTATAAAATGAAAATAACTTAATTAAATCACGACGTTTCGGAGGCAACACAAGCTTCCGTCATCAGGTGGAACAGCCACAGCAAAATCACTGTAGTAAATAGAGAGAGCTATTTGTGCATCCCTCCTCCCTGGCTTCTCCCCCCCTCTTATACCCTATATAATCGCTTGTCATAAATAGCTCTCTCTACTCACCACAGTGATTTTGCTGTGGCTGTTCCACCTGATGACGGAAGCTTGTGTTGCCTCCGAAACGTCGTGATTTAATTTAGTTATTTTCATTTTATTATTTTATTTTTCATCTACGTGACTTTACCGAAAGAACCCAAGAGTACAGCCACTCGTGATTCGGCCGGGATCTGAGAGAATAAAATAAAACTTTTGGATGCCATGTGATGAAAATTCTTTGGAGGCCACATAAAAAATGTGAGCACAGCGTAGATAAGAATGCCGACTTCAGAAGCTATTCAACGATGCCATCCTCCGACACGAAGAGATGCACCGCTTGCTGCAAGGGTTCTGGATGTAAATGTATTGGTTTTGTATCATAAAGCCAACAGGAACATTGGAATATAATTCAGCTGCACTGAAAGTACAAAAGAAGATTGCAAGAGATACAATATAACGATTGCAGTGTTTACTTAGCATTGTCTTCTATGCTTGTGCGTAGAAACCAAGGCAGTGAACTGACCTTGATGCACAAGGTAATGTCGGCGTAGGCACAAAAGCCTCCACCATTATCCCCGGAGCAGTGGTGAAAACCGCCACCTGGAATGCACCGAAATATTGTCAGTGTCACCCACTATATTGCATATGGAATTCCGCCACACGCATTCTAGGTGTAATAAAGTGATGGGCTTGAATGATGCCTTATCATCCACACTTGGTGACAAAAGCCACATTACCTCAATATGTACTCCAATCCCTCCAATGGCTCCCAATCCAATCCCAGATCATTTTCAAGATCACACTGTCATCAACATCCTCCGTGCACCTCTCCCATTACTTCACTCTCCTCCACTCTGCGTGCTTTCAACAGCAGAAACCGAGGCTTTCTACTGAAGCCCCGAATCTACAATCAGTGGGAGGTCACTCATTCTCTTCTGCTGCCACCATGGTCCATAACTTCTTACCCACAACCCAGTAATTCGTGCTTAATGTTTTTAGTTTGTTGTTTTTCTCCAGCACCTTCGATTAGCATGGTTGGCTACGCACGGTACAAAAGAAGATCAACATACATACTATTCCCTGCCCCTGATTAAGAGTCTAGAATCCAGACTTCCCTGGTTTCCTCCGCCTATGACTGACTGCCTCTCTATAAAAATGAATATGCCCACCGTATCTAAACAGCTAACTTGAGATGTGAGTGTATTATACACGACACTAATTGTGTTTTATTACTCACCGATGTTGAAAGCCCAGCCTCTCTCCATCGCCAGCTTTCCTGCCTAACACGATTGTCCAACACAACAAAACTCATCAGTTTGTAAGCTTTATAAAAGAGGAAATTTACTTATATTGCATTGCTTACAATATTGACCAACCACACATCACATTATTAATTCTGAGTTTAACACTTAAGCAACACATTTTTTTATTGTTTTCACAGTGGAAGGAATTACCCTTTCACTCGGGCAAAAACAGCACCATCAAAGAGAAGATTTCACACCTTTACTCATTAAGAAATGTCATAATTGCTTGGGGGGAAAATACGATGGGAGGGAATTCCAAACTCAAGGGTAGAAGCAGAAAGAGAAGTGTTTGAACCTGCAGTATGGTGGTTGAAACAGTCAGCATGGTAGACATGTCAACTCTTAATGTAAGCAAAGTAGATGTTACAGAGCTACCTCTGAGATCCGATTAAGTGACCTCGTCGACAGATTCATACCACAAAAGACTCTACATACACCACACAGGTAAAAACATAATCGATTTGTGAGTCAATTCACGTCTCAGAATCATGACAATTCCTCCACGTGTAGAGGAGTAAATCGAAACATGGAGATAGCTCTCCCCATGATTCCAGTTGCACGGGCAAAGGGCCTTTTTACACAGAAACATGGGCCGTGAGCTTATGAGCTTTACAATTTCAACTATTCTTATTTTACCAGGTAAGGTCCAGTGAGCTACATAGCTGTTTTTCAGAGATGACCTGGCCACAAATGATAGCTCAACAAAGTGGGTTATCATGTGGAAATGTATAGCAGCCGAATACTTGAAACGAATGTTTATAAATGTGTAGGGAAAATCCGGGAGGAGCAAAAAAAAACACGCGACCACGGGGAGACACGCAAACTCTAAATGTACAACAGGGTATCAGGGTCGGGATCTAACCCACGACCTCCTGTACACCAGGCGAGGTAGTTAACATCTCCTAGCCACCGTGATGATGATGATGATGAGAGAGACACGCAAACTCTAAATATACAGCAGCAGGCGTCAGGGTCGTGATCTAACCCACGACCTCCTGTACACCCGGCGAGGTAGTTAACATCTCCTAGCCACCGTGGCGCCCTTACCAGGACAGTGCCGCCCGTCTGCAGCAGGAAGGGCCTCAGTACGTTGCGCCGCACCAGCACGTTGGGCAGCGCCGCGACGCAAGGGACCTCCGTTATCCTGGCCACCGTGATGGACCACTGCGAAGCCAGAGAGGGGGGGGCTCAATTATCGGACAGAGCACGGAGGGGGGGGGGGGTCCAAGCACTGCACACACCATGGGGGTGGGCTTTTAAAAGTTAGAATGTATCGTGAGCGTCCTGCGAGCGGACACAGCGGCGGGTGGCTTGCCGACCTTGAGGCTGTTGAGGTAGCGCTGGGTGTGAGCCACGAGTAGATCCTTCTCCTCCGCCTCCCGCGGTTTCACCAGCACATCATCCGTGACCATGTTTGCCTCTGCGCACACCACGGGAACGGACGATTATTGGAGGGTTGTAAAAAAGGTGTCAGTTTTGTTGCCAGATAAAAGGGTAAAAAATCTATTATCATATTTTGCTACTGGTAAAGGAGGTTCCAATGGTGTAAATGCTTACCCCGAGCTCTCGTACTCTGATGGTGCATTGTCTTTGGGTTGTGCGCCTTTTGGCGTCATCTGGTCCAACACCATGTGAGACTAGGCTCTAAGAAAAGCTGTCTCGGGTGTGGACCAATCAATTTCAAGGACAGTGCATACATTATCAGAGTTGTGTTTTTTGTTTGCATTCCAACCGCAGGTATTGTAGTCAATGCAAACATGACTCCTTGTAAAAAAGGTGTCAGTTTTGTTTGCCAGATAAAAGGGTAAAAAATCAATTATCATATTGGAGGGTTATTGAGAGCGGAGAAAGGGAGAAAAAACAACCAAATACAGCTTTAAAAATCAACTAAAAATGCACAGAGAAAAACCGCCCGTGTGGATGAGGGAGACGCAGTCACTTTAATGTACGGCTACATTTATGTATGTTGAACTTTTTTCACACTGTATGTAGCTAACCGTGCTCATCGGAGTTGCACCCAACTGTAAGGAATCTAACTTGTTTGATCAATCTGCTGTTAGACGGCTGCCGCTCACCTTTCAAATACTGCACGACCTTGCCCCACTTTCCTGCATCAAACGGATGCATCTTCTCCAGCCCCATGAAGGTGATGTTGTAGTCGGATGTGTAAACGATCGGCATAAGGCTGTCTGCCACGTCCATGTACAGCCGTGTCTCATGAAGCCTGACCACAAGCATGCACGCAAGAGAGTACACTGAGGCACCTGATACACATGTATGGTATTTGGCATGAGCCTGCTGGTACCGTATGGGTATGTATGGTATAAATCTACTTTCACGAGCAGAGATGACTGCTTCGTGTTACAATTAGGAGATTGTGAGTTCAAATCTGAGTTGTGGGATAAATCTGCCCATCATTCCTCGCACATCTATTGTAAGCAGTGGAGGCTACTGAGTAAATATATCGGTGGTGTATGGAAGCCCTTTGGGGGAGGGAGAGCAAGGAAAGGGGAGAAGTGAAGATGCAGTGGGTAGGAGAGAAGAAGAGGGTGGGAGGTGATGAGGGAAGGAGAGCCTTCTTGCACACAGTAATTTTTCCCATTTACATTTTTCACTAGAAGGGCCCAGTCCCACTAGCTGCCACCGATTAATGAGCACCACTTTTATAGAAATCTAAAGAAGTTGTCCAATGAAGAGCATGGTTCCGATTATAGGAACAAAATAATTTCCACCAAAGGGCTCAGGACCTCTCAAGGAGATGAGCACCGCCCAACACTTGCCTGAGTATTCAGACACATTTTCACCATTCATTTGACTTCCACGTACAGTACACAATATTCATTTAAAACTTGATGACCCCAATTTTCATTCAATAATCAATTTTTGTCTCAATCTTGTGTCTCATTTGTATTGTTTCTTGTTTTTTTACTATTTCGTTTGTACAGGGTTTGTCCATTCCATTAACTTATATATAAAAATAAATATCATATCAAACCACGTAATTTTCTTAAGCACAAATCTTACATAAACGACAAACAATTAATTCTAAAACACATCACCTCATGCATTGTTTGTTCAAGAACAAAAATAAAATCTAACTTAAAAATGTTTTTTTTTATTTTATCCTGATCGTGCCATCTGCCACATTAAGCGTAGAACCACATTTAATACGATGGCTTATTTTGCCCAGCTATTTGGTCACTGGACTACTACTTCACTTCACGTGAACCCAGCTAAATCTCAGGCAACTGTCTGGCTTCGATCCCATGCTCTTTGCAATGCCAGCTCAGCATTCCAACCCCTGAACCACACAGAAAGCTCATTAAAATCAACGTTCACGGATGAATCGATGCATCGTTACATGCCGAGCACGCAGCCACGTGTGGCAATCAAAATAAGACACCACCATGGGCACGGTGGTGTTACGCTTATGCACGGTTCACCATGCACGCAAGTAGAATTTGATTTTTCTGGTGGCTTCCCATCCCATCACCTTTCATCTGGTTTGCCACCTTGGGCAGTGGCTGTTGCACTCCCCGCAGCAGCAGCTTCTTTCGCTTGCATTGTGTACGATGGACTGGAACGAAAGCAATCACGCGCACTGATTACAATCACCAAAGTGGCTTACGTTGCATACACCGTCAGCGCAGAAGGAATTATGGTACGAGAGGATTATTGGTGAGCATGCATCCAGACAGAGCAGGCAAGTTGCAGACGCCTGCAATCCAGTGCTTTGGAGACAGTGGTTCATGATTCACGCCTATTTTTTTAAACTCTGAACCTTTTGGTGGCTAGGACACGGCAGTACAACAAGTGGGTTTGCGCAAATATCCATGAGGACCGTTCTTTGCGTTATTCACTCTTGTGTATTACAGAATCTACTTGGGGTAGTAGCATGGCTGACGAGTAGAGCGTTTGCCGCTTGTTGCAGAGCCTTGCGGTTGAAGTGGTGGGGCCACCCTGGTTAATACTGGTGGCTGTTTTGCATACGAGCAGTATTTTTCCTGAGGGACATTAAAGATCCTGTGACGTTGCTCGAAATAAGTGATATTTAAAAATACTTTTTAAAAAACACGCTTTCATGAAATGTAAGAACTCCACGACTCCAGGAAGTGGCCCCGAGGCTTGCCATACCGTAAGGCGCCGTGGTCATTTACAGCCAACGTCAGTTGAGCGTGGACAATTAGACCCGAGCCGAAACATAACATGTAAAAAATAATGTTAAAAAATATATTTTACATTTTTAATGATAAAATATAGTATTGCCATCAGTATGACATAAGTATACGAAGTTTGCAGTCGATACCACATTGGGAAGTGGGTTAAAATTGAGTTACAAGATTTGAGGATACGACAACAACAACAGAGTGAGTTAATAGAAAGCGTGTAAAAATATTGTTGAAAAATATATTTTGAATGATAGAATATAGTATTGTCATCAGTAAGACATCAGTATACCAAGTTTGCAGTCGATACCACATTGGGAAGTGGGTTAAAATTAAGTTACAAGATTTGAGGATACGAAAACAACAACAGAGTGAGTTAAATAAAAGCGTGTAATAATAAACAAGAGTGGGTTGCCAAAGCGTCAAAAAGTGAAAATTTTATAAATGTGAGTCCTAGGAGAACGAGTATGGCAACATCGCCCACTACTGGCAGACAGGGCTGTGTTGGACTTGCTGCCACACTAGCACAGCTGGTGCCCAGACACGAATTGGTCACCCTGTGTCCTTATACATCTCAACATTCATCCTACAAAAGTCACATCACATGGGGAGAAACACAGACGAATAGACAAAAAAGCAAATTTTTTGCCTGTATTGAAACGGCTCAATTTCCCTGTACAGGAACACGGATCAAAGCGTACGGGTTGACAACTGTGGGCCCCCACGGCCAACGCGGAGATGGAGCGATGAAATCCGTAGGACGCCCATCAGCGAAGTGGATTTGTGGTGGCATCGCAAACCCAGAGAGGACTTTCATCCAGCAGTGGATAGCACGGCTGAGACCGATCAATTAAACAAAATTGACGGTCGCGTTGCACAAAAAAAGGAAATGGAAACGAAGCGGCCCATCACAGATGTGCATTTAACGCATTAATAACAATATTAGTCGTAGAAGCACCGCTGTGATGATTGTGTAAAGTGACTTAAGTGACCGCAGGTTACACCGGAATCACTAACCTCAGTGGCCCAGGAAGAGGCGCTCGTTCCCGGCAGAGACATCTAGGCAAGGCCGGTGCTTCATTGCCATGCAGGCCGCGAACAAACTACGGTCCTGTAATGTAAAATTAAACAGAACAGCAAACCCTATAAGATATAAAAAATATATATATCCACGAAACGCAAGCTTCACAGCAGTCTATGTAACGTAAACGAAGGAAGCGTGCGTTTAAAGATTAATGTTTAAATATTAATGTAAACACGCTGCACGACGTTAGATTTGGGCGCGCAGAATTCCTCGGCACGCATCTGGTCCAAATCACACGGAGGGTTGGTGAATGTTTAAAATAACTTTTTGTTTTAATTCCTCTTGACCGCAGCAAATGCACGGTCGTGTTACGAAACTGCACAAGTCACGGTACTTACAGGTGCGTTCACACATCAGAGATACATACCCAGCAAGGCCCTCTAGTGATGGACAGGGGGATCTCGTGGGCTAATGACACTGTGCAATATCACTGGTAGGAACCTCCTGGTTACACCAGCCCACAGGGGATTATTGTGTCCGTCGTGCAGGGAGGGTGGGGCTGGGTGAGGGTGGGGCTGGGTGGGGAGGGGCTGGTCACCCCGTGGTGCCCTTAAAACACATTCCTGCAGAGGGAGCTGGTAGGAACGTTGGGTTGCTCGGTCAATGGCCTGCAGGGTCAACGGCGGCGTGGTGTATTACGCAAATATGCCCGACTGTGAGGGCGGGCACAAGCCGGCGTGAGTAGGTTAAACGTTGAGTTTTACAAGGGCACCACGGGGTGACCAGCCCCTCCCCACCCAGCCCCTCCCCACCCAGCCCCTCCCAACCCCCACCCAGCCCCACCCTCCCCACCCAGCCCCTCCCTCCCCACCCAGCCCCTCTCCACCCAGCCCCTCCCTGCACGACGGAAACAATAATCCCCTGTGGGCTGGTGTAACCAGGAGGTTCCTACCAGTAATACCCATCACATATCTTATGTCCTCTCTACAAAGGGGCCGTCCATAAATGACGTCACGCGATTTTGGACGATTTTGGACCCCACCCCCCTTCGTCACACGGCGTCACAAAAAGTCAGACCCCCCCCTCCTCAAATATGACGTCACAAAGCTCTGCCCCCCCCCAAAAAAAAACATGCTTCAAATCGCTTTAAACTATTGTCATTGTAGTGCATATTTAATGTGGCGCTGCACTCTTATGTTGTAGGAGAAAACATTTATTTAAAAGTCTATTTAATTAAGTAGAACGTTTTGTCTATATTTATTTAAAGTTGCGCATTTTGATGTGACGTCACATTTCTCAACCTCCCTCCCCTCGTCACAAATGTCTGACCCCCCCTCCCCCCAGGTGCGTTACGTCATTTATGGACGGCCCAAAAAACCACGTACAAATATATTTTTCTACACATCTCATCAGTCACACGCCCTCCTGCGAGTGCATTATTTCAGCAGCATTGGTTCACCACAAGCAACCGACCGCTTTCGACATTTCGCGTCTCATCAGCAGTCTATTTAACTTACTACTCATTTGTCAATCTTGCTCGAACCATATTCTGAAATGCCACTTGTCCCTGCCTCTTGTTAGATATAATCGTTAAGTGTCGTTGTGGCTACTGTGTACCAATTTATATTTTGTGTGTGTAAACATGTACCTATGTAAGGAAATATTTACATGTATCAATGTTACATGTGCAAAATGCATTCACATTTTCATATTAATCTTTATTTGAATTCCATCACCATCATACACACACCTTTGGCGCAATATCTCATTAAGTCAAGGTGAAACTCAAGTCACACCATTACACATATAAAGAAGCCCAACGGTTACATAAGTGCCACAAAACTCGCTTCTACATTTATACAAATTAACTGTGAAATACAGCTACTTAATAAAGCGATTAAAGACCACTGCAAATGATAACGTCATTATGGCAATACTGCATTTTTCTACTGTGCGGATGGACGTGTGCATTTGTTATGTACATTTTAATTTGCCGCATAAATCAATGGTCTGCAGCAGGTGGCCTTCAGAACAAATGTGGGCCCCCAACAGACCCAGCGATTTGGGGGTCCCGGGGTGAGCCCTGCACCACCATGTCCCTTTGGTCCAGTCAAGTTCACTCTCTTTAGCGATCTATCACCGTTATGGTAGCACCGCATACAATAGCTCGATTGGCTCCTTCATTCCGCGAAGGCTTGGCCACAAAGGCTCTTGGGAGTGGCCCGCAGAGGTATGGCCCACTGAGACATTGATACAACAGATTAGTTAGATGAAAGTAGGCTAAATAAGAGATGACGGTCTTGGAGACAAAAAGTTATGTGGCAGTGGGTACGTGTGTAGTGCCGAAGATGGGCCACACTTACCGGCAGGTACTAACGATGTCATCATGATGCCAAGTGACATCATAACGTTTGTATACGTGACATCTGGTGCAACGTGGCCTGCCAGCACCAGAAAATGCTGTTTGCGTGGCCAGTCATACAATATAGTCGATGAAACCTACCAAAAAATTGAGCTCTATACCGAGACTCCCAACAATCAGCAGTGGCAAATACCTTGTGAGAGTAGTGTGAATAAAAGAGGCATGAAAAAACTGCATTCGCTCATCTGCATAAGCAGTGAATGGAGTTATATAAGCGCATAGCAAAAAACATTCAAAAAGCACTGTAATCTTTTCATATACTATTCATCATATCCTATGGAAAAAGTTGCATATAAACACAGGCTGGACCTAAGCCAACCATAATCTCCAAACTCTCTTAATCCCAAACATCAGCTGACTTACTCTTTATGTTATAGAGTTAAGTTTTGGCTATTAGGGTTTAAACGGCAGTAATATTTGCAAACAATGCCTGGATACTCACTTTAAAGTTGGGTGCTCCCTGCCATTGATGAATATTGTCCAGCATCAAAGCAACTGTAAAATACCTATAACACATTCCTGCGGAGGGGGCTGGTAGGAACGTTGGGTTGCTCGGTCAATGGCCTGCAGGGTCAACGGCGGCGTGGTGTATTCCGCAAATATGGCCGACTGTGAGGGCGGGCACAAGCCGGCGTGAGTAGGTTAAACGTTGAGTTTTATAAGGGTACCACGGGGTGACCAGCCCCTCCCCACCCAGCCCCACCCCTCCCACCCCCCACCCAGCCCCACCCTCCCCACCTGGCCCAATCCCACTCTCCCCACCCAGCCCCTCCCCACTCTCCCCTCCCCACTCGATGGACGGACACAATAATCCCCTGTGGGCTGGTGTAACCAGGAGGTTCCTACCAGTAAATGAGATAATCGGTGGTAACTAACCTCAAAAGGTCCCCAATAGATTAAACATCATTAAAAATATTTAAGTATATTGTGTTCGCACATGGCTATGCAAAGTGGCATGCACAGCTTTGATGGTTCAACAGGAATGTATACTGTTGTTTTCAAATATTTAAAGAGTGATGTAGGCATTCATGCTGAAATTGTCTATGCCATGTTGTAAAGCCTTATGCAAAACACACTTAAGTCCAGTGGTCGTTGAATAAAAACACCTCAGTGAATATTTCCTTTAAACCGTGTGAATTTCAACTGTTAATAAATGGAATATATTCACTCAGGACTGATTTAGGTAACCCAGCCAATTGAACCCAAACAAATCTAGGTGCATTAAATATAAAATAACACTTTGTGCATTTCTATCTTATTAAATACGAATATATGAGATCTCTTCATGATTGTGCACCGGCTCACTCTCCTGAGTTGTGAAGACAAAGATGGGAGCATCCGCCTCTCTCATCAACTGCCTCGGTAAGGGATATAAAAGTGTCCTGGGCGCACCCTGAGAACGATTGTTAAAGGGCGCTTTATACATTTAAATTACTATTGTTTTAACCAGGTTGAGCACCAATCACCAGCATACATGAACGAAGAATAATACTGTAATGCCCTTCATCAAGTAATCCTCACTGAGTTGACTCTTTTTTAGGAGCGCCCTACGTTGGGATATTTTGCCAATTTGCTTGACGAATGGGTGACGTGTGGGTGAAGAGGAGTTACTCGCAGAAAACCCACGTGTGCAGAGTGGGGGGTAAACACTCGAAGCTACGCACAGATAGATTCAATAACCAATAGTCCATTTCCGTACTGATGTCTCTTGGCCACTTTAGAGCCCAGGTCTACAATGCAAAGACTAACAAAATCGACCCAGCTTAGCTTCTGAGATCCAACAGGATCAGGCCTCTCACGCTTGGTGACCTGCTAATAAGCTCACTGGCTGAACCAACTCAGCAATGGTGACACTTTGCTTGCTACGGACTAAGGGAGGGCCAATCCACGCCTGACATTTTCATCTGCAGCCTGGCGGCGTCAACCACGCGCTGCGTCGATGATCGCGATCGCTCCAGTTGGCGGGTGGCGCGTTGCAGCTTGGGGCCGTTGCGCTGCAGGTAATGCTGGGCGTCCGTGCGGAGTAGCTCCAGGCGTTCCGCCCGGCTCTCATCCAGCTGAACGTCCTCTGAGATGAAGGGGTTGAAGCGGAAGTAGGTGCCGGCAGGAAGCAGCCCGTCCAGTATGGTGTGCACCTCTTGAGAGGGCAACAGTAACAACAGGGTCAGTTGCAGTGAGTAACAAAATAAACAAGCCGACTATACCATTGGAACCTCATTTGCGTCATCTGGTCCAACCCATGTGAGACTAGGCTCTAAGGAAAGCTGTCTCGGGTGTGGACCAATCAACTTCAAGGACAGTGTACATTATCAGAGTTATGTTTTTTGTTTGCATTATGACTGCAGGTATTGTGGTCTATGTAAACATGACTCCTTCTAAAAAAAGGTGTCAGTTTTGTTGCCAGATAGAAGGGTAAAAAAACCAATTATCAAGTAGACTATACACCTGCTTCCCATGTATGTGTGTACTGTAAAACCTCGTTATTTCGGTATTTGATCATTCGTAATTTGGGATAATTCGGTACGGCTGTGCTTTTGGAATACATACAGTATATTAGTAATTTGCCACGAGCCGGATTGCCGTACCGAATGGTCCAATTTCGGCATGCGCGTGGAGCGACGCCGTGCACCACGGCCAAAACAACGACTCGGTCTAGTGGCGGTGCACGTGGTGAGCGCGAGTGCAGACCTGTTGCTTTGGACTTTACCTTGTTAATGCACTCTGTGCAAGCCAACCCTTTCAGAAATGCCGTCTACACCTACATGAAGAAGTAATACAAAGGGACTGAAGCATAAATCCCTTGGTCTGCGAGACAAATCCAATTTTTTTTTATATAATTCATGCAGGTGTGTCAATGCCTATGGTGTGTGAAGAGTTTGGAAAACTAATTTGTAACAAAAACATTTTTTGGGGGGCAGGAGGCACTGGGGGATACATAATTGGGAGTATTGGACAATTCGGCAAGGCCAGAACATTATATGTATTAAATTAACAAGGGTTTACTGTATGTTGAATTTCTTTTGCACCATATGTATCAGAATCAGAAACGGTTTTAATCGCCATGTAAGTTTGCACAGACAAGGAATTCACTATGGCGGGACGGTGCATACATTGAACAAGTAGGAATCTTAACTTATATAAAAGGTATACACTCTAACTATACTAACGTTACAAAGTATAAGTAATACTAAAGGGCTAAAATCTTTAAAATTATGAATAAGTAGACCTTATAAAATGCGAAATGTAAAATGTTAATTAGCCGTATTAAACAATCTTAAAATACAAAAATACAAATGATATTACACGTTGTAAGTATGGAACGGTGTAATTATGTAGATAAAATGTTATAGTAAGTGTAACAGTCATTTTAAGTGTAAAAGTCATTTTAAGCCCTTGGCCTTGTTGAGAAGGCCAACAGCGGATGGGAAAAAACTGTTTTTATGACGTGAGGTTTTGGTCTTGATGGACCGCAGCCTTCTGCCGGAGGGGAGTAGCTGGAACAGAGAGTGTCCAGGGTGCGAGGAATCGTCCGCAATCTTCCTCGCTCGCCTCAGGGTCCTCAAAGTGTGCAGGTCCTCAAGGGTTGGTAGATTACAGCCAATCACCTTCTCAGCAGTGCGGATGATACGCTGCAGTCTGCTCTTGTCCTTGGCAGTGGCAGCAGCGTACCAGACGGTGATGGAGGAGGTGAGGATGGACTCAATGATGGCTGTATAGAGTCCATGTAGCCAACCACGGTAATCGGAGGTGTGAGAGGACATCAAACTAAACGCAATAAGCAGTTCTAAATAAATTACTTTTCAATTTAGATTTAAAAGTGCATAGCTCCATTGGTTTCCTAACATTGGAAGGAAGAGCATTCCAGATGGTGCTGCTGATAATAGCATGCACAAATAATGCTCTAAACTCTGCATAGGTGGATTAAGGAATCCCCCGTTGAAACGGCATATATACCAAGCAGGAACATCAAAAAACCGCACGGGCCCACCTTCCGTGTCGGTGGCGCTGCTGATGATGTGCATGAGCTTAGTGCGCAGGCTGGTCTGCGTGAGCGTGAGCGGAGGCACGCGGCCCGCCAGCTCGTGGCGTCCCGTGCCCAGCGACACGAGGCACTGCAGGTGGGAGCCGGGCCACAGCAGCTGAGCCTCGTGCATTGCCAGCGCCGACGGGTTGTTAAGTAGGATCCCCCCGTCCTAAGCAAGCAGCGAGGACAGACAAAATAACTAATACAGTTTAACAAAGAGGAAGGATTACTCTTCTTGGTTCTTTCGGTAAAGTCACGTAGAATGGAAATAATAAAATAATAAAAATAAAACATAATAAAATAATTCTCATGACGTTTCGGCCACAACGTTCAGACGCTGTCTTCCTGACAGACCTGTTCTTCACCTGAGGACGGCTGCTTGCGTTGTGGCCGAAACGTCGTGAGAATTATTTTATTAAGTTTAATTTGTATTTTTATTATTTTAGTATTTCCATTCTACGTGACTTTACCGAAAGAACCAAGAAGATGAATCCCTGCAGTCACGAAAGCTTTAAATAGGAAGGATTAAGCTTTTAAGACCAATATTATCCGTAAAATATTTTTTTTAGGTTAGATTGTGTAAACATAACCATAAGAAGACTAATTGGCGTCTCCTGTTTGTCGCGTCTTTCATTAAACGTCGGCTACCTGGTGCAGGTCCTCCCCGAGCTGAAACTCCTGGAAGTATCCCGGTGCCGCGGACGACGCCCTCAGCGCCTCCCACAGGCGGTGGCGGCAGCTGCCCATGTAGTGCGAGCGGGAGCCCGGGGCCAGGTTGTAGCTCCGGAAAACGAACGCCTTTAGCGGTGTGCCGCGGTTCACCAGCGTGCTCACCACCGACACCTGGCCGCATGCGTGTGCACACGTGCGCGCAAGAATGATAGCGGTGCAAAGATGCATCGACGACTCATCCCGGTACATCTCATCGAATCGCACGTGCCATGGGTGTTGTCTTACACTTTTAGTTTATTTCGTTTGTACACTGTGTGTAGTGGTTTCACCAACCCCGCACCGACCAGTATGGTCAAATCTTGACTTAAAGCTTTCGTGACTGCAGTAATTAATATTCTTTGGGTCTTTCGGTAAAGCCACGTAGATAGAACAAATAATAATACTAATTATTTTTAATAATCTTGATTTGAAGCTTTCGTGACTGCAGTATTTTTAATAATGTTATTATTTGTATGATTTGTTCTATCTACGTGGCTTTACCGAAAGACCCAAAGAATACAGTATGGTCACGTATGGCAAAATAATCCCCACGAGGCCATCATCCAGCTGTTGATTGCCAAACGGGTTGTACATGCATAAGTAACGTGATTGGAAAGTGCATGGTGGGTGACGTCAACTCAATCCCACCTCCTCCCCACCGCATCCCTTATACCACCAACCCCTCCCCTTCGCCCCCCACCGCCCGTGCTGACCCACAGACCCACAGACCCACAGACCCACAGTCAGCACGCCCAGTTGTACAACGGTCGCAGCGTCCATGCTCGACACAAGTGGCTTATTAGTCCGTGCGGCGGGCAGGCGGACACGTGGGTTGTAAAGCCTGGCGTGGGTACAACTCACGGGCGGAACGGATGTGCACACACCTTGGGGCACATGGGATCCCGGGCCACCTCGATCATCAGGCTGTCACCCATCTTCTCCCTGCAGGATCGTTCAGTGGGATTAATGTCTCGGCTTATGACCCAGCGATTGCGCACCGCCATGGGGGGATGCAACCCAACAAAGCGAACAGTTGTGGACCCAGGCTGTGTGTAAGGAGTTTAAACCTTGATTATTCAAACAATAACAACATAAGTAAGGATAAAAGGCAGTGTTACGGTACCCTAGTGATACGGCTTATATATTTTTTCTGTGTTGTCCCGGTTAATGACATCTGTTACGTCATAAGATGAAGAATCCATGCGGATTTCTCCCAGGGCAGTGTGCAACCCTGCATATTAGAGAACGGCCCATTGAAGCGGATATTACAGAGCCACCTCTGAGATCCCTTTCAGTGACCTCAGCTCCATACTGTTCTCACTCAGGATGCCACCAATAGTAACATCTGCCATGGTCGGACAGCCAAATTGCTCTTCTTGGTTCTTTCGGTAAAGTCACGTAGAAGGGAAGTAATAAAATAATAAAAATAAAACATAATAAAATAATTCTCACGACGTTTCGGCCACAACGCAAGCAGCCGTCCTCAGGTGAAACCAGGTCTGTTGAGGCGACAAACCTGGTTTCACCTGTCGCCTCGACAGACCTGGTTTCACCTGAGGACGGCTGCTTGCGTTGTGGCCGAAACGTCGTGAGAATTATTTTATTATGTTTTATTTTTATTATTTTATTACTTCCCTTCTACGTGACTTTACCGAAAGAACCAAGAGGATGAATCCCTGCAGTCACGAAAGCTTTAAATCGAAAAGCCAAATTGCTATTTTAAATTTCCTCCGAGCTGGAATAACAACAAAAGTAAGTGCTATGACAATAACGGCGTCAGACTTGTGCGACAAGTGTCGCCCCCCCGCGCAGCTCCACCTCAATATCTTCTCCCAGTCGTGGCTGTCGTAAAAGGCGTGGCTCCAGCCCATCTTGACGGTGCCGAGCAGCACGTTCCGCGTGAAGATGTCCGTGCCGAGACGGCGGTACAGCTCGTAGCACTCGGGCAGAGGGATCCGGAACACACCCAGCATCACCGCCAGCACGCCGCCTGCCGGGACACACGGTGTTGGTGGGACTCCACGGACAGACATAAGTCGTTTCCACTGACAACGTAGTCTTTGCAACAAAGTGATATAATATATATTTTTTAAAGAGATATATAAAGCACCTTTCATATTTGTAATCTCAATGTAGATGATGAAAATGCATTGTAGCACCTATTTGCACCACTACTGCGCCCAAAACTGGACAAGAGCAGGCGGTACAGTGAGCACCATGTCCAGGGGCCTCTGTGTACCCAGTGCTGATGTTGACACACCACGTTAGGTACTGGCATAATATAAAGTTGACCTGGAATTGAACCCACGAATCTAGGAATTTAGCACAGCACACAAACCACTGAACTACTATTCTCCGTATTTTGAACCCGGTGACAAGAGCTCAATTCCCGCTCACTGCCAATACCAGTGACGATTATCTGAACCGGTCCTGGGCCTCCGCTAGGTCGACTCAGCCTCAAACGAGAACCAAGATGTGTTAATATCGCCACTGGGGAGACAAATGCGGCCGGGCATGGTGTTGACCACCCACCCCTGCATGTGCCGTGTCAGCACTTACCCCAACAGCCTGTTAAAGGCTATACGGGGGATTTTGTCTTGATTGACACACACATACACACACACATTCACGTATTGTTATACTTTAGTAAAAATATACATGACATTCATCAGTACGTAATACATTTATAGAGCATATGTCTTGTCTTGGTCACTATTGAACAACACTGAACTATAGCACACAGCTCAAGGTGTTATGTAACTCTCTGGTCAGGTTATATCATGTTTATTTGTTACATAGCCACTTTTTATATACCACTTTGTTTTGCCTGCTTTGTTGATCCTCTGGCAGGTCACCTTTAGTGAGTATCACGCATGTCACAACACCCCTGCACCGCCGCGTGTGAACGCTGCCACTGATATAACCGGTGGTCATGATGAACGAGCTATTTTCAACAGCAGCGGCAGCAGCACTGCATTCTAGGAAAACAAAGTATTTATGGCACATGCAGCCTGCACACAGCGTGCCACCTACGGCCGGGTCGACTTGAAAACAAAGCCAGGGCAGGGTATGGGCGGTGGCATGGTCTAGCAGTAGCACGTTGGCCGCTTGTTAACAGAGGTAATACTGCGCGGTCTAATAACCATGATAATACTATGTGCTTCACACTGGACGAAAACATATTCATATTTACGCAGGCACGGTAAATCCGCAACCCACGTTAATAATCCACCCGTGGATAATAATCATTGAGACTTAACTGTATGCACGAATGTACACCCGCTTGCGAGGGGGGCGTCTACCGACCTGTGCTGACCCCGCAGACGTAGTCAAACATTTCGTGGACTCGTTTCCCAGTCAACCTGGTGAGTGCCTGCAGGGTTTCCAAGGCGACCAGGCCCCTGCGCGGGCAACGTCAACACACAACAGCGAGGTCGGGTCAAAGTTGTTCCGAGCGCAAAGGTTTTATCGTGGCAAAACAGGTCGTTTACAGTTCTGCGCACACGCCGTTTCTGGAAAGCCCCATTCGCATGGTAGGAAGAAGATTTAAAACATGTCCCTGTCCAGACCGGGTAAGTTATAATGACGTGAAACCATCTTTGTCGAAAATACCCGTGAGCATAATTAGATGGGGAACGTGCACGAACGAGTATCACCGACAGGTCGATTCACGTCACCACTCACGGAAAGCATGTTTTACATTACAAGGGCACCCGAACAATCAGGTTGCAACTGCACACTTTCAGATTTAGACGCTCGTGTGTGTCGCCTTTGTTTAGATTCGATCACTGCTTCTTTACCTTACGAACACGCTCGTTTCACTAAGCCTTTATCACATCATGCAAAACGAAATCAGCAGTCACTGAAGAAGTGCATTGTGGTCCTTTAGTCTTAGGTCACCATCAAAATACATTTCAATAGGACCGACTGACAGGCAGATGGAGACCCAAAATGCACTCAAAATAACTGCTGCTGGTTTCTGCATAATGCATAAAAGCTGAGAGTTTTCACACATTTCTGTGCATTTTTTGGAATGCACGGTTCTCCGGGCTGCACTATTTGCTCTGTTATTGTGGGCTCTTCTCATTATGCACAGATTTAATTGAACACGTCAGTCCAGATTTTGTCAAACTCCGGTGTTCACGCTCCTTTACAGAGTGCCGAATGAAGTAAAGAAAAAGTGATATCGCGATAAATGTCAAATAGAAAAGTTTTACTTTGTACCGTATTGTTAGTTAAGTGGCAGCCAAGGAATAAAGCGCGTACATAGTACATCCACCGAGGAGATGGAACAATAAAATCAGCTCGTACGCAGATGCTCAGTGGATTATTACACGACAGTGTGCATGTATGTTGAACTTCTTTCTCACCGTACATAGCTAACCGTGCTATTTGGAGGTGCGGGGGAAGAACACACTAAACACAAAAATTTGTTCTAAAGAAATTAGTTTTCAATCCAGATGTAAAAGTGCATCGCTCCAGTGGCTATAGACTTTTATGAAAGGTGGCTATGGCTTAGGGGAGCTTCATCCAGCAGGGAATTGACCGTGGTTGATGATGAATCTGAAGAATCATTGCATGAGAAGTTCCCCTAAAAAAAATTCTAACGATGAAAATGTTATCACAACCTTAGAATGTCTAACTCCACCTCCACTTTACATACAGGAGCTAATGCAATGCCCCTTAAAGGTCTTTAAGATGTGCCAATTGTGCACTTTCATGCACTCCTCAATCCCGGTTGCGTTCTTGGGGTGATCGGGCATTGACTGTGGTGGCCCGCTATATGTGGAACGCCCTACTAGCACCCCCACCCCCTACGGTTTTGGAACTCCCTGTTAGAAATCAGGCTCTTGGACAGTGTTGATAGAAACCTATCTCTTAAAAAAAGCTTTCTTCTAATCGGATTTGATCCTCTCTGGCTCTTAATCTGCGAATCGCCTTGATTACCTTCATCCCTTTCACGCAGGGTGCCTTCAGACATTGTGAAAGGCGCCTAATGTGAGCAAAATTAATTTTGTAACGGTAACCCTCGGGGAGCGTTCCGTTACCTGGTGCCGAGCGTTAACCTGGTTCCGAGCGTTACCTGGTGCCGCCGCCGTCGATGGAGAGGATGCGGATGCCTTGACCGCGCACGGGCTCCGTGTAGCCTAGCAGCGCCAGCGCCTCGCGCACACATGCCTGCAGCGGGGGCTCCGCAGGCTGCAGCAGGCGCAGCAGGGACTGCACGGCTCCCTCCTGCCACGCAGCAGCACGTGCACCGTGAACGACACGCTTTCATTTTCGGGAGTAGTATTCCACCAATTGTATCACAAATTGTGGGGAATCCCACCTCTCCCAGCCAGCGTGGAAGAGTCGACAAAATACCCTCCATGAAGGGCTCGCCAGAGCTCTCTCCATGAGAGGCATTTCCGACAGCAGTGGCGTTGACAAGCAATTGCAGGGCTGCACCTTTACCTTAGCTGTTGAATTTTACGATGCGATTTTAATTTGAGTCTAAATGCGACTCTTTACAGTAGAGTGAGATGATGAAAATGAGATGACAAGGGAGAGGTAGGAGATTGCACGGAGGGGAGAATAATGAGATGAGTGGCATCTTCAAATAGATCTGTGATTGGATTAGGAGAGAATGAAGGGATTATAGTACTGGGGGTTGGAGATGTAGTCTTTTTTGCCGCTTGCTGCAGAGGATCGCAATACTGGAGGCAAATTAACCAATTTACACGAGCCGTTCGCTTTTAAGTGAACTTTGTAGAACCCGTGACATCTTTCAAAAGAGTGGCCCATTGTGTGCCAGTGTCACGGTTCAAATTTTCCAAATGAGAAAAATGTATACGAATTGGTTACAACAACACAGAAACTTTGTCCTCTACTGGCAGTCTATATGCATTTGCGTATATCTTTGCACCATTAGAATGGCGCAGATACCAAATGAACCTGATATATATATAAAAGGGAATTTTGTGAATATGTGTGTCTGTTCGAAATGTTTAACATACTTCCCAACATGCAACAAACTTGAAATTTGGCATGTGGGTAGCTTCCAGACTGTACACAATGCAAAAAGTATAAAAATAGATTTTTGTATTTTGGGGGGGGGGGGGGGGGGAAATAATGGATATAATATATTGCACAAGTGAGCGGCAGCGTGACGCAGTGTGCCTGCTGACGTCACGCATCCCCACCCTCCGCGTAGGCCGTGTACTAATCAAGACAAGAATCCAAGTCTCGGGCGAAGCCGGGTAGTAAAGCTAATTTTTTTTATAACATTTACTCGCACGAGGATTCTGAAGTTCCATGCGAAATTTGGTGACGAGGATGATTTTTTTCTAGTTCATTTTAGGAGCCCAACGAAGCCACCCAAGCCACCACAACCACCACAACCACCACCGCCCTCACCTTGACGGCGACACTAGCCGTGTCTCCAAACTGCAGCAAGTGATCACACAGGTCCCCCACGGCGGAGAGGTGCGTGCCGCAGGAGAGAGGCCGTCGCAAGGCGCGCACCAGGGTGCGCGTCCTGTTGTCCACGCTCACCCGCGCCACAATCTGCCGTGGAAGACAACGCCGCCGATACAACGATTCGCGTGCGTGCATGGAGGCTTTCAATGCCCGGGATTGTGCGCAAGGTCGGACGTGACTGGCAACCCAGCTTAAATAGACGCTCCAAGCCTGGTGGTGTTTCATTCAGACGCTGTCTTCGCGACAGACCTGTTCTTCACCTGAGGACGGCTGCTTGCATTGTGGCTGAAACGTCGTGAGAATTATTTTATTATGTTTAATATTTATTATTTTATTATTTCCCTTCTACGTGACCTTACCGAAAGAACCAAGAAGATGAATCCCTTCTACGTGACTTTACCGAAAGAACCAAGAAGAACCAAGAAGATGAATCCGTGCAGTCACGAAAACTTTAAATCGAAACGTGACGGCAAAGTTTCACGGCACCAAGTGTCGTGATTATTAACACTCTCCTCCTGTTGTTGTTTGTTTGGCTTTCAGCAATCAATGTGCACTGATTGAAAACTCTCCTCTTCATGCACAGAGGCCAGCTGCTTTCCCATGATCTCACTTTGATTGTATTATCAGCCAGAATATGCTGTTTATATCGTTAACAAAAAACACAATAAACAGATGACACACACTTCAACATTAATAGTTTACATTCGGGGAATGCGGCAATATCGTATTTCATGATACATTACGATTTAAAATGTCACAATATGAGAATTATCGCATTAGCTTTGCATTGCTTTGTAATCGTTTCACAATTTTAGCGCATTGTTTGTGTGCTTGTCTGTACTTCCGGGACGAAGGAAGATAACTTAAAAGTTTAACTTCAGTTCACTCTAACAACTGCAACTTTACATTCTGTAACGATAATGCACATGCCGTCACTTAAACTACCTTAAACTCAGTAATTGTGAGAGCTATGGAAATGGCAGATGTGTGAAGAAAAAATCTTTCCCGTGCCCACCTTCTCACGCTGGAGGCTGATTCTACGGCCCTTCTCCTCCGTGACCCGCGGGGCGATCGTCCCAGGAGCCGGCTTGGCAGACTCCAGTGCAGAAGGGGCAGCCGAGACAGCTGTGAGCGACGCGCCGGCCGGGAGCTGCAATCCTCTCCCCGCCACCTCTGAGCGAACATCCGCACTCCCCTCTGCTCTCTGTGACATCATCCGACAAAAGAGTTCCGAATTCTTAAAAGTGCTACGAAATTGCTTTTTAAATGCAGGTTATCCTGCATTTAAAATGGACTCCACCTTTTCCATCTTTATGAGATAGAGTGTGTTGCCCTCACATGTGTGGGGTTTCTGTTAGTGCTCCAGTTTCCTCCTATTTGTTAACATTCATTTATTGGCCGATAACACCTTTAATATATAGAGGACCGCAGAGCTTGAGCAATTGTTGGTGCGGCCTTCCCGCTTGTCTGTGGTTCCTCGAGCCTCCGAGTTGTTCTCTCTCTTTGAGGACGAATACTGTGCGGTGTATTATACACTGACATTATTATTTATGGGCCATCGTTGTACACATTATTCTATGTTACAGTCACATGCCCAATGCATAATCACCACATGTGGAGCCACCTTTCTCAATTCACAAATGGACGAGGGGTTCCCCATTCCGGGTGGGTCGTTTCACCACATTTCAACATGCCCATTCAAGCAATCTTGCAGGTTTCTCACTTGCTTAGCTTCTGAGATCTGATGAGATCGGTTATATGCAGGATGAATTGATTGGAAATGAACATTTTCCTCAATAGTAGAGAAACGAAGGGATCAGTCAACTCTTGACAGACCAGATATGGATCCCAAAACTGACACTCAGCCACAAAAAGAACATGAGATGAACCAGTGCCCTATGCAAGCTTCACCTTGCGAGCAAGGTCACTGGCTGAGGTGACCACAGACTGTAAGGGGTAGGTGAGGAGGTTTGTGAGGCCTTTCCTGGCCCCCTCGGGTGCTCTGGATGCTGATGAAGGTGGCAGGACGACCTGCTCTGGATTTTAACTCACGCTGGGGTCAGAGGTTGGTGTTGCTGCGGCGACCGGTGCCGTTGCGGTGCCGGAACCCTTTTCTGAGCTCAGGTTTCTGTAAAATGTTAACGAAATTAAATTTCTAAAAAAAATAAAAAGAAAACAATAACATATTCTTTAGTAACATGCAATAACCATATCATTGTAATGCGGTATGTAATTATGAAAAGTAATATTTAAAACAACTTTTTTTTAAACACGCTTTTGTGAAATGTACTAGTAATGGAAGAACTCTACGACTCCAAAAAGTGGCCCCGAAGCTTGCCAAAATGTAAGGGACCGTGGCCAATTACAGCCAACGTCAGTTGACCGTGGACAATTAGACCCAAGCCGAAACATAACATACAAAAAAGAATGTTTAAAAATGTTTTTTTCTTTTTTATGATCGTATTGTCATCAGTATGACATAAGTATATCAAGTTTGCAGTCGCTACCACATTGGGAAGTGGGTTAAAATTGAGTTACAAGATTTGAGGATACAACAACGACAACAACAACAACAGACAGAGTGAGTTAAATGAAAGCGTGTAAAAACAAACATTTTGATAGTCAACCACTTCATAATAACTGCAGGATGAAGGCCTCCCCACACTCGCCATCCATCATGGTCCTGCAATACAACAATCCATCTCCCTGCTGCACTTATGTCATCGCTCCATCTCCATGATGGCCATCCTCTTGGGCGCAGTCTCTTTTAGGTTCCCCAGAATCCATTCCGTAATTTCACAGCAGCATGACCCCATGTTGTCCAATAACAGCTGCACAAGACATTTTACGGAACTTCTCATAAATCCAAATAAGTTGCCTTTTTATCTCTCAAAAAATGCGTTTGTGAGTGTTGTTTGCGAGGACCAATCTCAACTCCCCCATAGCTTATCCGATATGACACTGGCCGCATTCGTAGTGATTTGGTCATAGACGTTAATTCACAAAGATCCATCGATAGTCAAGCAGCAGATTGTTGAAGTGCTGGTCAGCGAGCACATATTCAGGCCGGAACGGCACAAGCGCTAATGGTTACACATCACACCAGGTAATCATTTGAGGCTGCATCACCCTAGAGGAGGCCCAGAATCGCAGAGTTCGTAGTGCAGTGTGCTGACCTCTAGACTACTGCTCCACCCAATGAAATCACACACACACAAAAAAAGACAAATATGCCCCGTATAGCCTTATAGGGCAAGCACTGCATTACACTCGCACACACACAAACCTGTATCGGCTGAACTCCCCGGTTCTGAAGTGGGACCTCACCACCTGCTGGGACACCGAGCCCCCTGTCGCTGGCACCGGCACTGCCGGTGGGGACGCCGCTGGCACCCGCCCATCTCCCCAGAAGTAATCGTTGACGTGCCTCGCCAGGTACTGGTAAGTCTCGCCAAAATTTGTGGTGAAATAGCTAATGTGGAAGAGACCGGATCCCGTGCTCACAGATACATCATCCGCCGCAACTCGGCGGCCCTCAGGCCCACTGGTTGGGGCTGCAGGCTCAACCGGGTCCAGTTTCCCGCTGGGCATCTCGCTCGTTTGGAGAAGATTCGTCGGTGTCGCGTCGGGGCTGGCCTGGCCCACGTCTCCGCCAGACGAAGCGACGCTCGCATGGTAGACACGGCCAACCTCCACCACCGCGGTCGCATTCTCGCGGGAGGTTGGCGATCGGCCCGCCATTGTCAATGCCGTCCTCACCGCCTCCTCCTCCTCCTCTTCTTCCTCCGTTTCCGCAGCGCGCCGCGATTCCCGGCGCGAGCTGAGAATCTGCCGCTGGAGCCCCGAGCCGACGCTGTGCACCATGGCGGACACGGAGGCGACGGTGTCCTTGAGGTAGGAGGACCTCCCTCCGGCATGCACGTGGATGAGCCGGAAGCACTGGCACGCCTCGGCGCGCCTCAACGTCACGCTGCCCGGCCGCATGGCGACCCGGGCGATGGGGCCGCCGGGGGTAGTCGCGGGCGACGGTTCGCCCAGCAGGCGTGGCCAAGCGCCGCCACCACCGCGCCAATTCTTTCGTGGGATGGACGTCCAATCTCGCATGGTGGCGGCGCCGCAGCAGTGAAAGCAACTCCCTGCGAGAGACGGCAGACGGGTCATTGGGTTCCCAGGTCACTCGTTTTTTTTCAAATAATTGCTGAAGCCCGGCAATTAAGAAGAAAGCCCAAGATTGAGCTAGAAGGGAGCCTCCTCGTAACCGTGCAACATTGGATCAACGTTTCATCTTCGCTGGGTTGAGCCAAAAACATTGCATTAAGAGAAACACAGTTTAAAATTGTTCGGAAAATTATCACATTTCTCAAAGTAAATTACTGTACTTCCCCCACATTAAAAGAACACAATGTTTCTCTCCCCCTCATCGCGGTGTTCAAGACAGCTCCTTTGGCAGGCGTATAGGGTGTGTCCCTGCTCGAGCACGTCATTTATATGGCACATGTTATGTATATGGAGGAGGAAATTGTTCATTCCAGTGTTCATTCTTTTCCTCTCATTTTATGTGTTTACATACAGTATGTGTCTGTGCTTTTTGAGGTTCGGGGATTCGATTGGGACAGTTATTTTGACTCGGGTCAAAAAACAATCCGGTAATCTTCCCCAAGAGAAGCAATATCACGCAGTAGTTAGATTGTGATTGATATTTTTGATATCGTGGATAATCCGACGCAAGCATGCGACACTTTTGTGGGAAATGTGTTTTTGGAAATCTTAGGTGTAATGACCAGTTTATTACTGCCGATGACAGAAGATCCAAACATCAAATTTGGAAAATACAATGAAAAAAACACCGATGTAATTCAAAAATATATATATCCGCTTCTTGTACCCAGGACACGATTGACTAAAGAAGCAATGAAAGCCACCCGACAAATGAGCCACCTGCAAAATCTGGAAGATCTCGTCAGATCTCGGAATCTCGGCAAGTTTGAGCCTGGATAATACTTGCGGATGGGCAGAACACCGAACATGAAACCGGTGCTGTAGTCTACTGTGGGACCACGTTGCCAGCAGAGGGCAGGGCAGTAAAATACATTGTTGTACTGGCCTTCGATGGCTCCACGTATAAGCTCCATACCTTTACCAACTCGCACTGACCAGCAAGTTGAAGTATGGTCAAACAAACGGAGTTGTGCACACACAACATTCAAATGGCCTGTAGTGCCACTAACAGTCATCATCGGCCCTGACCTCTCTCCACTGCTAGATGAAGGCCTCCCCCAAAGCAGTCGCCCTCATCTCACGATCCTACGATCTGACAATCCACCTGAGCGCCTGCACTCGAGATGATTTGGTCGCTCCGTCTCTGCGGTGGAAGTGCTTTCTGGAACATTCCCTCCTCTGGCCGTACAGTAATGATAAAGTGATAACGAACTAAAAACTGAAACTAGTGCTGTGATATTCAGTGCTGTGATCACATGCTGTACCGACAGCCTTCGAATAATAAACTATGGCAACTCTCAACACACTTGTACTACTAACACACATCAAGTTCAAGTTCATTCATTATGTATAGCCCTGAGCCATTCGGCTCTTGAATCGGGTACAACCGCAACAAACAAAAAACATGAACAAGAAAACATCTTAAAGTGACTATGTGACTGTGTAAACAGAAAATCCAGGAAAAGACAGCAAAATATTGCAGAAAAAGCACTGTACACCAACGCTGTGTGCACAAATCCCAGTGGGATGCAAGTCAAACAACAACAACAACCACAAGACAACTTAGATTAAGGCCATCAGTCTTACTCCGTACTACAACAAACAAACATGGCCAAACCAAAACACTTTTCGAAATCACCAAATTAAAGCCATGAAAGCAATGACACAGTGATATACAATCATTACCGTATCGTTTGAAGGCCCCAGGACCTTGTTCAAGATAATGAATCGTCACCGGTGTTGACCGATCGAACTCGGGTCGCGAAGTTTATAGCGCGGCGCACTTACCGCTACATTACCGCTCCTCTTATAGAATAACAAACATGGTAACACAGCCAAAGATCCCCCAAGCATAGCCTCGACAGAGTGTCGGGGCAAGCTCTGTTAGCGAGTAACATGGTAACACACACACACGGACAAACCACCGTTACCATACCCAGGAAAGAGGCCTTCCTTCGTATGGCAGAGATGAAGACTGGGGGGGGAGGGTCTTCAAAACTGACAAACGTGAGGTCACTTCACCCAAACGTCAGCATCGGACGTTGATGACAAAACACCGTCCGTGTGGGTGGGTGGTGTGTGTGGTGGGTGTGTGTGGGTGGGTGGGAGGTGGCCACGAATTCGTGGCCCACCCATTGGCCAGTGCCCCCCTTGCTCTTGATGACAAAGGCACCGCCCATGTGGGTGGATGGATGGGAGTTAGCCACGAATTCGTGGCCCACCCATTGGCCAGTGCCGCCTGTTGCCCTTGATGACAAAGGCACCGTCCATGTGGGTGGATGGGTGGGAGGTGGCCACGAATTCGTGGCCCACCATTGGCCAGTGCCGCTTGTTGCTCTTGATGACAAAGGCACCGCCCATGTGTGTGGGTGTGTGGGTGGGAGGTGGCCACGAATTCGTGGCCCACCCATTGGCCAGTGTCCCCTTTGCTCTTGATGACAAAGGCACCGCCCATGTGGGTGGATGGGTGGGAGGTGGCCACGAATTCGTGGCCCACCATTGGCCAGTGCCGCTTGTTGCTCTTGATGACAAAGGCACCGCCCATGTGTGTGGGTGTGTGGGTGGGAGGTGGTCACGAATTCGTGGCCCACCATTGGCCAGTGCCGCTTGTTGCTCTTGATGACAAAAACACCGGCCATGTGGGTGTGGGTGGGAGGTGGCCACGAATTCGTGGCCCACCCATTGGCCAGTGCCGCGTGTTGCTGTTGATGACAAAGGCACCGTCCGTGTGGGTGGGTGGGTGGGAGGTGGCCACGAATTCGTGGCCCACCATTGGCGAACGCCGCTTGTTGCTCTTGATGACAAAAGCACCGCCCATGTGGGTGGATGGGTGGGAGGTGGCCACGAATTCGTGGCCCACCCATTGACGAACTCCGCTTGCTGTGTTGACAAAGGCACTGCACGTGTGTGTGGGTGGGTGTGTGGGAGGTGGCCACGAATTCGTGGCCCATCATTGGCGAGCGTCGTGCGCTTGACGTACCACCCCACCACGATCAGCAAACATGCCCCGGGCGGTACCCACCACCACCCGGCAATTGCAATTTTAACTACACGGCATTGGCCGAAGTGCCAAGTTACTACCACACAGAGTGCTGGTCAACGTACAAGGGCTCCCCCCATCTTTTTTATTTATTTAAATCCTTTATATTAAGTTCACTTGCTTGCTTACGACCGTGCAAATCTTTCGGTCGTTTTTAACCCACTTCCCGTGATCCAATCGAGCTGACATTTTGCACACAGACTCGTTGTGCGTGACAATTTATTTTCGTGAAATTTTTTTTCCAAAATTTTACACTGTTTAGGGAAATTTTTTAAAATATTTAATTACCAATTGCTTAATGCTGGCAGACAATCATCTGACCCATAGGTGGCAGTCATCTCAAGCCAGAGGACGAGAGGACTCTAGCCGCCACGCATATAAAGGATTTAGAGTTAAAAACTTTGTTTTTACGGGTTATACTTATTGAATGTTAAACTATCGTCGCGTGGTGCGCAGGGAAGTTTCGTGGGTTGGATCCAGATCCCCTGAGTTGGACCTGAAAACTCAATTTCCCTGTACAATAATACGGGGTAAACAACCCGTATGGGTCGACAGCTATGAATAAGGTAGCAACTTCCGTGACAACCCTTACGAATTGACACATTCATATATTTAGGTGATCTAACCCAAAACAAACCTGTATCATGGCTGATATTGGTCGCGAAAGCCCACGTGTTTAACTAACTATTAACGGGGCTTGACAACTGTGAGTTTGGAATTTGTTGTTGCGGCTAACTTTAAATAAATAAACAATATGTTGAATTTTGATTTAAAGCTTTCGTGACTGCAGAGATTCATATTTTTGGTTCTTTCGGTAAAGTCACGTAGAAGGGAAATAATAAAATAATAAAAATATAAAACAATAAAATTGTCACGACGTTTTTTTTATAATTTTTGTTGTTGTGGATTTCACACCTGATGATGATTGCTTGTGTTGCAGTCGAAACGTCATGATAATTTTTATTGTTTTATATTGTTATTATTTTATTATTTCCCTTCTACGTGACTTTACCGAATGAACCAAAAATAATAACAATATACTCTTAGTTTTTTTTCGGTAAAGCCACGTAGGTAAAAATAAATAATAAAATAATAGAAATAATAATTGAACTAAAATAATAAATCACGACGTTTCGGAGGCAACACAAGTCTCCATCATCAGGTGGGACCGTCATTTTTATTATTTATTTATACCTACGTGACTTTACCGAATAAACCTAAGAGTATGAATCCTTGCAGTCACGAAAGCTTCAAATCTAGAATTTAATAACAATATGTTGATATTCTTATTCATGGTTCTTTCGGTAAAGTCACGTAGAAGGGAAATAGTAAAATAATATAAATAAAAAACAATAAAAAAAACTATTTAGAAAAACAATTTAAAAAAAACAATTTAAAAAAACAATATGTTGGCCGCCATCTTGGGTAGGTGCCTCCTACATGCGATGGCCAATGGCCGCCGTTACCTCCCCCTACGCAAGATGGCGTCGTTGGCTTCATTACTCCCCCCCACCGCCGCCACACACGATCGCGATTATAGAAGCCTCTGCTTCTCCCTCGTGAAGACGAGAGAGTGTGTTTGTGTGTGTGTTTACATGTTAATTATTAAACAAGCCTTTTAGAAAACCTGCTCGGCGGTGAGGGTTTTGTTGTTAAACGAAACAAAAATCAGCGTTCGTCGTCAATTCTCGCGTTTTGTGGTGAAAATAAAAATGAAAAATGCGGCACTTTGATGCGTTTCCTACGAAGGGGGGAAGAAGGGAGATGAACGGCGCTAAATGATCGCGTGAGGCGTCTTGGCAAGGAGATAAACATTCACCAAGGTACGTGCCTATCGATTTGACGACGAGTTTCTAATTGAAAGTTGCGTTACGGTTTCGCCAGCTGTGTGGGGGGATTATTTCGTGGCTTAAGGCAGCAAATATCTATATCCGTGTTTACGGTACAGTGTTATAGAATCTAATTAAGACGATATACGGTTTACTACTGTTGACAATGCTCGTAAATTATACGTGCTTATTTCTGTATATCGTTTATATCACCGATGTCGCGAAATATCGGAGTCATTTCGCAGCCCTTGATTGACCCACAATAACCAGCGAGGTGAAGTATGGTCAAAATAACCCCCTTGACAAACTAAATGTTTTTGTATTGGCAGTGCTGCAAAACCACAAATAAATAAAACGTACAATAACTGCCTTCAACTGAATGATAAAGCTTCATTACTGCTGTTACCATCATGCTTTTGAGGTCGATAAAATGAGTATCACTCTGTGAAGTGGGCAGAATTTGTTAGTTTTTAAGTTTAATTCATTACACGCTTTCTATTAACTCACTCTGTTGCTGTCTTGTTACTCAATTTTAACACACTTCCCAATGTGGTATCGACTGCAAACTTGGTATACTTATGACTTACTGATGGCAATACCATATTCTATCATAAAAAATAAAATAAAATATTTTTAAAATTTATTTTATATGTTTATTTTAATTACAGCCAACTCACGTTGGCTGTAATTAGCCATGGGCCCTTACGTTATGGCAAGATTCTGGGCCACTTCCTGGAGTCGTGGAGTTCTTCCATTACTAGTAAGGTACATTTCATAAAAGCGTGTTTAAAAAAAAGTTTTTTAAAATATTACTTTTGATAATTACATACCGCATTACCACGATGTGGTTATGACATGTTAATAAAGAATATTTTCTTTTTATTTATTTTAGAAATTTAATTTCGTTCACATTTTACAGAAACCTGAGCTTTGAAAAAAGTTTTTTTTTAATGTTACTTATTCGGTATAACCCTGTGAGCCATGCGGCTCTTGACTCGGGTACAACCGCATCAAACAAAAACATGAACAAAGAACATCTTAAATTGACTACGCGCAACAGAAAAATCCAGGAAAAAATGGTTTTATCCATCACTGGCTCAGGGCTTCTGTACAGGAAATGATCACATTGAGGAATGGAAAATGTTAACCCCTTTCAATCACAGTACTTGACTTTATCACTCCTAACTCTGACCAAATCAATGCAGAAGGACCCTGCGATTTCGTCAATTACCGGAAGCCAAGCCACATGCAGGACATGCTGATTGAGTAAAAAGGGGAAATGACTTGGTGGTGATGTCACGGTAAACAGCATATCTTGGAGGACGGGTGTTGGCATGACAGCAGCTGTAGGATCAGGTCGAATGAGTTGGCGAAGTGGAAGTGTGTTGGCTGGATGACATCCCTTACTTTGCCACCGAATCAGGTTTTGTGTTCGTGTGTGGCTACAGGGTTTGGTGGTACATGTTGTTTATGTCGTTTATTGTGAAATTTCGGTCACAGTTCCTATGATCACTGTTACATTGCTTATGGCTTTATTTTGGTGATTTCGAAAAGTTTTTTGGTTTGGCCATGTTTTTTTGTTGTAGTACGGAGTTAGAATGATGGCTTTAATCTAAGTTGCCTTGTGGTTGTTGTTGTTTGACTTGCATCCCACTGGGATTTTTGTACACAGCGTTGGTGTACACGGTGCTTTTTCTGGAAGATTTTGCAGCTTTTTCCTGGATTTTTATGTTTGCGCATAGTCACTTTAAGATGTTTTCTTGTTCATGTTTTTGGTTTGTTGTGGTTGCACCCGATTCAAGAGCCGAATGGCTCACAGGGCTATACCAATTAAATGAAACTGAAACACTGAAACAGCACATTGGAGACGAGGGTTGGTGCATCTCGGGTTTGTAAAATGCCAAAACCCACTGGGCTGCAGGGTCCTCTGGAGATGGCAACACAGCAAATTGATTATTTGAATCCTTATTTCTGGATCTCTGGGTGTTAAACCTTCATGTGCTTGGGTTGTCGACCTAAGTTTACGTGCCAAACAATAATGCAATTTGCCTAACATCTCAGTGTAGGATCCTCCTGATAAAAGGCTTGAGACTCGGTGAGGTTTTCTTGGATAACCGACACTATTTAAGACCGAAAAAGGAGGATTTCTCCACAATGCTGGCTGTCGCCTGATGAGGCTAGGTGTAATTTCCGGCAAAACGTACTCGATTTGCAAATAGTGTGGGTTTACTCTACAACACAACGACATGCTGAGCCAGTAACTAATTGATGTGTTTCGTTTACGTGACAAACCTTACTAATTGGCTGTGTCGGGTGGTGGTGGATTTTCGACACATTTATATTTATGCGATCTGACCCAAACAACCTTATGGATAATATTGGTCAGTAAAGCCTATGTGTTAAACGGACACTTACAATTATTATTGGATCCATGTGACCCCACTGGAAATGAAAGCTTTCCCAATGTTTTACTACTGGCTGAACGCTTGGACACTTGGTAGCATAGTAGTGGGCTCCTTGCTCATGCTGATTGATCAGTTTTGTTGTTTGTGTGTGTGCATGCATGATTGATTGTGTTTGTCTGCAGGGAAGCTGACTTCTTGAAGTTCCCTTGACACAAAGAGCAATAATGACACCTGAGGCCCCCAGACGGGGCTGGACCCATCACCACTTTTGTGTCTTCCTACTCACCTTCTTTAGGTATCGCTGTGGTCGATGGTGTATTCAGCCCAGACTGTGCAGTCCGTATTTGTTGCTGTGCAATTACATTCATTGGTTGGTTGAAAGCAGTATTGCGGGCCACCTACGCCCAATATTACGTGATATTTCCCATTGTTAATTGCTCTCTTTTAAATGTTACGTCTCTTGTAACCAGTGGTGATGACATATTTGTTAACAGAATGCAGTTCTGTTGCTCCATCAAACTTATATTCAGCCTTGTACTTCTTCTAGGTCATGTGATCCAACTGTGTTCTTAGAAACGTTCTCCAAATGTTAAGATTCTGTTATTTTATGTGTCCCATGTGTTATTAATGTTGTGGATATTGCCAGCAGTCTTCTTGCAGTGTGCATCATTTGTGTTTCTTATCTTGGTGCTCTTGCGATATAAAATGCACGTCCATATCACGTGTAGTGTACACTTTTGTCAATGTTCACTTTTGCAGCTGAATCAATGTTTACTGGTATGTCGATTGTGTTCCAAAATCTAATTTTATTACTTTTTAACCAAGGTTGAAAGCGTTTATACATTATGCGTGTCTGTGCATCCTTAACAAGGGGGGGGGGGCGATTAAATACGAACTAAACTGTAGTCTAATATCATGTTACCATTCGGGACTTGCCCTATTGGAAAAGGGAAAATTGATCAAAGGGTTGCCCAAAACTTGCACACACATACCAGGTCAAATGAGGACTAGTATTTGTAGATATGCAAGTGCATTGTGGCTTGCCTGACGGCTGCTCGTCAGCTTCCATACTGCAAATAAATTACTTTGGAAGAAATGCCTATATTAAAGTGTTACATAATCCATGCATATGCAATAGATTTCCTAACTTTTGATTGTATCAACCGGGTGGTTTGGTGGCGTTCTCACCCACTCTGGGTCCAGAGTTCATTGGCTTGAATCCAACATCAGCCATCTGATAATAGTAATCTGTGGGGTCATTATACTCAAGAGAGGCTTGATATACCGTATGAATGTAGAAGAGCCCATCTACATAAGTGTCAATGTCTCTTCCACAGTTATGGAATACAGATCGTTATTATACTAACCCCAACTGATTTGAATACAGGATCAAACACTGTTGAAAATTACGTGCTGTATACATTAAAATAACAATTTAATAGAATTTGCATTGATCATGAATCATCAGCTGTTGAGTGCATAATTCAATGCATATATTGTGAACTTAAGAATAGTATGTAATGAAAAGGTCAATCAATCCATGCTTAATGAAAGTGACCTTTAATCAGGAAGTAATAATTCATGTCAAGGTTGTTTTTCAGGACAGGATGTATTGTGATGTTTGGTCAATTTAGTATTTTATGAGTGGGAACACTGGAGTAGCAGGTGAATAACCCATACATAGGAGGGGACACATTCAAACCCATTCAAACTGTACACACTGCCTACCATAATTTCATCATAATCAATGCTAACCTTAGCAGCAATTTAATTATTATTTGCACCAGCATTTAGAGTAGAATCGGCATCATCGTGTTTAGTGTCTTCAGCAACCTTGGCCTCATCACCATTATCGACAACATTTGTCAGCAATAGTAGAAAATTAATTGGCTTGATAAGGACATCTATTTTTGCATGCTTGAAAGAGACACATGTTAAAACATACATGGGTTAAAGGATCATGTCATTTTTAATATAGAAATACTGAATTCATGGAAGTTTACTTTCTGAAATGACACTTATACACAAGTAGTCAGTGGTTTTAATTGTGAAAGTTTTGTGAAATTTTAGTCTTTAAGAATAATCATTTAGTATCATAAGGTGCACTTGAACAACGGGTCTCAGACCACCGTGCATATAAATGAGGAAAATAAGTGATAAGTCACCAGGGAAAGAAATACCATCTTGTGACATGATAGAGAACTGGAGAGAGCACTCCTTTTTAAATTAATGGGTCTTCCTCTGGGACTTCTAAGTCTCTAATGACTGTGAATTCCTAACCCCAAATGGCAGGGAATTATAAAGCTTGGGTGCCATACAAACAGACTCCCCGATCCACTCCAAGCTTGATAGCAGCTTGCCTGAGCTGGGCTATGTAATATCTCCCTTGAAAAGAATACCACTTGGTATGGGGCCAACCAGTGTGTTTAAAAAAAAATTGCTATAATGTCTGCCTGTCTTTGTGCATGTCATATATTGTCTCCCCTTGTCTTTCAGCTATGCATTTTTCCACGTGACGCGAAAAACATTTAGCAATGTTAAAGTCAGCCTGTCGGTCCAGTGGACGGGTACACCCACCAACGAATCAACGGGGACCCTATACCCACCAGAGGTGAGATTACACAGACAGTCTTCACTCAGTGCCACATTATAGCCCTGCACCAGTGGTGGAATTCCACATTCCTATGATCATCATCATCAGCCATGTCTGTCCACTGCTAGATGAAGGCCTCCCCACGCTGGTGTAATCGGTCACGGTCATGAAATGCCACAATCCATCTCACTCCTGCAAGAAACATCTCATTCTGTCACAAAGTCTTGTCCATCGGTTGTCATCCTTACCAGCGGTGTGTCCCTGCCCAGCCTTATCTACTTTCCTGAATAGACAAAGCAATGTCTCTGATTTTCATTTATTGCCTATTCTCTCTCTGCTTCTTTTTGTGTCCTTTTCCATTTTTGTTTAATTTTCTTTGTCAATGTCCACGTTTGTGATCTATGTGGCATAGCAGGTAATATTCACTGATAAAAAAATGCTTACACCGGTAGTATGTTGCTTTATGTTGTCAAGTTGGTTTTCCAAAAGCACTCCAACCTGCTCTCGTCTGCTTATATATTTTTTTTAAATCTCGATCTTCCTTCAATGCTTTAAGTCAATATTTACTAAATATTTACATATGTAGAGGTGATACGCGCTGGGATTAAGGATCGTATGCACAGTGCGTGATGATTGGCTGTGTAGGTGGTGACGCGCGCTGACGGTGGAGGATCAGGGGTCAGCGCGGGGTCGTGGGTTACGGGGTACCGATTGGCTGTGGGCGGTGACGCGCTGAGAGGGAGTGATCAGGTGGCAGCGCAGTGTGATTGGTGGAGTAATGTTAACACGCGCTGGGGAAAGCGGATCGTAGAGAGAGTGCGTCGTGATTGGGTCATTAAGGAACGACGCTCACGTCGAAGCCGCATCAGCTCCGTCCCTCGTGAGCAGGGGCTATAAAAGGGGATGCACACAGGCGTAAGGGGAGGGTGTAACCAGCGAAGAAGGAAGACGGGGATGAAGACCTAGAGCCCTGCGGTACCTAGCCCCGCTGTCCTAAGGGGACCGGGACTCTGTGTAACCCAGAGGCGAGTGTAGTGGGTGTAGCCATAGGTCTACACGAGCCGAATGTACTATGTGTAGCCAGGGCATAGGGCTTACACGAGTCGAGTGTATTGTGTAGCCAGAGGCATAGGGCTTACACGAGTCGAGTGTATTGTGTAGCCAGAGGCATAGGGCTTACACGAGTCGAGTATATTGTGTGTAGCCAGAGGCATAGGGTCTACACGAGTCAAGTGTATCGGGTGTAGCCAGAGGCCTAGAGCTTACACGAGATTAGTGGAGTGTGTCGGAGGAAGAAGAGAGACCGCACGTTGTATTGTGATACCTAAAGGATTTAATAAAAGTGTGTTACCCGTCAAGAAGTTCCTGCCGTCAATTCCCATACTTCAACTGGCGTCAGAAGTGAAACGGTCTTCCAAGCATGGATACAAGGGGGAGCCGTCGGACCCACGGGATTGACCACGGGGACAACCTCGACGACGCGGGCCAGCTGGCATCGGGGGGTGAGGAAGAGGAGTTGCCCACGGGGCAGGATCCGCCGACGGCGCCGGACGAGCGACGGGGGACTGACGCCGTGCTTCGCGAAGCGCTCTCCCGTCTGGCGGAGCTGCTGCTCGCCGCCGCGTCCATCCTGGCGGAGATCAGCTCGTCGGGAGGAGCGGGGACGGCGGCCGACGTTCTACAGGGTCGCCCTGCAGATTCCCGCCAAAACGATTTGGCGATTCCCGCCATTTCATCTGCACCGACTTTTGGCGGGAACGGCCATCACCACGTGGCAGCGGTTCTCCATGCGCGCCCGCTGACGTCACCAACGCGCGCGGCGGACCGCCATCACACACCCGCCGCTGGGGCCGCCATCTTACACGCCGACGGGGCGGCAGAGAGGAAGCACGAGGAGGAGGACGACTTCATCTTTCAGCAGCGCCTTCCCACGTTGTCAGCATTCAAGGCGGAAGGCGGGGATTGGAGCCAATTTCAGCGCAGATTTTTGGCGCATCAAGAGATGTCCGCCTGGTCCGACGCTACGGCACTGCGGGCACTGCCTGCCATGCTGGACGACAACGCGCTCGCGGCCTTCACGTCCGCACGCAGGTCGGACCGCTCCACGCTCAAGGATGCGCTGGCTCTCATGGCAAAAGTCTACGGTCCTCCCTCGGCGTGCCGCCATCATTTCTACGCAAGACGGAAGGCGGACACGGAGACCGTGCTCGCCTACCGCACGGCGTTGCTCGCTCTCGCTGACGCCGCGTTCCCTCGTATGGACGAGGAGGGCCAAGATGCGATGGTTTTGGAGCAGCTGCTCAAGTTGGCGCAGGACCTGGGGGTCCCCATCAACACGGCCGACGAGACCGATATTTCTTCATTACGGGTCGCCACGAGCATGCAAGCGCACGAGGTCCTTCAACGAAAGCAGGGGGTCGTCTGCAACGCTGCCGTGGCCTCAACTCCGGGTCCGGTTGACACCGTGCCCCAAGTCGTCAGCCCACGAGAGGACGCGTTCATCGCGGGACGAGCGGGGGACTGGAGGTCGGGGGGTCGTTCGCCTCTGCGAGCGGCCCGCAAGCTGGAGCAACCGAGATCTCCGACTACTGTCATCACCTGCTATAACTGCGGCCTTCGTGGCCACGTGGCCTCCGGTTGCCGCGCCCCACATCAGCGCGCCATGGGACCTCGGCTGGACGACGACCAAGGCCCCAAGTCGTCCCTGCAAACCCCGGCAAGTCGCGGCACCTCACATGCTTGGCCCGCATACTCGACACATATGGGTCGTCGCGTCGCGGCGGGGGAGAGCCGAGTAGAGTTCGGGGATTCGGTTCGGCGAGGGGGGTTCGGCCGGGTCCGGGGAGACGTTAAATGGTCGGAGTTGGGGCACAGAATAGTGGCTGCCAGAGCGGGTTCATCCGTCGTTACGGGATCTATTGATGGGGTCGAGGTCAGGGTGTTAGTGGACACGGGGGCATCGGCGACTATTATATCGGATCTCATTTACAACATTCTCCCTGTACAATGTCGTCCGCTGCTTCCAGTGGATGTGCCATTTTACGCCGCTAATGGGGGATCGTTGGGCATTATCGGTCAGATTAGGGCGTCTATTTGCATTGGGGATATCAAATTGTCGGGACCCGTTTTCGTTTCGTCCTCCCTGGCGGTTCCTTGTCTATTGGGCACAGATTTTTTGGCAAAAATGCCCATCAAAATTCTCATTGATCAGCGTTGCATTGAACTACCATCGGGTCGCCGTATTTCATTTTTGACGAACCCTACTGAAATTCGGACGGCGTGCGCTACGATACAAGCGTTAGCAACACAGACCGTGCACGTGCCCCCGGGTTCACAAATGTTAATTCCCCTCCGGTTGCGGAAACCAGGGGAGAGGGAGACCTCGGATCAAGGCACGCTTTTGGGTCCTTCTAATAGGGCTGTTGGAGGTCTCGATTTGTCGGTGGCTCACACTTTGGTTGGGGCTGACAGGGATCCGGTTGTCAGGGGTTTAAACGCTGGGTCGCGGCCGGCCGTCATTCAGCAGGGCACCGTGCTAGCTCACGCGGCGCAGGTCCCTGCGGAAGAGCGGCTGGTTGCGCAGGCTGGTCCGAGCCCCACGCAAAACGTTAATCCGAAGGAGGACCTCGAATGGGTCGATTCGCTGTGCGCGCGACACACAAATGCTGATGCTCTGTCGCGATTGTTGCCTTGTCACAAATGTGCGTGCTTATCGGGATCGGCGCGCTGTAGACCGCCAGTTACGGAAGGCGAGGGGGCATTGGTTGCGACCGCGGGCACACCAATTGGGGATGGTCCCGCTACCCCAGGGGGTCACGACTCGCTGCTCTCACTGTCGCTGATTGAGTGGGGCCATCTCCAAATGGCGGACAGCTCTCTGCTAGCATTGCGCCGAAGGACGGGGGGTTCCGAAGGCGACCATGAACGAACTGGCTCCTACGTACTTAAGCAAGGCCTGTTAATGAGATGGGACAGTTTGTCCCGGCGGCACGCGATTGTGGTGCCTTCTGCTGTGAAGGGGAAAATTGTCTTGGCCGCACACGAACGCCTCTTGCATTTGGGAGTTAGCAAAACGCTTGCCCTGCTTCAGCGTGACTATTATTGGCCGGGAATGGGGGGTGACGTGGTGATTATTCTGAAGGGTTGTGTTGAGTGCGCCAGACGGAAACCACCGCCCGTGGCAGCTAATCCACCGCTGCAATCCATCCAGGTCTCGCGCACTAACGAGCTCGTTGCACTCGATATTCTGGGGCCTTTTCCGGTCACGCCTAGGGGTAATAAGTACCTGTTGGTGGGGGTCGAATATTTTACCCGGTGGCCTATGGCGTGGCCACTCGCCAACCAGTCGGCGGCGGCTGTGACGGACGCCTTTGTCCAGGGCTACGTCCTGGACAAGGGGGCTCCCGAACGCTTGCTGACTGACCAAGGGAAAAATTTTTCGAGTAAATTACTGCAAGAGGTGTGCGACCTGTTGGGTACCAAGAAGGTGCGTACCTCCCCGTACCACCCGCAGACGGACGGGATGGTGGAGAGGCTTAACAGGACATTGACTTCTATGTTGTGCCAGCAGGTGTGTGGGGCACATGTTGATTGGGACCTGCAGGTCCCTGGGGTCCTCGCCGCGTATAGAGTGGCCCCCCATGCAGCTACGGGATTTTCCCCGTTTTATCTGATGTACGGTCGGGAAGCCGACCCGCCCATGGAAACGCAGCTGGGTCTGCCCGCACCACGAACTAATTCGAAATTGGCAGAGCATATTAAATTCAATATTCATAAGCTGACAGAGGCAAGGGAGGCCGCACGGCTTAATTCACGGGCTCGCCAAATTGCAAACGAGCGGTTGCGGGCACGGAAGGTGTCCGTGCACAATTGGGAACCAGGTGACAGGGCCTGGCTGCATTGCCCTCAGGCACCTTTGGCTACGTCACCTAAATTGTTGAAGCCGTGGCGGGGACCCGTGGAGGTCGTGCGGGTTGCACGCCCCCAGTGCGTTCAGATAAAATGGGGAAAACGCCGTTGGTACGTCCACCCCTCCCGACTGAAACCGTTCTCGCCTCCATATGGCCTCCCCTTGTGTCGTGAGGGCCGAGCATGTGACGTGACCGACGACCCTAAGGGGGAAAGGTCTTTGCTTGATCCTCACATGTCTCCGCCTGATCCGCTCCCAGGTGTCTCGGAACTGACAGCTGCCGACCACCGGCGGCCGGATCTTCGCGGCGGGGCCGGTCCTTCCAGGCCCGATCCGTGCCGTCTAGAGCTGCCGGAGACACCGGACGGTCGCCAACGTCCCATTCCATACGACGGACCGGCCAGACGGACTCGCGCTAGGTCGCGCTACTTTGTGTAACCTACCACGTGCGGAGTCGAGGCAGCCGGAGCGCCTCGGCACTGCGTGGGTCACAGTGACACTTGGCGCGTTCGTTTTACGGTGTTCGCTTTTATTGTGTTGTTCGTCGGGCTGTATATTGCTTCATATTTAAGGTTGTGTTATGTTGTTGTTGTTGTGTTACGGGGCACACTGGGATGTGGAGTTCTTTATTACTGCGTTGCGTTATGTTGTGTTGTAGGTTAACAGCCGGGCCGGCTGCAAGCTATGTGGGAGGGGGTGATGTAGAGGTGATACGCGCTGGGATTAAGGATCGTATGCACAGTGCGTGATGATTGGCTGTGTAGGTGGTGACGCGCGCTGACGGTGGAGGATCAGGGGTCAGCGCGGGGTCGTGGGTTACGGGGTACCGATTGGCTGTGGGCGGTGACGCGCTGAGAGGGAGTGATCAGGTGGCAGCGCAGTGTGATTGGTGGAGTAATGTTAACACGCGCTGGGGAAAGCGGATCGTAGAGAGAGTGCGTCGTGATTGGGTCATTAAGGAACGACGCTCACGTCGAAGCCGCATCAGCTCCGTCCCTCGTGAGCAGGGGCTATAAAAGGGGATGCACACAGGCGTAAGGGGAGGGTGTAACCAGCGAAGAAGGAAGACGGGGATGAAGACCTAGAGCCCTGCGGTACCTAGCCCCGCTGTCCTAAGGGGACCGGGACTCTGTGTAACCCAGAGGCGAGTGTAGTGGGTGTAGCCATAGGTCTACACGAGCCGAATGTACTATGTGTAGCCAGGGCATAGGGCTTACACGAGTCGAGTGTATTGTGTAGCCAGAGGCATAGGGCTTACACGAGTCGAGTGTATTGTGTAGCCAGAGGCATAGGGCTTACACGAGTCGAGTATATTGTGTGTAGCCAGAGGCATAGGGTCTACACGAGTCAAGTGTATCGGGTGTAGCCAGAGGCCTAGAGCTTACACGAGATTAGTGGAGTGTGTCGGAGGAAGAAGAGAGACCACACGTTGTATTGTGATACCTAAAGGATTTAATAAAAGTGTGTTACCCGTCAAGAAGTTCCTGCCGTCAATTCCCATACTTCACATATAAATATATTTTGTCAATCATCAAATTATATTTTAATCGTTCTTCCATTCAAAAACGTAGGAAAATATTTTTTAATAATTACAGACCCATTAGCCCCCCCTCCAAAGAAAAAAACCTCTACTATGTATGAAACTATTCAAGAAGTTAACAGAAAACCAAATAATGTATATTTTAGACGCCAACTAACCACATGGGCAAGTTGAATTGGAGAAATGTTTTTTTTTTACCATTGACCGCAGACATGTCACCAATCAGATCCTAGACTAGACACGTTGACATAAATTGCCATTATTGTCGTTTTTTGTAGACTAATGTAAGATTTCATTCGGTCGAAACTAATGCAGTCTTTTAAGCCCTCTCAAACCATGGCCGGCCTTATAAAAATAGAAATGATCAAAACCAATCATGAGCTGCTACACTGATATTCTGGTTTTATTGCAAACTACAAATCATGAAAAGAGTTAAGTTTAGTTATATCACCAAGGCTATTCCAAAAGTGCCTAAAGCGGAGACCAGTTTCTCTATAGCACAACCAATGTAACCATTAAGTTCTGCTCATTGTCAATCTCTCGCATGGCTTTAAACGTATAAAATGTTAGTTGCGCATACTGTAACGGCATCACTTTGCTAGATCATTTGCTCTTCCTTGTAATACAATTATACGGTTATTAACATTGATTTCTTCCAACAGGTGTGGTCAGCTCATCAGCTCTTTCCCGACGAAAACAATGCATCGCTCTTCCTGGGAGCGCTGGACACCATCTTCCTCTTCTCGTACGCTGTGGTACATATCCATTTTGAGAAAATTGCACTCCAGCCTCCCTGAATGGTAGAGCAGTGTGTATTGGTGTCTCCATCCTGAGCGCGGAGCGTTGGTGCAGTGGCTACTGCACTGCGCTGCGAACCTGGCGACCTGGCTAACATCCATGGCGAGTGGTCTCTGGGCCTCCCCAGGGGATACAAATAAAGCTGGGTATGGTGCTAACCACACCACCCACCTTGTACACCATACTGGTCTCCATGTGTATGTATGTATGTATGTTGAACTTCCTTCGCACCATACATAGCCAACCGTGATAATCGGAGGTGCAGGGGAAGGACAACAAACTAAACGCAAATATTTCGATTTAAAGCTTTCGTGACTGCAGGGATTCATCTTCTTGGTTCTTTCGGTAAAGTCACGTAGAAGGGAAGTAATAAAATAATAAAAATAAAACATAATAAAACAATTCTCACGACGTTTCGGCCACAACGCAAGCAGCCGTCCTCAGGTGAGAACCAGGTCCGTCGAGGCGACAGAGTCTGAATGAAACAGCACACGGGCTTGGAGCATATATATAAGCTGGGCGCATTGACAGCTTATATATATGCTCCAAGCCCGTGTGCTGTTTCATTCAGACTCTGTCGCCTCGACGGACCTGGTTTTCACCTGAGGACGGCTGCTTGCGTTGTGGCCGAAACGTCGTGAGAATTGTTTTATTATGTTTTATTTTTATTATTTTATTACTTCCCTTCTACGTGACTTTACCGAAAGAACCAAGAAGATAAACGCAAATAGTAACAAAACACGAAAAGCACTAACAACACTTGCTTATATTCTTGGTTCTTTCGGTAGTCACGTAGAAGGGAAATAATAAAATACACAAGCAATCACACCTGATGATGATTGCTTGTGTTGCAGTCGAAACGTCGTGAAAATGTTATTGTTTTATATTTTTATTTTTTAATTATTTCCCTTCTACGTGACTTTACCGAAAGAACCAAGAATATGAATCCCTGCAGTCACGAAAGCTTTAAATCAAAATTTAACACTTGCTTACTAACAGGACTTGGCAAAACAGTCTGTTGGCTATATGGGGGTGTGGAATTACTTTTACCAAAAATGTAAAAAAAGTGTATATTAATCAAATGATAAATCGTTACACCCATAGTAATAATACACTTTGTGTTGTACACAGGGATTGTACATCAGTGGCTACCTTGGGGACAGGTTTAACCTGCGCCTGGTGCTGACTCTAGGAATGTGCTCTTCTGCTATTGTGGTAAGAAAACCTTCACAACTCTAGTAGTCTGCAGAGATAATCATTACCTGTGCTGTACTACATTACAATTTAGGTTGACCTTTGCCTGACCTCTTTCAAGTCACCTTGGATAGGACATTAAATATATATTATAATAATGTACATCCCACAGATGACAGAGAGTTGACTATCCAAAATATAAGCGCTACTTGGTTCTTGTATGAATGTTTGTCATTGATCAAACTACAATCGGACTATTAGGTACTTCAGCCAGTGTAGGGAGGCTCTGCTCTGCTGTCTCCTCGCTGTGTGTGATGCAGGTCCTGGTGTTCGGCTCTGTGACTGAGTGGCTGGGTTTTTACAGCATGCCCTTCTATGCTGTGATGTGGGCCGTCAATGGCTTGCTGCAGTCCACGGGATGGCCTTGTGTTGTGGCCATCATGGGCAACTGGTTTGGCAAAGACAGGTGAAGATAAGTGGCCAGTTCGTTCAGGATGCGTTTCTGCTGCCGTTTGGACCACTCTTCCTTCCAATATTAGGAAGCCACTGGAGCGATGCACTTTTAAATCTAGATTGAAAACTAATTTCTTTAGAACTCCTTTTTGTGTTTATTTTGTTGTCCTTCCCCCGCACCTCCGATTAGCACGGTTGGCTACGTATGGTGCGAAAGAAGTTTAACATATATACACATACATACAAGAGGGGGCTAATATCAGGCGTGTGAGTGTCGACCCTGGGTTTCTGTGTTTCCTGGGGCTGAATCTAGGCTTCAGCCGCGTGCGATTAAACCAGGTTCTCAATTCTAACGAGCATGACGCCGCAGCCTGGTGCACTGAGCCTGCAACTTTCAAATATCAACAGATTACAGTAATATTAATAACGATATTACTTTACATTAATTGTGTACATTTGGTGTGTTCTCCAACAGTCGTGGGCTAGTGTTTGGGCTGTGGAGCGCCTGTGCTTCTGTGGGGAACATCCTAGGAGCTCTGCTCGTCTCTGGCGTGCTCCGGTTTGGCTATGAGGTGAGTGGGTGCGATGGGGATACAAATCATGCTGGCCTGCTATTCCATTAAGGGAAGCCTCCCTGTTGTTAGAGAATTCGATTACAGAAAAAAATGTGTGCACGGGAAACATGACGGGCGCACGTGATGACACAAGCGGATTAATTCAGCGTGCACATTGATTGACTTTGTGTGTAGCACTGTGTTTACTTTGAAAATAAATACAGGTAGTCCCCGACCTACGATGGAGATGCGTTACGACGACCCCATCGTAAGTCGAAAATATCGTAAGTCGAAAATGGCCTAGCCTACCCAGGAGTTTGAAATAATGGTGATAATTTAGCAAAACAGAGCAATTTACAGTACCGTACTGTATAAACTATATGCGTACAGTACATCCCGGCAGCATCCCAACGTACAGTATCGTACCTCATACGCTTCTGCGTTTGCCTGCTGCGCGAAATGTAAAATATTTTACAATTTTGTCATCACTATCGCCATCGTAAGATCGAAATATCGTAAGTCGGACCATCGTAAGTCGGGGACTACCTGTATATGAATGCGTTATTAGGAATAATTGTGTTAATCTTGCAACCAAAATGAATCAAATCATGCACTGAAGAATGTATTTTACAAAGAAAATTATCTGCATATATTGTATTCGCCTTTGATCTCATCAGATCTCAGAAACTAAAGGCAGGGTTGAGCCTTGATAGTGCTTGGATGGGCAACTGATATACACACACGCAAAGCAGGTGTTGTAGACTGCTGTGGTGATACAGCAGATACCATTGCAGCAAAATCCGCTCTTGTACTGCACTTCAAGCTGTCATGTCTACGCTTCCTACCTTCACGAACCTGTGTGGACCTGTGCTGGGCACGGCGAGGCCCTAATGCAATAGCGGATTGACAAACGGACTGTACTTTTACATGTACATCACATTTAGGGACATGAAGCTAGCTGGACAGAATGAATGAGAATGCAAACTGGAGAAAATACAGTCGAGTGAGAAACATTTTGACAATTCGTTAAATATCTCTGTGCGAGTGAATTGTTACACGCGCCGAGCGTTCACACACAGAGTTTGTACTGAGCGAGTCTCCCGCTTGTTCCTGCGTGCAGTATGCATTCCTGGTCACTGCGTGTTGCCTGTTTGCCTCTGGAATTGTCGTCTTCTTTGGGCTGGTCAGCTCTCCGCTGGAGGTCGGTAAGTAGCGACCCAGACTCCCCACGTGTTTGCGCATGCGTAACGTGGACCGAGCATTATCACCCCGATTGCCATCCACTGCTGGATGAAGGCCTCTGCACTCTGCCTCAGTCGTGGAGGCTGTTTCACCATGCTTCATCACACCAATCGGTGTTAGGGTTGGTGGAGGTGAGGGCCATAGACGTGACTGTGATTGGTGGGTGTACGTTATGTGAACCGGTCATGTGACACCAAGACTCCTCGGTCTACCTTGTTAGAGACGTGCGCACATGTGGAATGTGAGATTAGCATGTGGAGACGTGACGTGAGAGGGCAGAGCTTAATTTTATCACCAAATAATTTCTAGGACATGAGTGGACTGTGGGTGGAGTTTGTCTTGTAATCAGAGCCAGAGTGATATGGAAACTCGATGTGGTGTGCCGGATGTGTAAATATATTTACGGGTCATCGCTGACCTGGACAGATCCGGATGAAATTAAGCTCCGTGTGAGGGGCCAATGAAAGGACACAGGGGAATTTTATTTCTTGCACCAGGGTCCATGCCAACCACACTTCGACGACACTACTGTCCAGCACCAGAGCAAGTGTCTAGTTTCCCTCCCAGTAAGATCCAGATGACCTGTGCACATGCCTCTACCACACAGGATTACCTGCTCCGGATTGTGCCGAGGATGGAGCCGGCGAATCGGTGAACTGTGCTGAGGCCGTTGAGCAGACTACGCTGCTTGGTGACCCCGTGAGCCCAGCTCCGGCATTGGGCTTCTTCCAGGCTGTGTGTCTGCCTGGTGTGGCGTTGGTGAGTGAGTCGCTGCCAACCGCAGCGAACATTTTTGTTAAGAGATTTCCCGTAGGTGTTCATTATTGTAGAAGGTGAAGGTTCAGCCAGGAAATTGCTTGCTCACGTCACTGCTGGCAGAAGAGCCTCAAATCAAGGCATTTTTAAATCCTTTATATTAAGTTCACTTGCTTGCTTGCTTGCGTGCTTACGACCGTGCAAATCTTTCGGTCGTTTTTTAACCCACTTCCCGTGATCCAATCGAGCTGACATTTTGCACACAGACTCGTTGTGCGTGACAATTTATTTTCGTGAAAATTTTTTTCCTAAATTTTCCACTTTTTTGAAAAAAAAAATTTTCATATTTAATTTAAAATACCAATGTGATAAAAATGAAACTCTTACTCAAGAAAAACAGAAATAAATAATAAAATCAAACCGATGCCACGCATATAAAGGATTGATAGTGAAAATTTTTGTTTTTATGGGTTAAATTTTTTATCGTGTCCCTCTACAGGGTGTTGTGCTACTCTTCCTCGCTGGCCAGATTTTATGAAGGAAGTGCGAGTCCCTGTACTTTACCCCACTGTATGCGACCTGCCATTCGACTAACTGCGGTGTACATATTTATGACGCTGGGTAAACGGAGGTGGGAGGGTGGATTTAAGATACTGGTCCATTGTTTTAACTGCCGCGCCGGGAGATCCGACCTGCGACCTCTGGATTGCGAGTCCCATATGCTTACCATTACACCAGAGCCCATTTTCTCAAATTCATTTTGATCGTGACTTAAGACAAAAAGACCACAATTCGCTTCTTCAGGAACCGCTGGTGGTTTTTGGCGTAATCCACAAAGGCCGAGTGCTCTTTTCCACATTTTTGTGTATGTGCCTCCATGTGCGGTGGTGCAGTGGTTAGCACGTGGCACTACACGCTCGGCGACTTGAGTTCCTTTCACGCTCACGGCCAACACCAGCGGCGATTATCTGAACCGGTCCTAAACCTTCCCTAGATCGACTCGGCCTCAAATGAGTACCTGGTGCGATGTGTAAATATTGCCACGAGGGAGACAAAGGCGGCTGGGCGTGGTGCTGGCCACTCACCCCTTCATGTGTCGTGCCGGCCTTCATCGGTGATCGCTAACAGCGCTTGCCCCAACAGTCTGTTAAGGTTATACGGGGGATATTTGCCTTTGTACGCAGTACTCTCTGGCATATGCCTGCCTCAAGCTGGTGAACTACTCGTTCTTCTTCTGGCTTCCCTTCTACTTGTCGGGACATTTCGGCTGGAGCGAGGCGGATGCAGACCGGATGTCCATCTGGTACGACGTGGGAGGAATAATCGGTGAGCGTCGCAGAGCATTCGCCACACGCTGCATGCCGGTCGGTCAAAAGAACACCCGTCGGTTTGTATTGAGAGAGCGAATGAGAGAGAAAATTAATGAATATTTGCTAAGGCTTTATAACAGGGGTGGGGAACGTCTGGCCCGCGGGCCGTATAAGGCCCGCAAAATCATTTAGTGTGGTCCTGCCAAGGAAACCGCAGGCGGGACTCAAAATTCAATACATCTAGGAGCAAACCTGGAAAAGCAGTTGCGAGTATCAGCAACATCATCAATACCAGCTAATATCACACGCCTCACCAAAGAGAAGCAGTTGCAGCCATCATATTAGGGGTGAGTTAATTAAATGTTTGACCAAATATAGCAGGCTCATTTTTTAAGTTGATAATTTTGTATGGCCCGCGAATGATGTTATAAATATCCAAATGGCCCTTGGCAGAAACAAGGTTCCCCGCCGCTGCTTTCTAAGCTTAAACTCTGCTGATCATCAGCATGGTCTTTTATTCACCATCTTTATCCTTGTTGTGGTCTTGCAGGCAAAGAGCCGCATGTCGCTCTTTGGCATGTGGCTCTGTGGCTGCTCCCTTACGGGCAGCCGTTTTTTTTAAAAAGGCTGAATTTACTTTATTCCGTTTTTTACACTTTAAAATCTAGTACAGGCGGTCCCCACTTTTACGACATCACAATGCGTTCCGTGAAACCCCGTCGTCGTAAATTGGTGATGACAAAATGTACAGCCAAACTGTATTCTTAACGAGTAACTAAGGGGGAGGGAATAGATGTAGTTTATTCCATCACCTGTTATGTTTAATTAAGTCAGAATTTGTTTGTCATCTGTTGTATACTTGCTGTATTTGTGTATGTGGATCTGGAGTTGCATTGAGTGAGAGATGCAGCCTGTCTGAAACAGTATAAAGTACCCGATTTTTATGGCAGGAAATAGCCTTCGTTGTTGGTCTGACTCTTTCTCAGCATTAACTTAAACTTCTCCCGTCCTCTGAAGAACGTAAAATAGAGGTTTGACTGTATATACCGTGAAAAAATAATTACGTTGACATGAACAGTCACTGCATATATGCACAATAAATTACTGGTAGGAACCACCTGGTTGCACCAGCCCACAGGGGATTATTGTGTCCGTCCGTCGTGCATCCAAAAATGGGAGGGGTGGGGCTGGGTGGAGAGGGAAGGGGAGGGGCTGGGTGGGGAGGGTGGGGAGGGGCTGGGTGGGGAGGGTGGGGAGGGACTGGGTGGGGAGGGTGGGGCTGGGTGGGGGGTGGGAGGGGTGGTGCTGGGTGGGGAGGGGCTGGTCACCCCGTGGTGCCCTTATAAAACTCATTTAACCTACTCATGCCGGCTTGTGCCCGCCCTCACAGTCGGGAATATTTGCCAAATACACCACACCGCCGTTGACCCTGCAGGCCATTGACCGAGCAACCCAACGTTCCTACCAGCTTCCTCCGCAGGAATCTGTACACCAATCGGTGCAATAGTACACAGTAAACCTAAAAGACATGGATTGTATCGTCTGTTTGTATTACTTCTTAAAGTAATCGATTTCCATGCCGACATGTTTACAGTCACGTGAGCAGAGTCATCAAGTGAGGACTCGCTTGTGACCAGCCTGCACGTAACGGGTGCGGATGAGTTTAGTTAATCAGTGACCCATACAATCCGCCCACGGATAAGCAAGAGTTGATTGTGCGTTAATAACCCACGTTGTTGCCTCCTGTGCTGCAGGTGGAGCGGCGGGGGGATTGGTTTCTGACCGTTTGGGCAAGCGAGCTCCCATCATCACCCTCATGCTCGTCCTCGCCACGGGCTCGCTGGTCGGATATAAATGTGAGCGTTTGACCCAGGCTAACCCTGACAGCTGCACGTGATTAAACTTGGGTTTTCAAGTGTACACTCCTGTTCGCAATTTGAGCCGATGACATTGTTTATGCTATTTTTTTTCCCCCAGATTCTCCGAACAATAAATCGGTGAATGGCTTATTAATGGGCGTTACAGGTCAGACATTTTACGTGCAAACATCTTTTCCAAATCCATTATGTTTAACCTTCAATGCTGCCAATTGTTAATGTTAGTTTATCCTGCAAAGAAATACTATGTCTTTATTTAAATCACAATACCTACTGCTTAAACAAGCAGTCAGTGTTTTATCTTTGGTCATCCCTGAGTTCGAGGTTAAAATTCCCCATTCCTATGGTAGGGACACATTTATAAACAAAACAAACACTCCAGACCTGCCACTAAGAGGTATTAAAAAAAAAATTGGAGCAATAAGCAGCTTAGTTGCCCTCTGAATTTGAATGTTCAGCCCGAATACACGCCATGTTTTTCCACTAACCCTTCTGCACACAAAACAGACAGCAATTGAATTGGCCAAACATTTAAATGCAGGACCCTCTATTAAGCGCATCTTGATACATAATGCAGTTATCTGGCATACTTGCATGCCATTGTTATCTTTATTATTATGATTACGTATACATGGAATCAAGTTATTTTTGTTTGGTGATTGTTCAAAATGAGAGGTCACAATCGTAGTGATTGTTCAGTTGTGTCTGTTGACTCGCGCAGGATTTTTCGTGGGAGGGCCAGCAAATCTGATCAGCTCGGCCGTTTCGGCAGACCTGGGCCGACAGGGGCCCGTTCAGGGAAACCAGGAGGCTCTGGCCACTGTGACGGGGATTGTTGATGGAACGGGCAGCCTGGGAGCCTCCGCGGGGCAGGTATAGAACACCCCTTTCTCTCCTTTTCAAGTCCAGACGTCATCCAATCAACCCACTATATATATGTGTGTGTATTATTATGTTTTATTTTTATTATTTTATTATTCCCCTTCTACGTGACTTTACCGAAAGAACCAAGAATATGTGTGTGTATGTTGAACTTCTTTCGCACCGTGCGCAGCCAGCTGTGCTAATCAGAGATGCGAGGGAAGGACAACATTTTTACATATTCATATTGGTTCCCCTTGCATATGACCATATCACCAGGAAAGTGGCCGATCTGTTCAGATTGTGGAAGCTAAGCAGATTTAAGCCGAAATAGTGTTTGCGTGGGTGACTACTGCAATAGGCTACTGCAGGGATATGTTGTGGGCAGCAGAGGGCAGTGCAGTGCAATCTGTGTATGCTGCTCCCTGCCCAATTTCATTGAACCACACTGACCAGCGTGGTGTGGTTTGGTCAAATAGCCGCCACGACCTGCACGGTGTGGGAAGCCCCTCATCAAGCAGTGGATTCACAAACCTCCTACGCATTTCACAAGTAGTACTAATCGCATATCTGCATTTCCCATAAAAATGCCAAATTTCTCTTGATATGCAAATTCTTTTGTCAAGGCGCTCTTCCTCCTCCCTCCCAGCTTAAATAGTCGCTCCAAGCCTGGGGCTTGTCATTCAGACTCTGTCTCCTCGACAGACCTGTTCTCCACCTGAGGACGGCTACTTGCGTTGTGGCCGAAACGTCGTGAGAATTATTCTATTATGTTTTATTTTTATTATTTTATTATTTTCATTCTACGTGACTTTACCGAAAGAACCAAGAAGAGGATTGTCCAATCGTATGCATTGGTGTCCACGTCAGTCCAGGTGCATTACTGCTAGAAGACTCCCCGTAGCACCAAATGCCACTGTCGAGCGAATCGCTGAAATTAATTTACATAAACTGAAAGTCGTTATATATGTGTACAGTATGTCTTATCATCCTCTTTGAGGACGATACTTCAGTGCAGGTTGGTGAAGGGGAAGCCCAGTTTTCACTTGTCACTGATGTTAGTCGTCGACCAGGAATCAATCTCGGGGTCATTGGCTAAATAGTGTGGTGTGTTAACCACTCTGCCATTGCTATGAATTCTGTTACATTCATAGGCAAATGTGTGTAGTTCAAAATACTGTGCTAATCAAAGTGAGTGTTGCATTGCATACAATCATTTTTGTGCCATATTTATTCTTTACTTCTATCTATTTCAGTTTTTGGTGGCCGTCATAAAAAACAAACTTGGCTGGGGATGGGTGTTTTATCTCTTCATTTTGATGGTAAGTTCTGAAACAACATGCAGAGCAACCTTCCGTATCTTACTTACCTCTCCGATGACACCCAAAATGTCTCTCTGATCGCACACGTCCTTACCCTACCCACCTGCTCCTGCTGCAGTAAACACTGTCTTCTATCAAAACTATTTTTTATTTTACCTGGTCAGACCCATTGAGCTTTATAGCTAATTTTCAGAAGCGACCTGGCCACAAATGATAGCCTCATGCAGTGGCCTACTATGTTGAAATGTATAGCAGCCAAATATTCCAATCGCATGTTTCTAAATATGAAGGGGAAAGCCGGAGGGCTCGGATAAAAATCCACACCGCTACGGGGAGAACATGCAAACTTCAAGTATACAGGCATCAGGGTCGGGATCGAACCCACATCCTCCTGTATACCAGTGGAGGTAGTTAACATCTCGCCACCGTGGCGCCCTGTGAACCTCCCGTCATTGCTCCTAATACCTCTTTAACCCAAGTAGGCTTGGCGAATCCTGTGAGGCTCACGTTGTGCAAAACGAGTAACACGCCTGTCTGCATGCCGGTGAGGTTTTAGCATTTACAGAGCAGTGGTAGCAAGGGAGTTTGCCGTGTCTCAGCACTGCGCTGTATGCTGGATAATTTTGAATGCCTCGATTTGCCGCCGCCTCTGTGATTCATGAAGTGTCACGTTATAGGGTCACAAATCAATTAAAGGATCACTTCAGTGTTTGTCTTGTTGTACTGATTTATTTTGTTCCAGTGGCGTAGCAAGGTTTGCATGGGCTAAGCAGTGCCCCCCTGTCCAATTCCACTCGCCCCCTTCTTCATAGCCCAGCGCTTGGGCACCTCTAGCCCCGTGGTCTTACTATCGATTGTGGAATGACACTACCTGCGCACTCGATAGCTACACCGCTGATTTGTATCATCTGTACAGTCTCTTTTCGACTTAAAGCTTTCGGGACTGCAGGGATTCATATTCTTCGTTCTTTTGGTAAAGTCACGTAGAAGGGAAATAATAAAATGAAACATAAAATTCTCACGACGTTTCAGCCACAACGCAAGCAGCCATCCTCAGGTGAAAACAGAGCTGTCGGAAAGACAGCGTCCCTAATGGCTTCTTGCGTTGTGGCCGAAACGTCGTGAGAATTGTATTAGGTTTTATTGTAATTATTTTATTATTTCCCTTCTACGTGACTTTACCGAAAGAACCAATAATATGTACAGTCTCTGTCGTCTCCGCTATCTGGTTCTGTTTTGTTTGAATAGTCTCTACACTCTGTATTGTTTCGTTGTTCTGTCTATTTCCATCTCATTTGTACCGTCTCCTTCATTATGAACATTAGCCTAAAAGAAAGAGCCACGTGAAGTTTGCATTCATACAAATCAAACAATTGTTACACGCGCACCATTAGATGAACATATCGCAATCACAGTCATTTTCCTTGGATATATATTTCAGTAATAATTTAAACACCACAATAACATACTAATATAATTCATTGGAATTGCAATTAGCATCCAAGCTAAACTCACATCGGGTTTTTTAATGATTCAGTAGAGATGCCTAAGACTCATTGAGCCAGATGTTAGCAGTCCATCAAAAATCCACTGTTGCCATTGTTAGCTTACACCCTTGTAAAAGATACACTGTGTCTCAGTGGCCCATAGCAGTTTATAAATGAGACTACCTATGCATACTGAATATATATGCATTACATATGTCTTGAGTCACAAATATAAATGGTATTTTACCTCTTGATTGACCCATATTTTGTTCTAAAAAATAAATGTGGTAAATAATTTTAAAACAGTTATAAATATGATTTATTGAAACAAAACAGAATTAGACAAAGTAATTTCGTGTATTTTTTAAAGTAAGTCATTGGATTCATCATCATAACCAGCTATGACGATTCCACTGCTGGATGAAGGACACCCCAAACCGTTGCCATCTTTTACGGACGTGTGATGTACATCAGCTGATTTCATCGCTATATCATCGTGGTTTGACTGTCATACGACAAACATTACTGTCATGTGGCAGAACAGTGGGAAACTGCGGATCAGGGGTCACCTGACATGACCTCAACTCTGTAATGTCCTCTTCTTTTGATGACTTTTTCCGCTTGCGGCAGAGGTTTGCACTTTGAGCCCAGTGATGACCCTGGTTAATATTGTGGGTTCGTTTAGCAAAAAAATACGTTGCCGTTTGCTTCACAGTGACCATAAAAGATTCTGTGATGTCATTAGACAAAAGTAGGCCATGTGCAGTTACACGTTTGAAAATTACCTAATTGGGAAAACCCACATCGCAGCATCGCCAATTACTGTGAACCTCTCCATACTATACTTGTCTGTGAAACACAGAGCCTTCGTGATGGCTTTGTGCAATGGGAATGGCGTGAAAGCCAACCGTACAAATGATTTGATTCGATTCTGTGGACCGTTTTCCTAACACGAATGGACACTGTCTCGTAACATTTGGCCTGATAGCTCAGTCGGGATACAGTTGGAGACGGAGGAAAAAGCGGCGTTAAGTTTTGATGGCAGTGTTTTGCTTTTTGTATTTTCTCAATGTTTCTGCCCTTGCACCATCCACACAGACGCTGCTCACCATCGTCTGCCTGCTGCCCCTGGTCATTCGTGAGGTCAGAGAGCTCATCGCCTCCAGTCGCGTCAGAAGGGACAACACAGGAGCAGCAGCAGCAGCAGCAGGACTGCTGATGGACGGCAGCAGTGTGTATGTATTTATGTTGAATTTCTTTCGCACCATACGTAGCCAACCGTCTTAATCGGAGGTATCGGTGAAGGACAACAAATTTAACACAAATAGGAGTTCTAAAGAAATACATTTTCAATTTAGATTTAAAAGTGCAAAAGCTCCAGTGGTTTCCTAATATCAGTAGGAAGAGCGTTCCAGAGTTCAACAGTGTGGTTTATATTATTGGTTCTTTCGGTAAAGTCACGTAGAAGGGAAACAATAAAATAATAAAAATACAAAACAATAAAAAACAATTTTTTCAAATTTTCTTGCTGTGTTTTCCACACCTGATGATGATTGCTTGTGTTGCAGTCGAAACGTCGTGAGAATTTTATTGTTTTATATTTTTATTATTTTATTGTTTCCCTTCTACGTGACTTTACCGAAAGAACCAAAGAGTATAAATGCAGCTCTTTAAGGGCTGCAGTGCGGCTCTTGAAATTCGAAAAAAATGTCTCGTGTTATTTTGGTTGCCGACCCCCTGACCACGGAAGTCCATTTCACCGCGCGAGTTCAGTTTACCATGGGCAGGGCTTGGCAACCTCCGGCTCCGGAGCTGCATGCGACTCTTTAAGGACTGTTTGCGTGACGTTATTGATTAAGGACCACCATCTCGTATTCGCGTGCGTTGTGGCTCTTGAAATATTGTTTTTTTTACCGAATTCGAAACAAAAAAGCCTCTTGTTGTTGTTTTGGTTGCCGCCCCCCTGGCTTATCCCAATCCTAGCTCTTGACAGCAGCTGTCAACCTGCTGCGGACCAGGAGTCCCTCATACACTTGGCCTCCTCTTCCCACGAGGCACCAGCGGAGAGTCAAGTGTCAAGCTGATCATTATCCTCCTCAACCGTGATCAGTCCACTGCTGGATGAAGGCCTCCCCAAGTCGTCGTCTTCCCCTCACGGTCCCGCGATACAACAATCCACTCGGCACCTGCACACGAGCCTGACGCATCGCTCCATCTCCACGGTGGATGTCCTCATGGGTGCGTTCCTTCCTTTGGCTGGTGCTCCGTAGTTATTTTCGCCCACCGGTCTTCGTCTGTTCTATCGACGTGTCCTGCCCAACCGCCATATTTCTTTGTCTAAAACGTAGAGAAGATACACGTCACCAAATGCCACCATGCCACAGTAGGCGCTGCCTTCAAATGCAAGTAGCCCAGCCCTTGTCGAACGTTCCATTGCTTGTTTGCTTCAACGTGAAGTCATCCCATTGGTACACAAACCTTTTACAAAGAGATGTGTATATATCAATGCATTGATGTTATGCACATTTTATTGTACTGTCTTGAATAACACTCAGGATTAGGGAGGTGTTTAAATCCAAGATTGATAATATAAACACAATGCATCTGGCAATGTTTTTGCCCATCCCGGGTTTTGTCATCACGGATTTGACCATTCACCCCTAATTATTGAGGTATAGTTCGCCAATTGCGTCCCTGTGGCTTGGCCATCCACGGTTGGCCACGAGTTTCCTGGATACATTGTAAACAAGTACTCTTAACTGCATTGCTCAAGAATACACATGCCATCTTGTCCTCCCATGCAGCCGATTGCGGGTTGCAGTTCACGTGTTCCCAGGATCCAGTGAGGCAGTGTGATCAGGTTTTTACGTATAAGTTTACGGTATCGTGCTGTATGCTGCGTTAATTGTTATTCTGTTCATTTACTGTACAAGTTATATTGAACACTATAGAAAATATGAATAATATTTTACATAAAGAATGCTTCGTGTTTCACTTTGGGATTAATGTAGAGTAACAGAACAAAAGGAGGGGTGGTGGGTGTCATATTACAAACTCTGAACCAAACCATATTCTTCCCACATGCCTTTGAGTTTGCGGATTGTGGATTTGCTGATTGCGGCGATTTTCCAGAACGTAACCCCTGCGATGAGCAAAGTTTGGGTGTATTTGCATTACCTGTCGCGATGTTACGTATAATGCTGTACGGTATTTTTCAATTCACCTTATTGTAAGTTTTCTCACTTGAAGCACAATACTTGAAACGCAGTGATTGTTTTGAATACATCACGTGTGCAATCGTGACTCCTCGTGTGCATCGTCACAATGGTATCGTGATGATATAATGGCGATTGCTCATAGCAAAGTTTACGAATACTGGAGGTTTGTTTTGTTCTGAAGCGGTTGTGTAATTACCGGTAATGAAACTTGCATTTTAAAACATTTATTCTTCTATTTTTTTCGTGTTCTGTGCATTGAAATTATAATTATCATTCTTTTGATCAGAAATTATTTTCAAACACTGTATCTTTTACTAGACTCGCATCTTGGTGATAGTTTATTTGCATGCATTTTTGTTGTTGTGTGAAAACGGGGCAGCTCTTTCCATTACGAACAATGGGGGAAACTGCCAAAGCGCGGTGCGTTTTAACAGTTTCGGACAGGCGTCGTTCTATCCGGCAGTGTGATCTATCTGTCACTGCATTTTTTTTTTAAATATAGAGGACTGCGTTGATACATCCAACACCTTGAATTACACATGAAGGGTCACTGCCGCTGCTGAGGGATTTTTTAACTGCATCGTATTGTTTTTTCATGGGACGGCTTAACCCGTCCGCAGCAAAACCTTTCGGTTTAACCATGTCGAGATGGTTTAAAGGAAAACGCCGCCAATACAATAAAGTATCTATTATCGTGTAGATACAGTACAATGATTTGGAATTGATATGTGGGTGGGGCCACAATGATTTGACCTTATTTGTATCGTTCAGACCCCCCCCACCACCACCCACCCGATGCAGCCAAACAAATGAGTCACGTGTGCAAGCGTTTAAATGCGCCAGTGATCTATTTCAGCTGATGGGTAAGTTGGAGAAGAAGTCTTGCAGCCAAATGTAGGCATTATACATGGAACATACTTAAGCTAGGTGTGTCGTGCTGTCCAATAGTGAGGTTAGAAGATTCGTGTATTGTAGTTGCCTTTATTTAGCAGGGAGGTGAAACGTAGGCCTGTTGAGACACATGATTCATGCAAGGGTGACCTTGGTTACATGAATTCATTTAGAATACAACAGTATTTTAAATCCAGACGTTAACTATTTAATGCAAATTCATTAGCAGTTAAGAAGGTGAATTGTACTTTAAAAATTAATGTACAAGATGTCATTTTTAATGAGTTATATTCACTGCAGTGCCATCCATAGTAAACGTTTTAGTAGTACATTTCAGTGATATCATTGGATATCATTAGATATTACTGCAGGTTACTTAACATGCATTCTCATTCACATAGCTTCAGTCGTGTGAGATTGGCTGATGATATACACAGATTTGGTGTGTAGCTATGAGATTATAGCAGTTTTTTTTGTTGCATCTTCCTTTAAACCTGTCACATCAATAGCAATACGTATTCGTCACCAGAATAATTTGGTGAGTAGAAATGAATGGTAAGTGATTACATATTGCCGGTCTGCAGTATACTACTGTATTAGCTCAAAAATTGAATTGAGTGAGCATAAATCGTGTTTGTGGATACTTGATATCGTCTGGCCATTTTTAAAATAGCAAACGTAATTATTTCAGTGGATGCATTACTGTGGATGCGTACTGTACGCACCAATAATACTTGGGGCCATACATACGGGTTATATTAATATAAATTAAGGCAAATGATTAATTTTATAGGTCGAATTGAGGATCAAAAAAATATATCAAAACAGGAAAAAATGAAAATATAGGAATATCATTTGGAGTATGTTTTAAACAATTTATGTTTACTTCGTGCTTGTATTCTGTATAATTGGCCAAACCCCCCAAAAAATAAGATCGTGCACGAATCCTATTGGTTGGGGAAAACCTAAGTGTTAAAATATATGCATTTGAATGAATTTTAAGACAATATTCTGGATATGCGTTTGTTCTATATAGAATTAACAGGTAAGATATCCTTAGATGTTTTGTTCAGCCACAGAGTTTAATTAATGACTGTTATGAAGTGGGTACTGTCAATAGCAATAGATTAACGCGGTATGGATGTATGTATGTTGAACTTTTTTCCCAGAGTACGTAGTCAACCGTGCGAATGGAATGTGCAGGTGGAAGGACAACGAACTAAACACAAAAAGCAGTTCCAAACAATTTTTCAACCTCGATTTAAAAGTTCATAGCTCAAGTGGCTTCGTATAATGTTCTAAATATGTAAAAAAAGTCGGGTTCTTTCAAAGCACATTGTTACAATGCACACCAATGACAGTTGAGTTTTTCATGGACTCAAGTATCATACCCATTTATGTGTTGTATCATCTTGAAGGTAAAACTTACTCAAAACATACGGTTATGATTAATAGCAAGTCGCAATGGGTGTGTTCTTTTTACAGTTTATAAGTACTATACTCTCGGAGTACGTGCTTTACGTTCTTGTGCCTACATGTCATTAACGCTAAACACCAGTTTCTACATCTCACGCATCGATTCATCGATGGAAACATGATTACACTCGTGATACAATCGTGTGCACGATACATCAATCACAGTATTTTCTATTTCGTATGTGATCACTTCACGTTACCCCTGCAAGCACGAGAGAGTCTGATTATTACCACAGTGATAACAAATCATTTGTTCTTAAATTGTGACAGTTCATTCATTCGTGAGAGGCAAATCGTAACGTGCCCACTAAATATTGTACGTAACAGAGAACACGTGTGTGTTTCTTAGACATTCAGGTTGATTGTCATATGTACAAAAAAGACCCTTGAACTAAGATGTTGGCCAAACCTTCAAGGTCAGTCTTGAAACTCAATTCAGGCATTTCTGGGTGAATAAAGTATTGTTTATTGTATTCCTGTTGGGTTAGTTCACGTATGATTTGGGAAGTTTGCAAGCCATTATTACATACAAACAGCCACTGCAAGGTATAGCTTGACTAACATGCAAAATATGGTACTGTGAGTGGTAATTGTAAATGGTAATTGTTGAACACTGGAGCAGATTTACCCTTGAAAAAAAAAGATCCACAAAACTCGTGTTAGCCGTGGGCCTTCACAGAGCCACTTCCTGTAGGGTGCGTCCATGTAAAACTGGGGAACTTGGCCGACGTGAACGCACAAATTCCTCCTCCACACGGCATACTTGATTTACTAGTTTGTGTTTTTAAGGACAGTGGTTTTGTACCAGCATTCGCCGCAGCTCTGCGTTTGCCAACCTATTTTTGAGAACCAGGTTCTAAATGTGCGTGATTAATTTATACATTTTCACGGACTAGCATATTGTATATTTCATTTGTGCCATAGGAAGATGTAACTAGTGTCAATCATGCTTTGACACATTTGCAGTGATTAACGTACTCTACTTTGAACTCTGTGACCCATTTCGATTTCCGGCCATGACCAACAGTATCAAGTGATATCAGAACCGGTTATACCCTCCCCATCCTTCACCAGCCTGTTCTGACAAGCGTGGTGAGGTACAGTAAACAAAACACCTATGACCAACATTGTGAGGGGGGGGGGGAGGCCTTCAACCATTAGTTGATTGAGAATGGCTCGAACTTATTTTACTTTGTCAGTATGTGGATCTACTCTTTAATAGACTGACTACTACAACCATTGGCGACGATTAATGAATATCGGTTGGCATGTGACAAACCACCCTTTACAGAGCATGAAGGAATATTATTTAGTGATGGGTGAGAGAAGCTTATTTAGGCGACTATAAGTCATTTTGTGGTCTATTATCGGGTTCTGACATATATTTCAATAATGATTACTGGCTATAGGACTTTCAGAACTCTAATGTCAATCCACTGCTGGACAGGAGCTTTCCCATGCCGTGTGGTTTGTAGTAGGTAATCGACCATACTTAATTGTGCTGGTCATTAAGGCTTGGTGAAAGTAGGCAGCACAAATGTGGGAGCTCAGTACAACACAGGAATTTTAATTTGCTGCACTGTCATCTGCTGCTCAGCACGTAGCCTGAAACAGCCTATAGCAACGTGGCATGCATGGTGGACTACCCATCCATGCACCATCCAGGTTCAACACCTGCTTAGCTCCCGAGGTCTGATGAGATCGGGTGCATTCTGGGTGATGCGATCATAGGCCACGACTCTTCAGCTCTCACTTGATACAGCTATCGTGCTGTGACGGTTCCACCTGAAGACGGAAGCTTGTGTTGCCTCCGAAACGTCGTGATTTTTATTTTATTTTTATTTTACTTTTATTATTTTTAATTTTTTACCTACGTGACTTTACCGAAAAAACCTAAGAATATGACTCTTCATCGGCTCGTGTTCTGCAACGAGTCAGGCACGTGACGATGATATGTCCTGGTCTGTGGCGCTGGTGTAAGGTACTTCAAGGTGCATGGCTCCTTGATTCTCATGGTATTACAAGTCGACATCATTGGTCATAAAAATTAATTTAAAAAAACCTCATGCAACTTTTACAAATGCACAATAATTATCTCCACATTAAGAAAGTATCTTGTAAAAGTAGCTTTATCCGATTGACATGTCCTTGCCCTCATTTACATTTGAATCTGATGTCTTGTGTTTTTGATGGTAGATTTAGTAATGCATTGTTAGGAGATGAACAGGAATTGTAAGTGGAAACCTGAGAGAATGAGTGAGCACACTGTGTATGTGGTTTGTAGTGCTGTAATAGAACACATGTACACTATCATAATATGTGCTGTGTAGGAGGTAAGAACACTGCTACGGTCCTGTTTGTATTATCACGTTGTGCTATATAGCTCTCCAATGTGGAGAGGCAATAAAAACAACGGCTTTCATGTGCCCATTCTGTGTTAAGGGCCGGCCATACAGAAATGCTTTTCTTCGAAATAATAACGTGATAAAGATGAGACTGAATATCATAATTTACATCGTGTGGTGGTTGTAAAAGGAATTATTAAAAAGTGTGTTAATGAATGTTGGTGTCCCTATGTGTATGTATGTGTATACATATTATATCCATGGGGAGTTGAGTCAGGGTTTAACTTCAGTTGGGTCAGTCGGGGTTGGTGACCCAGAAAATATTTCTGCATCCAGCACACCGCATCCAAAAGCTCCTCTCACTTTGGCTGTGGCTTCTCGTCACAAGCCTACTTTAATCTGTCCAACGACCCAGAACATATTCAGAGATACATTAATCCCGAGTATGATGTGCTCGCCATCACCACGAGGAAGGCAAATGTGGTTGGGTGAGTTTGGTCATCACACAACACCACCTTGAAGTCCATGGCAATCTTAACAGGAGCTCCCTATTAGCATTGTCTCAACAGAGACAAATAAATCTTGGTTCTCTTTGTGCCATCATCCAGTCAGCATTTTATATTGATTGTCTTCGGTTTTAAGACCACTTTCACTCATCATAATGTACTGTGCATGCTTAGTTTTCTCATACAACGTTGGTGCCATTAAAATGTTTACGAGTGTAATAGTGTGTCAGATAATGATATTGCCAATAGTCTCATATTTAATATCTATTATGTGTCAACGAAATCGGAATATATTTGTCCTCAATGCTGTTTTATGCTGGTGAGACATTGATATAGTTTGGTGGTGGAGATGGCATCTACTGAATATGTGATTTAGTATTTAGAGCTGGTATAGCTTTAGTTACCTTGGTAACGATGCATCTATTCATAGCCAATCTTAGGCTAATTATACATGCATCAAATTGCATGAAAATCGTATGTTGTGTTATTCGTATATGTTGTACGTGATGCGTCCATATCACCCCTGCAGTCTCGAATGGATGCTACATGAACCACAGTAGTAAAACAAGGAAGAAAAATCGTACATATGCATGGTTTCTGGAATGATTTCCAAAATTCGCTCAGTATTTAATTTGCGATAATTGCATTGAGATGACTTCACACGTAATGCTATAACCTTGCAATGTCACATAATAGCCAACAAGGTGAATAATTTTAGCACTGGTATTTTATTACCGAGTTTTGGGTGACCCTTAGATCAATTTGGCTATTATTCTATAAGGTTATAACATTAATAGCAACATAACTTTATGCAAAAAATATAATTACGTTGGATAATCTCTACGAGAGTTATCGTGATCCACTAATTACTGCTAATGCATTGATCATTTTAACTCATTTAATGTCCGAGAAAATTGTAACACCTATATAATAGTTGCACCTGCCTTGAATATGAAGTGATAAGACCAATTAGACATCACTGGCGTCCCAATGTAGCCTTACACCCTGTCACTGCCGTTGTACATTGAGCAGCTGTGGTCCCTTGTGACTAACTTCAGCAGCTCACTTATCATCAGGACACCTTCGGTGGCATTTGGCAGTGCGGTAATTTTAGCACCGTAAGTCATGGGACCACCACAACAGGTATATTTTAAGGCAAGGTGCTATTGAAGGCACTTTGTAGAGAAGAGACATCAGATGAGAATATTAAGGTCTTGATCGTATACATTAACAGCTGCACGGAGTTTATTATGATGCTTGTTTACCCAGAGGGTTGGTGGCACAGATGCCCGCATGAGACCGGTTGATGTGCAGCAGTGAAAGGGGATGGCGATGGCAATTGGGAGGCCTTTCATCCAGCAGTGGATAATAACACTAACAGACTTTAATTCACGAGGTGAGAACCCATCGAGATGACAGGTCTCTTGCAAGGGTGCGTTTCATAACTAAAGCGAGTGAGAGAACACGAGTACATGTGCAGTGTGTTCTACTCAGGCACACACCAAGACTCAGGGACAACACGTTTTATTCTCTTAACACAACCAACACTATTCAAGGTTAACTACTACAGGTAGTCCTCTTTACGATGGAGATGCGTTACGACGACCCCATCGTAAGTCCAAAATATCGTAAGTCGAAGATGGCCTAGCCTACCCAGGAGTCTTAAAGAATGGTGATAATTTAGCAAAACAGCAATTCACAGTACCGTACTGTATAAACTATATTGTATGTATTTATGAATTACAATACTGTATTGCACAGTAAAATGTAAAGTAAAAAAACAAGGTCAATTCTTAGCCTACCTAATTGAACTGCGCGAAATTAAAAAAATATTTTACAATTTTGTCGTATCGCCATCGAAAGATCGAAATATCGTAAGTCGGACCATCGTAACTCGGGGACTATCTGTATTTACATTCCGAGCGACGATGTACATTACAGGTTAACTACGTAAGGCGGTGGCCACCGTTTCTAACCACTTGAACGGATTCCCTATATGGCCGAACCAGATCTGCCAGAGCGAAGATCGGAGATGACGACTTCTTCCCGGGTTGAACTTCCACGCTCCCTCTCGGGGCTCAGCTTATATTCTAGATTTGAAGCTTTCGTGACTGCAAGGATTCATATTCTTAGGTTTTTTCGGTAAAGTCACGTAGGTAAAACATCAAAATTATGAAAATAAAATAAAACAAAAATCCGAAACGTCGTGATTTTTGTTTTATTTTATTTTCATTAATTTTGATGTTTTACCTACGTGAATTTACCGAAAAAAACCTAAGAATATCAGCTTATATTGTTTATATTGTGACATGCCAGTCTGGGTGAACCCCCTTATATCTCATGTGATGTCACCAGGCTCCGCCCCTGGTCACGCCCCCTTCTCGATCCTTCGAGAAGAATCTGGGTCCACATCACGTGGCCCGCTCACCCCCTTCTGGGGACCCCCCGTGCCCCCTGGTCCGGTCACGTGCTCTCGCCGGTTCACCCAGACTGTCATGTCCTGACCCGACCTCTGTGACATCCGGAACCTGCCCTCTAGTGAGCCCTTGTGTATAGTACACCCACTGTCGCCATAGGACGGCCCATTTACTGGTAGGAACCTCCTGGTTACACCAGCCCACAGGGGATTATTGTGTCCGTCCATCCGTCGTGCAGGGGGGGGCTGGGTGGGGAGGGAGGGGCTGGCTGGGTGGGGAGGGAGGGGCTGGGTGGGGAGGGGGGGCTAGGTGGGGAGGGTGGGGAGGGACTGGGTGGGGAGGGTGGGGCTGTTTGGCGGGTGGGAGGGGTGGGGCTGGGTGGGGAGGGGGGGCTCGGGAGGGGCTGGGTGGGGGGTGGGAGGGGTGGGGCTGGGTGGGGAGGATGGGGAGGGGCTGGATGGGGAGGGTGGGGTCGGGTTGTTTGGCGGGTGGGAGGGGTGGGGCTGGGTGGGGAGGGGCTGGTCACCCCGTGGTACCCTTATAAAAATCAACGTTTAACCTACTCACGCCGGCTTGTGCCCGCCCTCACAGTCGGGCATATTTGCGGTATACACCACGCCGCCGTTGACCCTGGCCATTGACCGAGCAACCCAACGTTCCTACCAGCTCCCTCCGCAGGAATGTGTTATGTCGTTACATATGCACAGCCAATTTTTCAATCCACTGCTTGGAAGAGGGCCTCCCCATACCGTATGGGTCGTGGAGTTGATTTGTCCATATTTAACGTTGGCTGGCCCGTGTGGTTTGGTTAAGGTGGGCCAGGTACGAAACTGGATTTACTGCACTGCCCCTTTGCTGCCCCCAATAATAATAATAATGCAATGTTACACGTACGGTCCAATATGTCAAGACATAAATGGCCGTGACTCTTAAGGCACGGCACCAAGCTCGTTATCGCTGGAAAGCCGGGGCGAGAGAAGCGGGGAGGAGGAGGAGGGGGGCTTTTTAAAGTGTCTCAAAGTAGGAGGTGTAGATTGGATGCTGCCATTGTGGAATAAGATCGCGTTGCAGACGGGGGAGGGCTGCCACAGAGAAACGACGCCTGTAAGTGATGGTCCCTGGTTTTTGGTGTAATGCCTTATAGTGCCTGTTTGTATTATGCATGATGGTTGCCCATCAAAGCACTCATCCATGTTGGGCACATTCCAGGTTATTTTGTCATCGGCAGAACACAACAATATTAAACACAAATTAGTAAAGCGTGTATAACATTTTGATTTAAAGCTTTCGTGACTGCAGGGATTCATATTCTTGATTATTTCGGTAAAGTCACGTAGAAGGGAAATAATAAAATATAAATATAAAAGAATAAAATTCTCACGACGTTTCGACTGCAACACAAGCAATCGTCATCAGGTGTGAAATCCACAGAAAGAAAATTTCAAATAAAAATAAAATATTAAAAATATAAAACAATAAAAATGCTCACGACGTTTCGACTGCAACACAAGCAATCATCATCAGGTGTGAAATCCACAGAAAGAAATTTTCAAATAAAAATAAAATATTAAAAATATTAGAATAAAAATTCTCACGACGTTTCGACTGCAACACAAGCAATCGTCATCAGGTGTGAAATCCACAGCAAGAAATTTTATTATTTCCCTTCTACGTGACTTTACCGAAAGAACCAAGAATACGTGTATAACATGGTACAATGTAAACACATATCGACACACATGATTATGGTGAAACGTGGGAACATTTGTGCCTCACAGCCAGAAGTTGGTTTCATTTCCGACCGTGGCACCTTCACGATGTGGACTTTGAATGTTCTTCCCCTGTTCTGCATGGACTTCTCTGGGTTCTCTGATTTCCTCCAATAGCCGAACCCCCCCTATCCATACTATTAATGTAGCTCGTATTAGCCAACCTTTTAATGCTGAACCAGGGGCGGTTTCTTCATTAGGGCGATTGGGCGACGCACCACCAATGTCATTCAACCACAGAGTCACGCTAGCCGTCACTGTGCCTCTGGATATAGTCCAATCAGCGTCATGTCACGTTCTGTGGAGTACCGCCTCTTTTTGGGCGATTTCACTCCGGCTGAGAATCGCCCCGAGTGGCCCCATAGACTTACATTCAAAGATGTTTTTTTTCGACCGGGGGGCGCTGCAATGCATTCTCTATGACTTCCGGGAGGGCTCGCCCTAACGTGCTTACGTCATCATACGTGCTTACGTCATCATACGTAAGCACGTTTCATCCAACAATATAATTTATCGCCACCTAGTGGAATCTTTAATAAAATAAACTTGAGTGGTTTGTTTTAATAGTGAGTATAGAAACAAACAAGATGTATTGTAAGAGTCACTTTATTTTTCATTAATATTAAAGAAGTGAAGTTGCCTTTACATGCTTAAGCTGTTAATTTACCCATTGCATGGGTGGACCTTATCCTTATCAATCATCCAGACATTTGCCCCCCCTGAGAGATTTTGCAGGAGCCGCCACTGTGCTGAACCACTACCTGCAAATTACTCAATTCAAGTTCAAGTTCATTTATTAGGTATAGCCCTGTGAGCCATTCGGCTCTTGAATCGGGTGCAACCGCAACAAACAAAAAACAAAAACATGAACAAAAAACATCTTAAAGTGACTATGTGACTGTGTGAAAACAGAAAATCCAAGAAAAGACAGCAAAATATTGCAAAAAAAGCACCGTACACCAACGCTGTGTGCAAAAATCCCAGTGGGATGCAAGTCAAACAACCAACAACAACCACAAGACAGCTTAGATTAAGGCCATCAGTCTAACTCTGTACTACAACAAACATGGCTAAACCAATACACTTTTCGAAATCACCAGAATAAAGCCATGAAAGCAATGAGCCGAATGGCTCACAGGGCTCTACCTAATTAATGAACTTGATATGCAATCTGCCGCAAGCATTGCACGGCGCGTTCCAAATCGCAATATATTCGTATTTCAAATCTCACGAACTTGACCGTGAGACCTACGGCCGTGACGTCACCTCATGTTTAACGGGGGGGGTGGGTCCGGGGTCCGGGGGGGGTGGGTCCGGGGGCCGGGGGGGGAGAGTCCGGGGGCCTGGGGGGGGGCTCCGGGGGGCGGGGGGCTCCGGGGGGCGGGGGGTCCGGGGGGGGGCGGGGGGTCCGGGAGGGGGCGGGGGGTCCGGGGGGGGCGGGGGTCCGGGGGGTCCGGGGGCCGGGGGGCGGGGGGGGGCGGGGGGGGCGCCGGGGGGGGGGGGCGGGCGGGGGGGGTCCGGGGGGGTCCGGGGGTGGGGGCAGCGACTCCATTGGCAAAACGTGGCCGGCCGCACTCCCCACACCCGAGCAGCGGGTCCATGTTGGTTAAGGAGTTGGCGGCGGTCGGGGCATGATGGGGATGGGGAGGGGGGTGGTTTCGTTTGCAAGCCGCACGGTGATGGCGTCGGCGATGTCACAACGCCCATTGACAACCTCGTGCCGCCACCCACCACCAACACCACTCCATTGAAAGCGAATGGGAGGTGGGGGGGGGGTGGCGAAGTTGTACCCTACGTAAGATGGCCGCCGGCTTCCGATGTCACGATGTCACATGAGGTGAGAGACGCGACCCCCTTAGACTTCTTAGCTGGGGGGGGGGGAGGACGGTGAAAAAAAACGCAGTCGCGTTCTTCTTAGTGGTGGTGTTGTTATTGTTGCTGCGCGCGTGCTACGCCAACGCTCGAATCGGGACAAAATAATTAAATTTTAAATACATTTTCACTTCTTTGAGGTCCCGCCTCTTGCGGTGGTGGGGGGGGGGGCTGCGTGTGCGCATGCGCAGTTTGCACCTTCTGGGGGAAAATGGCGATGTGAGCAGCAAGCACATGGCGGCCGAGCGATGTGGCTAATTCACCCGCGCGTAACTTCAACCAACATGAGCCAAATTTAAACGCGACGCAGGATAATGTTTTAATGTTTTTATCATTGGTCACTAAATGCTTGGTTTTTTTTTGGGTCGCGGCCCGTTCGCTTGTTTTCATGCATATCGGCAAGAGGTGTACTGTACTTAAATAAATAAAATATTAATAATGCTCATACTGTACTCGCATAATACATAACCAATAACGATTATTATAACCATAGTGCTACGATTTAAGGTCACTTGCTGCAGCCGTCTTATGATTCTATTAACCCGAGGGCATAACAGGAGCCGGTTCGTCAATTAACACCACTGAGCAGCAACCGTCAGTTAACATTAATAGCCCATCATTTGACACAAAAAGAAGCCGAACATTTCAAAACGTTTATGACAATTGCATTTAATTAATTGCAACTAAATTGAGCGGTACTGTGCTCGGCGGCGCTGTGTGCTGCTGCTTACATACCCGTGGTGGCAGCGCCCATACAACGAGGCACCGCTGGCCACCCATTCACCGCAATGGGCATTCAGGGGCTACAAGATTACATCGAGAAGCATTGTCCAGGAGCCGTGGTACCCGTGGAACTTCAAAGGCTCGCAAGGGGCATCTCTGGCGGGGTACCAGGACCACCTGCAGCGGGTGGTGGTGGTGGTGTCCACACCTCGGGGCAACACGGCCGCTCAAGAGGACCATTAACCGGCCCATCAGCAGCACTACCACCACCATCGGGCCAGCAGCAACATCACCATCAACAGCAGCAGCAGCATCAGCAGCCTTCCCCGGGCCCTCTGCGTCTCTTGGTGGATGCCGAGAACTGCCTGGGCCGTCTCTACGGAGGCTTTTTCACCGACTGGGTGAGCGGGGGCCAGTGGAACCAGATGCTGGGCTTCTTGGCGGCGCTCAGCAGGTCGTGCGCGCAGGCCAACATCGAGCTGGTGGTGTTCTTCAGCGGGGCCTTGGAGAAGGGCCGCCTGCCCGAGTGGACCAAGCGGCAGGCCTGCGAGAGGCACACGGCCCAGCAGATCGTGGCCCACGTGCAGAGCAAGGGCACTCCGCCGCCTAAAGTGTGGTTCATCCCGCCAGTGGGCCTGGCACACTTCATACGCCTGGCGCTGCTGCGGTTCCGCGTGAAGGTACGGGGCAAGAAGGGGGTGGGTGGGGAGATGGGAACGAAGTGGTGATGGTGGTTCCGAGGAATGGGGGTGGGAGAGGTTGTCAGGGGTTTGGCAAGAGGAGAGGAATAGGGTGGCAAGGCAAGAAGGGGCAAGTGCCTTGGGTTTTGGAGGAAGAGTTGGGTGGGATGTAAGGTGTAAGATCTGGGAAGTCCATGACATGGGATGGTGTGGGAAATGAAATTATTTCTGGCTTTGGAAAATGTGACTTTGGTAGGGCACGGCGTTGACGAGCATGGCAGTAGAAGGCATGGGAATTGGAGTTAGATTAGAGAGAATTTCATTGGATGGCATTGGAAGGTATATTGGGGCATGGGCTTTGAGGGGCAAGACATGGAGAGGGGGGGCATTCCATTTGGAAGGCATAGGTAGAGAAGGTTTAAGGAGACATTGGAGAGGACAAGGAGATTGAGATGGAAGACACGAGAGGGCATGATTTTGAAGACATTTGGAATAAATATTCAAGGCGTTCGAGGACATTGCAAGGCGTGTGCATTAATTTCAGGCATGGGAGGGCATGATAATTAAGTTTGCTTGGTATGGGGGAAAGCTTTGGGAAGGGTGGGCACATGAGGGCATTAGAGGGCATGGACATTAAAATACCAGTCATGGGAGGGCATGGAAAAGGAGATGCAGGGTATGGGATGGCATGCGAATTAGGGGATTAGAGTTTGTGTGCGGCCGTGTTGCGTTTCCATTTGTACGACTGGGCGTTTAGTATTGAATGTTATCTCGTGCTGTTTTTTTTTGTAACCCTTTAGCTTTTAATACGAACCCCAGCCAGCAATGTAACCCAAGGCTTTCAGCCTCGACCGTAACTCCACCGTATACCCCGTGAGATATAACCATTGACCCTTGCCTGAATTACAACCCACTGAAGCTTCCAGCGAGGGGGGTAAATGTTGGTCAAGTTAATATACTTTGTTGGAATTTATCAAGCTTTCTCTCGGAGCAAAAGTAAGGGACGCCAAGCAAAACACATTTACACCAAGAGTGAGTTGCACAAAGGAAATGGCGTCAGTGCACCGTCGCAATCGTTTGTAATTTGTGGCCTCCTGACTGCCTCCCGGCGTAGAGAGACGGTGTTGACGTCCCATTAGCTGCGCTCAAGGTTTCTCACAGAGACCACCCCCCCCCACAAACCCAAAAAACGAATAAAACGCAAAAGGCCAGAACGCGCAACGTGGCAAGCGAGAGAGTGAGACACTGCACGGTATTTATTATTAGGATTCAGCAGACGTGGCCACAAGCTCGTGGTCGTGGTGAGCCAAGCTAAACCGCTCTCAGACGCTAAACGGAGCAGGTGGTTTAGCCCTTGGATGTTGCCCAGCTAAAAGGGACCCCCCCCCCCCCCGCCTGCTACTGCTTCCCCGTCGACAGTGGACTCAAATGACTCCGGGCCTCAATTCCCACTACGTGGCTAATTCATAAAATTAATGCCACCGCCGCCGCTCTTTGTAGGGTGGAGTTGGGGTGTGTGGGTGGGTCGGTTGTAGTTGCCCACAGGATGTGGAGGACATAGAAAAAAAAATGTAATGTTATCTTTATCGCTGCAAAATATAGCCAGCGCAGGTGGCCATCGAGCTTTCGTGTGACAAGACGGCAACGTCGCTGCGTGTCAGTTCGTTCGTTATTGCAGGATTCGGTGGCTGGCCCTTTGCCTGAAGGGGGCCCACTGAGAACTCCCGAAGAGATGATGAGGAGGAACCAAAAAAATACCGGGAGCAAGAGAGCGCGCCAGCAACATGGCCACACGGCCCTGAGGTTGCCGTCGCGTTCATTCATAAGCCCTTCGGCGTGGCTGGCCGGCATCGGGGAGAGAACAGATCGAGGCGTTATGAGAGCGCGCGCACAGCTGACATCGCAGTAGAATATAACAAAACTCAAAAGCGCAATGGGTCCTCATCAACATGGCCACGGCCACTGCCGCCACAGGGTGTGGAGTTCATTCCCGGCGCTTTTTTTCCCTCCCTCCTCTCTCTCTCCCCCCACGTCGTTGATAGGGGAACGTGTGCCCGAGTGCGGGCACACATTGCGAGGCGCCTAGCAAGAGGCACATTAAGAAAGGCGGGCGTAAAATATATATTTACTTGCGTGTGTGCGGTGTGCTTGTCATAAAAAAAATACAGGTGGCGGAGCATTATATTCGAGCCAGAGTTGCACAGTTGTGCTCGTGTGAGTGACCGTGTGTTCGTGTATGTATGGTAATCTTGTGAGTGCAGCTGGGCATGTTTCTGTCGTGCGGTGCTTGTGCTTGTGTGTGTGCGTCGTCTGTTCCACTCTTTTTAGTGTGGGATTGCCATATACACTAAGAGCCATTCCGCTGTACAGAGAGTTGGCGGTAAGTGCCGTCAGCGAGCACCTATTTCAGTTCAGCATCGCACACAAAATGGGTGAGCTGGGCAGGCTGTATGTTCTCAGTTCTGATGTTCATGACCACACCACACAGCCACACCAGGTAATCACGATAGGCTGCGCTACCCTAGGGCAGGTCCGTGTACTTTGTGCGTGTCCATTGCCTTAATGTGCCAAGGATTCAAAGCTCGGTCGTGCGGATTGAGGTGCATTGTGCCAACCACATTGCCACACATGCACACCACATGCACAAACGAATGGCTTCACATGCCCCATAAGTGGCAAGTGACAAAACTACAGTCGTGCCAACCTCGGGTGAATTTTAATGGCATGTGCCTTGGCAAAGGTTCCGCTGACAGATAATCACAGAACATAACCCGGTTTCACAGTTCATCCTGCATTTCAGGGTGACTGGCATATGTGGCACTGTGCACACACACAAACATACGTGCAGTGTACAGACGCGCGATGTGCAAGGGTCATTTGGTGTTCCGTGTTGAGCTGCTGTGGGTAGAGCTGAAGGACAGCTGGGGCGGTGGGTGGTGGGCGATGATGGTGTGGGGGGCCCCACTCGCTCGCCTGACATGTAGGTGGGGGCAGAGGGGTGAGGAGGGTGGTGGTGGGAGCTGGGGGACATACAACTGGAGGGAAAGGCTCGGCGAGGCCAACTGTTAGAGCCATGATCATCCCGCTGGGTCCAAGGTTTACTGTCCCCACTTGACCGTTGGTTTGATGGCGGGGTGGCATTTTATTTTTACTTAAATAATTACTGGCGGCAAGCAGTGGTTGATGTTTGCAATCTGGGTTTAATTCCTGGCCATGGCTAACAGTGGCGAGTTATATATTCGTACCGGTCCTGGTCCCCTCCTTCACCAACCCACCCACTTTGATCAGCATAGTGATTGATGTGAATCAGAATATTTATCTCGCAGGAATCCGATGAGCTATTAAGCTTTTTTCACAGATGTCCAGGGCCAAATGTTACAACAGACAATACAAAAACACGATAGAAAAAATTAAAGTATAGGAAAGGTAAACAAATCACTTAAAAAATACAAATATATTCAAACAAGCCTCATGACAGATACGATGTGAAGCGGGCTATAATCCAGCATTGTGTTTGCAAAGGGCTGTAAATTATTGTAAGTTTGTTAATGAGATTCATTCCAGTACAGTGTGTGTGTACCCACATAATTATATGCTTGGCTGCCGACCGCCCTCCAACCCGCCGACCTGTCTACATATCTACTTACCACCTACTGCCCTCTTTTCCGCCTACTTCCAACCCACATACCTGAGTTATTTAACGATTATTGCTGAACTGGTAATCGTTTTCAGAATTCTTTCCCGATTCAGGAGTTCAATTTAGGTAATGTATCGCCTCCGACTGCGAAAATTGGTCATGACCTTACTGAACGTTAGCTTCCTGAAAATCCAAGATTGCTGCTATTTTTCTAAGATGGCCACCAATTTTACCCCAGGAATTTCCATTGTATACAATACACTTATTGATTTATCTTCGTGTCTGTGACGTTTTGACCGTGCTGAAATTAATTCTGCTTTCTACGGACACCTTTGTAGTGTTTCACGATGCAATTAAAGTAAAATAAATGTCGCGTGGTGTTGTCAACACCTTTTTCTGGTATTGAGTCAACGCTGAATCGGAGAAAGGCCAAGTGAGCTTATGTCTGAAGGGTGCTTTTTATCAGGGTAGCTCAGTGGTAACATTTGTGCCTCGCAGCAAGAAGAAGAAGCTAGGGACGATTCCCAACTCTGGTGCTTTTTAAATCCTTTATATTAAGTTCGCTTGCTTGCGTGCTTGCTTGCTTGCTTACGACCGTGCAAATCTTTCAGTCGTGTTTTAACCTACTTCCCGTGATCCAATCGAGCTGACATTTTGCACACAGACTCGTTGTGCGTGACAATTTATTTTCGTGAAAATTTTTTTCCAAAATTTTACACTGTTTAGGGAAATATTTTTGAATATTTAATTACCAATTGCTTAATGCTGCCAGACAATCATCTGACCTATAGGTGGCAGCCATATCAAGCCAGAGGACGAGAGGACTCTAGCCGCCACGCATATAAAGGATTTATAGTGAAAAACTTTGTTTTTACGGGTTAATTTTTTCTGTGTGGATTTTGTTACCCCCCCTCCTGTTCCGCATGGGTCTCCTCTGGGATCTCCAGTTCCCTCCCATAGGTAAAACACATTGCTTACTAGTCTTAGTCGAAACATCCTAATGGTGGGAAATTACCTTGAAATAAATTAGGATTACAATATCGCCTCCGACTGCGAAAATTGGTCATGACCTTACTGAAACAATTTTGAGTATTACGGGTTTCCTGGGGCAACAAGCATACTGATAATTCAAAGTGACCATGGGAGAAACGTATTAGCAACCAAACGATATGCCTACAAATGGCCCCTTATACCCACGAAGAGGCCAACACTTGTATTGTTGTACATGCCAGACATGCAGCAAAAGGGCATCAAGCTTCGCATGATTGATGCCAAAGACACAGATGTGTGTAGGCCTGGCTAGATCTGTTCTGCCATCTCGGTGGTGAAATGTTAATTATCTCGCCTGGTATACAGGAGGTTG